GATGCACTGTGAGTTCATAAGGTGCACTGCGCGGTGCTTAGCGCATAGCCTTAGTTTGCTTAGCCGCTTAGGCTGCTTAGGCTTAGCTCAGGCTCAGTTTGCTTAGGCTGCTTAGCCGCTTAGGCGCTTAGGCTTAGTTTGCTTAGCCGCTTAGGCTAATTAGGTGGCGCTTTGCGCGCACACCCGCGTTGGGAATGTAGGCTGACGAGTCGCGTAGCGACGTAGTCAGGCTACATCCCAACGCAGCTTGTCAGACTGATATGTGAACCCAACATGCTCAAATTCAATTAATCTATCGCATAGAATATTTTATAATTTGTGGCGATTTGACAATAAATGCGCAATCCAATACAAACGCCAGACCAACAAAGAAATGACATTTACATTAGCACCTGTAATTCTCATTCTATTATTTTTTTTCCAAATTTAAGCAGACTAATCGATGATAAACCACATATTCGCCACCGTGTCAGGTTTTCAGGTCCATTGCGGGTTAATCGACTTATTATTACTTGATTTACTATTCCAAAAAAAATTTTTCGAGGAGAAATTTCCGCATTTACCTTGTCACCTACTCGTATAGTTTTGTGGCCATACAAGTGTTCCATTATGCTCGAAATAGCTCTCAAGTTGGGCCGGAGGCGTGTAGCTAAATGCTATACATAGCAACATATATAAAAATATCACATAAAAAATTGACAACATAGACTATTTTGTCTTTGTTTTATGGATTAAAAATCCGTTATCATCCATACCATATAATAGTTATTATCTCCAAACGCTTTAGAAATCTTTTCTCCTTCATTATATCTGTTTTCAGTCGTACGACGTCTCGTCATTATGTTTGTCACCGTGTTTATTGACTTTCGCGCCAGTATAAAAACAATAAAGGAATGTATTTCAGAGGCGGCGATGATATTAGGTGCTCTCTGCTCCAAACAAGTCCATTTTTTCGGTTACTGGGTCGGTAGGAGCTGTAATATATCTTGAATTACTGTCGATTTTGTAAGCAGTTTTTTTCGTATTTGAGCTTCAAATTTTCCTTTTTTTCCTTAAAAATTTTGACATAGAGATCTTGACAGTTTTTGCAAGGTTCTAACCAAAGATCTTGCGCATTTATAAGACCCATGAGACCATATTTTCCCCCAAATCCAATAAAAGTTCGCCGCTTACCGACCACTAATCGCTCATTGTTGTTTTCCCCAAACCGCCCTCTGTTTTGTCTTGAAATTATGCAAATTTTTCGTATCTCCACCGGCTCGGCTACGGTGATGATGCGGATCATGTCAATCATCCCTCGGCAGCGCGCGTTTGATTCGATTAAACGGCAGAATGACGTTCCGCACTTATTACGAATTTAGACGTAAATTTAACGCCTCGAAGAAAAGGTTGGAGGGGCGTGGCCTGCCCGGCGGGGTCTTAAAAAATGTTTTGCCTTCGGAGTTTTTGTTAAAGCCCGGGTTGCGGGTCGGGTCCCCATCCGGCGCGGGGAAATCGAATTTTTGGCCTTGGAGTTACAGGACGTCGTGTAGGTTATGACGGATGGATTGAGTTTGCTGACGTTTTCGTTAACCTGATTTAGGTGCTTGAGAAATTTTGTTTTCTGATTTGGGGGGTGGCTAGAAGTACAATCACAATGAAACGACAGTAACTCATTTTCTAACTGTCTGACACCTTTTTACGCTGATTATAAAAAAATTAGTCGAAATGACGTCAACAGTTTTTTAAATTTTCTCCACGCTTATGCACCGTGCATTTTGTTGTTGCCAGCATGAAAATGCGGTTTACGCTGTTCAAAGGATCCGACAAGCGGCATAAACTTGCCGGAAACCACCTTGCGGGCAGCTAGACGCCATTCGGCAAAACCCAAGCGATACAGATGGAAAAACCTTATATCTCGACGATATTTTGATGCAAATTCCAAAAACTAAAGGTGCAGTGCATTATGCCTTGCGACGAAAAGTCTATACACTTTACGAAAATTCTAGTGCCATCATAGTGCATGCCATTATTTACCTTTTGTCTGGTCATTTCTAATCACGGTCCTACACCCGCGCCGACATACCCTTAAGAATTCGGCTTCTACAGGTGTTTGGCCGTTTGCTGGTTCCATGTCCTTGCTGAATATTTGAGGATATGAGACATCAGAATAGGAGTGATCTCACTGTTTTTGCTGGTGAAGAGATTCCAGAATTTTTGATGATTTTTGCAGGTGGTTTTGAGGGTGTCTGGTTTGTTGAGCTTGTGATTCAGAGGGTATAACTTTCACAAAGTTTGTGGTTATTGAAATGTCTATACAGATTACGTTTGCAGGCGGATTAGCAGTTTTAGCAGCGTCTTTTTGACTATTTATTACCAATTGTACTGTTACGTTTCGACCAGTCTCCCAAGCGAAAAGTGTTGGAGGTTTATGGTCACTTCCTCTTGGTCCAAATGTACGTGTTTTTTTGTATGGTGTTACTTCCAAACAACACCGCGTTTAACTTGATTTAAGCACAACGCCGACGCGTCCAAATTGGATTAAACTTTTAGATGGGTTCAAACTTTCAAAATCTTGGAACAGTTGTCCGTACTGCTGCAGGATTTTTCAATACCAACGGGAAACGGCCAAATTGAATGCTCTAAATATTGGTAGATGTATGACAAAAAAGGCTTTGTCTCTGAGCGCTCCCTGCATTTCGCGTAGTCTCTAGAGAAAGTTTTTGAATACCACGGGGGAGTTCTGCAAAACGCGAGTTCAGATTCTTAAGCATAAGAATTTTATAGCTAAAACGTATATATATTATCGTATACAACTTCCCCTAAGCAATACGCCATCTCCAAAATACAGCAATTTGAATAATAACAATTGTCCATAACTCACATCCAACCCGATTTTAAAGTTCACACCCAATTTGTTTATATCATATTCTTCACGCACGGTAATCTCCATGTTTCAAATTTTTTTCAAGTATGCATGTATACATAGAAGTGCATGTAGCTTTAGACGTAATAGCGCGGGCTTATCAATGTTTCTCCCCGGGTGCAGGATGCACTTGAAGTTTTGACGTAATTTGACGAGCCCTGTTTTCTTTTTTTTTTATCAATTCGCCAAAGTGGGTGGAGCTTCCGGCCAGTGGTTTAGTATTATTTAAGTTGGAGGAGAGATGTCTCATCGAATTATTGTAAAATGCATGGCAATTTGGTGATTCAGAGGAGGTTTCCGGAAGTAAAAAGGCAAATGATGTAATTTAGAGGGCAGTGGGATACTGTAGATTGATCTATAAGGCATGCGGGGTCAAGAAAATTGTGCTATAAACTTGTCGAAATGCAGGTGGCAAGAAAAATTTTTGTTGCGTGTGTCTTAGATATTGATGAATAAGAATTGACGAAGATCATATATTTCAAATCTCTGAGCTCATCTATTACTGATAATATAATTTTTTTGTTTAAGAGTCTTTTTGATATGGTATTAAAACGATATTTTTTGATTTCGTCAGCGCTTGATTTGAAGGTTTTCTTATGATTATTACTAAAAAATGATATTTCTTCAGGGGACATCCTTTACCAAGGTCTTTAAATTTTACTATATTTTTATTTTTTTGCTTTACTATCGACTGATTTTCTCTGATTCATTGTTAGTAATATTTTTAAAGCCGATGCTTACAGATTGCCTAGGGAACGTATAGTCATATGGAGTAGGATAGTGCACCGTAACAATCTTACTACTTCCTAAAAATATCATTTTTTACTTTAGTCTATTTTTCTCCTTGTATTCTTGTTCTTTCAATTTTTTCGCCCTTATAAGTCCACATCAATGCCCTCATTTCCATATTCAAATGTCCGCTAGAATACTATGACAAATTTTGTTCAAAAAATCCGGCCCCACTTCCATTTCAAACGCACAAATTTGAGGGAATAATGAGAATGCCGTTCTCGGTAATGACTTGTAATTAATAATTAATTCGCTAATTCTGACGCGCTTTTTATAACAAAAAACAAAAGTTCACATTGCTCTGTATTCCTTGTCATAGGCTCCAAGAACATTGCTGATGATCAATGAGTGTTACTAAAGATTGTTCTTGTGAAATTGTCGCCAAATTAGAGGGTTAATTGCGGAGGGATTCGAGGAGTCCGCCAGCTGGAAACGGTACTTTGGTAATTGTTTTCGCGGAAAGAGGAGGAGATTACAATGTTCGATGGAAATTAAATCTATTTTGATGAACTTGACGAAATATGTTGGATGATATTTTTGTGTCATTCAAGGGGGAAATGGCCAAAATTGGACCGGTGTTTTGAGATCGAATTGGGTTCTGTTTTGACCATTTTTTTGTCGGCATATCGCTTTCTACAATATTCTCCAAAAAAATAGATTTTTTTGTCACAAGATTGCCAAATATTTATATGGCTAGAAGATTTTTTTTGAATATCTTTACTGGGCTTTCAAAGTACGGATTTAAATTTTAAGTCATCAAGATATAGACTATGAAGAACATATCCCCAAAATTTGGAGTAATTCCATCCACACTACCTTGAGCAATCACCTTTACAAATAAAAATGATGACTCTAAACTTTGTCCCGTTTACCGTATTTTAAATTGCGATTACTATGCTTTTATATTTATATCGTTTCTTCCCATTACTCCCACCCCAACGCTAACTATAACCCGCACTTTCCGAGAAGTTGTCGTCCCTCCCCTTCGCCTTCAACGCCACATTCGCGCTCATTCAACGTGACGTGCCGGTGAGGCCGTTTTTAGCGGCGGCCGCCGGCTAATTTCGCCTGATCCAATTTGACGTGCTTTAATTCGCGGGGTGGGATGAGTAATTTGCATTTTGAACGTTTTCCAGCGAACCCCACCACTTCTCTTTCCTCTCCATTCGAATTTCGCCGCTGGGTCGGAACGGTGCCGCACGTTCCACACTACATATTCTCCTTCACTTAATTTTCGCGAGCGACCGGTAGAGGCCGCTTCTCATCAGCTATCGTCTTTTTTTATTTATTTACACAGACACAAAAAATGACCGTCCACAGCCGGATATGTTTGTCAGCAGCCTTGTTTGTTATGGTAAGCCGGCCTCAAGGGCTTTAAATTTTGGATTACTGTAGATTACTGTACAATTTTTGCTTTTGACCTGTAAAAAATGATAATACAGTAACTTCCAAAAATTTTTGAGACAGAAAAAAAATTAGATTTTCAAAGTTTTTTAGTCATCATTTTTAATTTTCCATCGATTACTGTAACTTCTAACCAATTTATTTTTTCAGTTCTGTAGTGCCTTTGTCAGTAGCGCCGTTGTAGTTCGTTTGCCAGTAGCTCCAACCAGATCCGGTAAGTTCAATTTTTTCAATACCAAAATTCCCCGAAAAAACCCCCAAAATTCCAAGAAAAAATCGTACCAAATCTGATAAGAACCCTCGTGCTGACAGCCCAACGTTTTTTCGAAACTCAAAAAGTACAAGTCAAAGATTAAAAACCGCCAAACAGTTTAATTAATTTCCCAACCTTGTTTTCGAATGGCGGCTGAAAAGTGTGTAGACAACATCGGTGACGGACGGCATGTCATTACGTCCGTTGACGCCATTTCGAGCATTCTTTTGAGTCTCAAGGGAGCTGAGCGGGATTTGGAACGATTTTTTGGGGGGAAATCGATTTTTGAATACGTGACTTTTGTGTCGAAAAAGTGATTTTTATTATACCAATCTGTCGGAAAAATAATGTGGATTGGTCGTGGCAAAATATCTCGCCTTTCGCGAGCCAAATCTCCAGCCGCTGCAAGCCATTGCAAAGCGATAATGGACGATTCCAAAGCGCGACAAATCCACATTATTTTCCCGACAGACTGATATAGCCGAAAACAGGCTTTTTTGCAACTTGAAATTTCAAAAAAAAAAAAAAATAAATAAATAATTTTGTCGTATTGTCCATCACTTCTACAAAAACTAACTTCTAAAATAGTCTTCTTCACTCCAGCCCTCTTCACGAAACGTGCTCTGGACGCGCTAGAAGGATCAGATTTTGGCCTGAAACGGAAGCGAGCCCTCGACTCGCTAGAAGGTTCAGATTTCGGCCTCAGAAAGCGCGCACTCGACTCGCTGGAGGGCAGTGATTTCGGGCTTCGGAAACGAGCGCTGGATTCGCTGGAAGGCGCGGATTTCGGGCTGAAGAAGCGGGCACTCGACTCGTTGGAGGGTGCTGACTTTGGACTAAAAAAGAGAGCGCTGGACTCGCTGGAGGGTGCTGATTTCGGGCTGAGGAAACGGGCGCTGGACTCGCTGGAGGGTGCTGACTTTGGCTTGAGGAAGCGAGCGCTAGATTCGTTGGAAGGATCGGACTTTGGGCTAAAGGTAAGACATTCTGAACAGACTTTTTTGCTACATATCTTTTGTCGCATAAATCAGCACTAATTTTGTTTACAACAATCTAAGAGTGCAAGCATCTTAATTGCAGTTAATTTTACAAAACTAATTTTCAGAAACGCGCTCTCGACGCCTTGGAAGGAACGGGATTCGGGTTTGACAAACGAGCCCTGGACATGCTGGAAGGCTCGGACTTCGGGCTCAAGAAGCGAGCGCTCGATTCGCTGGAAGGTGCTGATTTCGGACTGAAAAAGCGAGCCTTGGACTCGTTGGAGGGCTCTGATTTTGGGCTCAGGAAACGAGCGCTGGATTCGTTGGAAGGATCAGACTTTGGATTGAAAAAGAGGTCACCCATCGCGCGGTTTTATGCGACAGGTAAGGAATTTCATAGTTAATTAATGTAAAATCAAAATTTTGAGTAAATTCAGCCCTTTTTTCGTTTTGAGTCAAGTTTTTCTCTGGCTGAGACAAGTGTTTCCTTGATATTTCACAGCAGAATTTTTTTGTTGCGCTGTTTCTTACGCCTAAATTTTGTTTTTTTTATCACCAAATCTTTTATTTTTGCTTCGGGTCAAGTTTTTCTCTGCGCCGAGTCAAGTCTTTCCTTTGCTAAATTTTAGGTCCAATGTATTAGTTTGACTAAAAATTGTCTTCTGTTTACTCAATTGTTATTTTCCGGCTTTGGGACAACTCTTCTTTACACTTTGGGTCAAGTTTTTCTTTCGAGTCAAGTCTTTCCCTGGATAGAAAACACGCTACCAAACGAATCTGGCTACATATTTACTACATAAAAGTCCATTCCGCTCCACACAAAATGCTTGTTTCTGCCGAATTATCCACGCCATCGATGATGCAATCATCGATACGGACTTTACGGTCCGCGTTCCCTCTTCCTATGCCTGCGGCGGAATTGGAACAAATCCAATTTCGGTCCAGCCCTCAAAATAGGTTCGCAATGAAACTTTTGCGCACCGAATAATTGAAAAAGTTGGCAGAAGCGCGTAAAACTATAGTCAAGTGGGCTTTTAAAGTGAGGGTTTTAATTTTCGGAGACAGCACAGGAAATTGATGAGTAATGCGGGGGTCAAATGGCCTGCTGGTATAACAAAATTTATCCTCAAGTATTTTAGAGGGAATGAGAAATATTTTTATGTAAAAATTTTTATTTGAAAAGACTTAAATTTCGAGATTTTTTAGTTTGTATTTTGAAATCTTTTTTTTATTTTTCCAAAATCTTTGAGTAAAAAGGTCAACATTGACTCATACATATTGTGGTATTATTTACCAGTAAACGCATAAAACTCTGAGTCATTTTATTGTTTTCAGGTGACGACATCAGAAAACTGAATGATCTGAAAACACAGCTCGAGGTGGAGTTGCGACGACGATTGGAGAAAGAAGCCGAAGCCTAAGGGCAAATGCCAAAAAACAGCCAAAAAATTGGACGACCGTCGACCCTTTTTTACAGCGAATCTGCATCAAGTCTTCCTACTACAAACTGTTTAGAATTTAGTCAAGTTTTTTAGTCATCAAAAAAGTTTTTTTGTCTTTTTGCGGTCCGCTGTACGGAGGTGCGGCTATTGTCATCAAAAATTTACATATAGTCTTGTATCACTTATCATAGGCACAACGAAAAATTGCAAATTTAAAGCTCCGAAAATCAATGTTCAGAAGATCTCCCCCCGCCCACAATCGGGAATGTCCATGTTTGTAATTACGAATTGTATTTATAATTAACTTTAATTTATATTTTCGTTTATTGGCTGCGAACGTATTAATTATTCGAATAAACGAGGAAAGTGTTGATTTGGGAGTCGTCAAAGGTTTTAAATTTATAATTACAAGTTTTTAGTGACTTTTTAAGGATCTCTAAAGAAACAGGATTAAAAACAAAGTGCTCTACAACAAGCTAAACATCTTTTTTTGGGCAGCTAAAAGGTCAAATTACATAAAATTCGACGAAAATTGGATAAATCACAAAAAACGGTTCATAGAATAAAAATTACTTCCTATTCTTGGAATTTACACACCCTAAAATAGACCTCAATGATTGGGTTAACCAAAAAAAAAGAATAGTCCAACTTTCAAAATTTGAAGCTTCAAATTCAGGAAAAACAACAAAGTGAAATTGGTATACAACAGAAAATAGCGGAGAAAAATTCGAAATTTCTATATGACAAGTTAAGTACCCAAAAAGCGACGCCTAGAATTTGAAGCGCAAAATTTTCACAGAAAATGATTTTTTTATTTGCAAAATTTGTAAAGATACGGAAAAAACCCTTATTCTCCTACATCTCTCCACTTTTCACGTGCTCTCTCGTCAAAAACATTGTTGAATACCACATCTGCCTCTGAAAAACACGAGCCAGAAATCAAAAAGCAAAACATGGTCTCAGAAAACAGCCTTGGGGATTTTCAGTAAACTCCCGAGAGAGTCTTCAACTGGTAATTCCATTTTTTCCTCCTTGACCGGAATCGAACCCGCGACCTTCGGAGTGGAAGAGCGAGCGCACTCCCACTGAGCCAGCAAAACACACGTCGGCAGGCTCTTCTTTTCTCTTCTTTATTTGCGGGGATTTTTTCCGCGCTTTTTCAAAAGTGCGTAGATTTTTTGTTGCGGGCCTGCGCCGTGAATTTGATATTCTTTACTGTAATATCGGAATATCGCCGCGGCAAGCTTTAAAAAAAACTTTTTGATTTTTTTCAAAAAAAAATTTTTTTGATTTTGATGACAAAAGAAATGGCAAATTTCAGTTTCAAGCATTTTATTCGCAAAAATCAACCCGTAAAAAATAAAACAGATGTTGCAAGCAAAAATTCCTAGAGATTTCTAATTTCGATCCAGAAAGACAAATATTATCGAATATGCGGATTGAAAGGCCAAGGGCAATGGATAAGATAGTCTTTTACCAACTTTAGCGTGGGCATGCATGCAGAAAAATAGGGCCAATTCAGTTGATTCAACCGATTTTCAAACTTCCAACCACTCTTTATGTCATGCCAGCACTCTCTGCGGTCCATGTGTAGGATGGCATGGTCGTATAAGATCACATGTTCTACTGGTTTGGCAGAGTAATTGGAGTAGAAATGAGTGGAAATCGCCTGAAAAATTTTTGAAAAATTAGGGACGGTTTATTTTTTAAATAATTTCGGAAGAAATGGAGCACAATGTCTGACGGTATTTTTCGTATTTTCGCCGACTTACAAGCGACATATCATCGTTGATCCTGAGCCTAGCCTGCCATGGGCCATCGTGCATTCTCTCTCTGGTGTAGGGATTCGCCCAGATCGGTTTGCAAACCCATCGCAGGTTTTCGTTTGTATTATTCTGCAGTTTTGTCAGCGCCGGCATGATGTGTGGCGTAATTATGCGATGCTCGAAGTCGACAGCATGACATACCTGAAAGAAATTTTGAGGGATTATTTTTCATTATTTTATGAGCTGTTTTTATGTTCTATTTCTCAGAAAATATGCATCAGTCTGTCGGGAAAATAATGTGGATCTGTCGCGTCCTGATATCACCCACTATCTCCTAGCGACGGCTAGACGCGGATGGAGATGTGGTGACCGTGACGAAGAGACACTTTTTGCTGCGACAAATCCACATTATTTTCCCGACAGATTGATTTCTACATTACATAAACAGCCTACTTGAAAGATTTCCGGCGGCAACGTGTTCGAACCAATGGTATGAATTGAGGTAAGCAGTATCAGATTGAGCATGATCAAGGTGATTGTTGATATGGTGGAGAAGAACATCATAAAGTAGTGAAAGAAGATGGTGAAAAATCTGAATAGAACAGTTAGTGAGCTGACATTGCTTATATCGTTCTGTCGGGAAAATAATGAGCACTCTGTCGCATCGGAATTCGCATCGCCGCAACGAAAATGAATTGCGCCGCGGGGAAAATAAAGTTGCTTTTCACTTTCGCAGCGCTTATTATTTTCCCGACAGACTGATAGTTCAGTTCCCGCCGTAAGGACCATGCTTAAACTTTGAAAATTGGCATTTAGCCTAGTGACAATACGTGCTCAAAATTCAAAGAAAATACAATCGTGACTGTCGGCGAGCTTCAGTTGTAGAATTATCCTTACCGTACAAAAGTTTTGGAGCACTTGTGTCGTTTGGAAAGACTTGTTTTCCGGCAGAAATAGTAGCTCAAACATGGAGTGCACCCCACGGCGCAACAGCAAATGTACGTTGTCAATGTCAGCGTTATGCAACATACACGTTTTAACGTCGACTTTATTGCGTCGGAAATCTGAAAAATGATTACTTGTGTCGCAAGTATAACAACTCACATGTAAGACAGCAAACCAAAAAGCTGTCTCCAGGATCTTCAGACATTTGTTTCCATAAATTGGCTCATTATAGTACAGAACAGCCTGTTTTGGGATCGGATATTCCCCATACACCTTGCTTATGGACCAACGAACGGGCCAGGTCTCGTCGAAATCGTTAAGTCGTCCGTTATCATTCAAATCAAAGCTGGAAATAGAGCCGTAACTGGATTAGTGCTACAGAATTGAACCAAGGAGTTGTAGTAATATTATGTATTACTGAGAAAAGTGGCAAAGCGATTTACTTGAAGGAGATTTGCTGCTCCAGATGCTCACGAAAAGAGGGCTGACGACTCGGCATGTTGGAGGAGTTGGTCGAGTTTTTCGGGCAGATGAGTCGGCGATATGCAAAGTAGAGCATTACCATTCGCCAGGAGAGGGAGATTAGGAGGGAAATAGTGGATAAGATTATGTGCCAAGATTGCACCTAAAAAATGATGACTAAAGATGTAAAATACGGGAACAGAAGGCCACTAAATTGTTTGTGTCTAGTATATATGTAGTTCTTTCTGCCTCGCAACTTATAGCTCGAACTCTAATTTTTTACCACCTTTTTTTGTCGAGCTTTCCTCAAAAAATGTAAAATACGGAATATTGTTTTTTGTCTCGTTTATTTCTCCACATTCCGCCGAACTTACATTTGGTCCGGAGAGCCGACACGACGAGATAAAGAAGAAGTTGGCGATAGTCAGCGGTAAGTCATGTAGAACGGCGAACAAAAAAGCCACTCTGAAGTTGTTGAAGGAATGAATCCATTCCACAAAGGCCTCCCAAATAACCGCCAACCCGGTTCGATACGGCGTCACATGGACTCGGTATGCGAATGCATTTTCAACGCATAGCACCTGAAATTTTGAATATTACATAGTATGTATATTTGGAGAGTCACTGTAGTAAAAAATAGCGGCAAAAATATCAAAAAGACGATTGTTTTGACATGGCAGTTTTACTTACAATCAGAAGCACATTCAAAGTGGAGCCAGTCACACTGATTCCGACCATATAAACCACAAACCAATCCTTCAGCGGAAACGACGTCTCGACTCCCTTGAGCACCGCATATGTGTGAATCCAGTCGACGAACGCGGTAGATGTATATACAATAAAACTTATTGCGTATAGCGTATGCATTGTTTTCCCTGAAATTTTACGACTTCACAGTTTTTAAACTGTTTTTAGATTAAAATGTAACACTGCATGAAGCAAGAATCTCTACAAGTTCTCACCAGTGAGCCTCGGGACTGTTGGTGACATTGTGGCAAAGCCCGAGGTGTACAACGCGTTGAGCAGCACCAGGACGTTGGCATGTTTGGGCGAAGGCGCGGACCAGGTCATGACTCCGTCCACCGGCGTATCTTCGTACAACCCCGTCTGGAAGAAGAGAAGGACCATTTTGATGAGGAAAAGGACGGTAAATTTAAGTAGTAACAGAAATAATAGGTCTAGCAAGTATTGAAGGGAGCGTTACAAGGTCTTTCAAAGCTTAGTCTTTGAGCCACAGCTTTGCAAAGCCGTTAAAAGAGAAAATAAAAGGAAAAATCTCTGTAAACGGGTAATAAGATCAACTTTCAATTTGAAATTGAATATAAATTGGGTTTGAAATTGCATTGCTTGGTCTGGCTGCCATACACATTGTTTTCCTTTGCCCTGAGGCAACCCAACTTGATTGCTAGAGCTCTCACGTACTTATTGGTCTTTATCGTTCCTGCTAAAGTGAACCCAACAAAATCCCATTAAAATTGGGACTGTTATTACATTACCAGAGGAAGAGAAAAAACATGTGTTCCCAATGCCAGCCCGAGGTCATCTAGACCGGTTCTAGCCAAGTCTGACTCTTCGGACAGCTCCAGCCAACCCGCAATCTCAACCCGACCAAAACTTACCCGTATCAGAACCGGCGCTCCGGCCTGGCCCTCAGGCCAATCAAACCGCCAATTGTGGGGCGCATCCACCATTTCCGGCGGCCTCCCGACTTTTGTTTTGGCCTCGGTTCCGGCGGCGCGCACAAAAGCCTACTCGCACAGACCCCAACTCGAATCCAAGTGCTTCATGGATGGGCATGGATAATATGGTGGAAGAAGATGCTCACGAAATCTCCCCCCTCTTCCGGCGGGCCGAAAATGCGGTTTGCAGCATTTGTGCGGGGACCACGTTTTTGCCTGCGGATAATGCGATTTGACGAAACATGGAGAACATAAAAAAGATACGACGGCTTTATTAACAAGTTTTAGAAAGAATGTATAGTCAAACGAAATGGAATATCAATGGAAGTGAATGCTTTATTATGAGTAATGCTACATTAGATTTTGATAAAGTCGTATAAGTGTCGTGTTAAGAGAAGGAATTTGTCATTAAAATCGACAAATTATTACATAATAATTATGGTAAAATCGGAAATAAGCACTGATAAAACTTATCGAATGCAAATTAAGTCTCCCACGTAGTGCTGGCTAGCCGAGTCGTGGGTGAATTGGCCGATTAAGATTAGAATTATAATAGATAAGAGTAGTGAATCTTAATGTGTTGTTTGGCATATCAACAAGGTGCAGCACTCTAAACCCAAAAATTTTACATTTACGGCCTGAGCAAACGTTCTGCAGGAGTGCCGGCCGTGTATATAAGCTTCAATTGCTCAACAAAAGATAGGTTTGCAGATTCGAGCCCCAACGTTCCAAATGAACGCAATTGTCGTAATTTTGCCGCTCATTCTGACAGTTGCACGCTGTGTGGTGTTCAAGTATAATGGAGGCAAGTTACAGCAGAGCAATTTAATTTTATTCCATCGGGAAAATAATGTGGATTTGTCCGCCGCAAAATGCCTCTGTCACACACCGAATCTCAAGCCGCGGCTAGCCGTCGCAATGCGATGATGGGCGACTCCAATGCGCGACGAATCCACATTATTTTCCCGGCACACTGATGCATAGTCTCTATGCAATAATTACTTTTGACCTCTTCTGAATTACTGTTTATGATAGCCTTAATTTCCAGATGTCCCGTCAATTCCGATGAACTACTCGGCTGATGGAGAAATTCAATTCTCCGCTGCTATCAAAATCGATGCTAGGGAGACGTTCGTTTTGGGGAAACCGTGTGGTATTCAGAGCAAATGCACTGTTCAGCCGCACACGAATGTTTACGATCCGCAGTAAGTCAAACACAATTGGTTTTTTTGCATTGGGCGCCTAACTGCTACTAGGCTGGCCAAAAACTCTATCTTTTTGCATCGTAAATCTTCATAAAATAAAAAAATTGATCTCCAAACCGATTTATTTTAGAAAATACGGAGGAAAGAAAGTTGGAGGGACCAACCTTATCGTCCTTGACGGTAAAGCTTTGCTATGCCATGTGTATGAAACTCCAATCTTTACACCCGCATTCAACGCCACTCCCGCGTTGTTTGTTGCCATTGCATCATCCGGCGGACCCGCATCTCTCGCTCAAGATGGAGTTTTAGCGCTTAATTTTGAACGCTTTCCAAAATACTCTGGCTCTTTCCGCAGATTGCTAGAGTTAGTTACGAATAAGGTCATCATTTTCCGCAGAGGCGCTTTCAAGCAACAACTGGTAAGATTTTTATGATGCAAGAAAAATTGGATAGCTAACAAGCGCCTTACGACCTTTTTCAGTCTGATAAACGGATTACTGAAACGAAAGGAGTGTTTTCTTTGGGGGAACAGAAGATTAGTGGTTGCGGAGACTTCACATACCGATACACGGATAAAAACGCTGGATGGAGTATTAAAGCGGAGTAAGTTAACTCGCAAAATAGCAAAAGTTGATCTAAAAGTATCGAAAATTTGATTACTTTAGCATCACTATTGGTGGAAAGCTCTATTCTGGGCAGCAAATCAGTTTCTCTGTTGATCAACCCTCCAAATTCCCTGCGGCAATTTTCGAGCAATTCAAGGACAAAGATGAAGCCGATCTGCCTGAAGCCGTATTCGAAATTGAAGGTTCAAAGTTCACTTTGAACAGACAAAATCTGGTGCAATACAAAGCTGGAAAGATGAGTTTGGACGTTGAAACAAATTCTCGACCAACTATCGTCTTGGGACGCAACTTTTTGAAGGATTTCTGTATTGCGCTGAGAACAAATGGCGACCTGGCTTCCCCGGAGATCGGATTGGCCCCGATAATCAAGCTGAAGGATGACCCAGAATGGGAGGAGTTGTAATAATTTCGAAAACTCTTTTTTTTTGCCAATTTGCGTTGAAAATGATAAAACAGTATTGTTTTAGACCCTCGCTTTGGTCAATCTACAAAATGATATACGCAGGAGGCTGGAGCTGACAGTCTAATATTTAGTATTTTCCAAAAAACGGCCCGAGGCCCCGGCAGAGCATTTTCTGGGATTTCAGCACGGCAAAATTCGGTTTTGACGGTAAAAATTTTTTTTTGGAAACATCGCTCTAAATGTATAATAGCAAAATGCTTCCCTCTCCAAGTGAAAAAATTCGTTTTGAAGGGCGCGCCCGTTCCCTCACAAAAAAAGCGGGCGGGTTTTTGAAATTGGAGTTTTTTTACCTGGAGATGGAAGAATTTTGCCACATTTTTGATACTTCCCGGATGCAAAATGGTACGTTTTTTGCCACTGGATCAGGTCTCACACTGTAAAAATCTCGGTCGTTTCTTCAAAGAGAGCGGTAGACGTCTCAATTATGTGTCAGAAAAAATAAATCTCGTTTAATCCAGGCATGTCCTCCAATTGCAAAAAGGTTCTGGGTGCATCTGCTGGCGACGTTTATCTTGTTTCACTGGTGGTCAAAACTTTTCTTCCATTTTTTCGGATGACTTTTTAAAAAAGTTTCTTAGCATTTACAAGCATTGTAACCATATGGGTTGTCCTGCTACATACTTGTGTTGTTGATGATTTAGAGGTCAGCAACTTTTTTGTCTAGAAAAGTTATTTTGAAAAAAGTTTAGTTCCGGTTCTAAACCCTCAATTTTTCAGGTTCAATATGTTTTGCAAGACGTTCAACCTCAACAATCCATTGTTTTCAAGACTTTCTTTGCGTGAAACCACGGAAAAGAAGTCAGCAATTACCGCGGCTCCGGTAATCATCAGCCTCGATAGGTTTGCTAATAAATAATGGAAGAATAAAGTGGTTATGGTCATAATTTTGAATTATGAGACGCGTCTTAATATTTTCTTTATTTTTTATTTTCTTTTTTTACATTTTCCTACCCTCATTTCGGTGCTTATCATAGTCTCTAATCCGAAAACATTAACGGGATTTGCTTCTTTTTTTCTTGCCGATTTCCGACGCCGAGAAAACAAGATTTCGAAAAAAAATTACGCACTTCCAACGAACAGCGAAAAAACCAGCTGTCGTACAGAAAAAGGGGGAAAGATTACATCGGCGGAAGTGCGAATTTTTGAAATTTGAACGGAGATATGTCTATGACAAATCGCAGATGGAAAAGAGACAAAAAATTGGCAAAGTTAGTGAAGCCACTCGATTCGTATTTTAACAGAAAATCAACGGTTGCGGCTGGAAATTCACAATGATTGAGCCATAAAACATTATTTTAAATCTGAGGTTTGATGATTCTTACAAATAGTAGAACCTCTGTATAACGATTTTCTTTAAAAACCTGTCTAAAACACACAACTTACAATAGAACCTGCCTTTAAAGGGTCTGTATGGCTACTTTGGGCTTGTACAGCTACTTGAGGTGGATACACACACCAAAAATGGATTGTAGGCTAACTAGGGAAGTACCCCAAGTCTTGCAAAGGTTAATCTAAAAATCTCGATTGTTTCTGTAAAACGCGAGCTGAGATTCTCGAATATATTTTAGAAAAAAATATTCTAAACTTGTGTCAAGTTTCATCAAAATCTAGGCGTCGCACTTGAGGTACTTCCCTTGTAAAACAAAACTCCGTGCAACGAAACCGTTAAATTTTACGCTGAAATTTCTTTGTCCCTTGCATTCTACAAAGGCTTCACTGTATTTTGTATATCTGATGCTTTTATCTTTTCATTGTCTTCTTTTCCGCTGGCTGCGGATACGGTAGCCGTCTTTGGTCATCATTTTCGCCCGTCATTGTCATGCAAATTATCATGTAAACAATCCCATTCTCCGTTATATAATCATCTCATTCCCTCCGTCTCCCTCGTCGTGAAACTCTTCCCCTCTGCCTGAGGCGTTCCACGGCAAGCGAAAACTCGAAATCCCCCTCCGACGTCGTCGCGTTTCTCTCTCAAAAATCAAGGGCTATCGGAGGAAGCGAAAAAAAATATTTGGGGGAGGGAGAACCGCCTCGGGGCTGTATATAAACCTGGACGCGCGGCGGAGGAGGATGGATTCGGAAGGGAGTTAACGGCATCTGGATTCTCTTATTTTTGCGGGATTCCGCTAATGAGCGTGGGAATTATTCTTTGTTGGTTTTTCGTTATTAAACAAAGGAATTTGACCTAGAACGGGCAAAAACATGGTTTTAGCTTCGTTTCTAAGAAAAATAAATGGTGGAATTGGGAAGTTGGTCCTTTAAATTCCCTTGTTTACCGTGATTTTCATAAAAACCGCCATTTTACGTGCTAAGTCTTACATTGTTCATTGCAGAGTCCAATATGGATCTCGAAAACCGCATCAAGGCTTACCGGTTCGTCGCCTACTCGGCCGTGACCTTCTCCGTGGTCGCCGTCCTCTCCGTCTGCATCACCCTCCCCATGGTCTACAACTATGTCCACCATGTGCGCAGACAGATGCACAACGAGATCACCTACTGCAAGGGCTCCGCCAAGGACATCTGGAGCGAGGTCACTCAGCTGAAGAACATCCCCGTCGCCAACAACCGTACCGCTCGTCAGGCCGGCTACGCCGAGGCCGGAGTTGGCGGAGGCGCTGCTTCCGGCGGTAGCTGCGACAGCTGCTGTTTGCCCGGTCCACCCGGACCGGCCGGTACTCCCGGAAAGCCCGGAAGACCCGGAAAGCCCGGAGCTCCCGGTCTGCCCGGAAACCCAGGAAAACCACCAGTCCAGCCTTGCGAGCCAGTCACTCCACCACCATGCAAGCCATGCCCACAAGGACCACCCGGCCCACCCGGACCTCCAGGACCTCCCGGAGATGCCGGAGCCCCAGGACAGCCCGGAAACCCAGGAACCGACGCCCCACCAGGCGAGCCTGGACCAAAGGGACCTCCCGGCCCACCCGGAGAGCCAGGACAGCCCGGAGCCCCCGGAGAACCAGGACAGCCCGCCCAGTCCGAACCCCTTGTGCCCGGAGAGCCAGGAGCTCCAGGAGAACCCGGCCCACCAGGACCTCCCGGACCACCAGGACAGCCCGGTAGCGACGGAGCCCCAGGCCCAGCCGGACCCAAGGGACCACCTGGCCCCGACGGGCAGCCCGGAAACGATGGAGCCCCAGGACAGCCCGGTCAACCCGGACCAGCTGGAGCTGCCGGAGAGAAGGGAATCTGTCCCAAATACTGCGCCATCGACGGAGGAGTCTTCTTCGAGGACGGAACCAGACGTTAAGTCCGCCGGACTTACAACTAAAATTATTGTCGCTACTTTATTTACTGTTAAGCTCACAATTGGCCAAGATCAAAGGAGTTGGAGTTTAAATTGAGGCTAATTTATAGTGAAGAATGAGAAAATAAACAAGCTTGACTGTTTGAACTTGGATTTGGTGCACATAATTAGTCTACAGCTTGAAAAGTAGATCTGGATTAGTCTCTAAGACTGTTTGATTGGTAATTCTCAGTCCATTATATTGTAATTTCGACGATTAGCTCTGATTTGAACGACATTTCCAGAATTAATCGCGTCGAAGAAGATCCGAAAAGCTCCTCTTACTCAAGCCGTTGATGGGATCCGAACGAGTTTTTCGCTTTCTAATAACCCATCCGGTCGTTGAGACGGGTTAAAGAGTAGTTTCGACGGAACAACAAAAGACTCTTCTTATTCAAAACCGAAGAAGAAGAAAAAGAAGATGTAAGCAATTATTAGGTTAGGATTACAAAGCGGTTTGGAGTTTTGAGCAGAAACAAGGAGTTTAGAGAAGAAAAAATTCAATCTTGAACCCTGTATTTTGTCCGAAAACATTCACAGGTTGTTTTACGGTACACTGAATCACATGGAATTTGTTGCAAAAAAAGTCTGCTTCGTGCCTTTGGCCCAACAGCTCTAAAATATAAAATGCTATAAATGCGTCGCTCATATGTTCTTAAAATGTTGCACACGCCTTCTGCTTACGCCAAATACCAATTCCTGAAAATTTTAGCTCTCGTTTTGCAGCGGAAGCCGCGATGTTCAACGATTTTTGCCGACAAGAGCGTTGCAAAAAGTGCGAAGAGCGATCAGAAACGTCTTTGGCCAGATCTCTGCCAACGCAGAATCAGTAAATTTTGGAAATAAAGGTGCTCCTTTCATTTGAAATGGAGCCCTTTCTTTTCAGGAGGCTATTCGCTCATTTCGGCTAAGCTTTGCGGTCGAATTTCTCGGCCGAATTCCTCATCCCCCATTCATTCTATCGGAAACGCATCGCGATGGTAGGTTGCCAGCTCTATGTGCTCCTGCTGTTGATCGTCAACGTTGATGTTCTGCAGGGACAAGTAGTGGAAGGTTGCAAAGGTCATTACTCAGTCAATGGAAACAACATCACTAAGCCTGCGTGCAAGCAAGGCGAGATCTGTATCGAACTGGGCGTGAAGAACTTCACCGTTTACGTGGAGGACCATTCTGTAAGTGTAATGGGGAGAGAACCCGTGCCGAAATGAGCGAATAATCTCTGTATTTTCAGGACTACGTTAATCCGTTCGATTACATGAGCGTTGTATCGAGTGAGTTTTGTGTTGCACATCAGTTTATGGACAAATTTAGGATACGAAGGCGGAGAAAAATACACGCATGATGGTGTGCAGCGGAAGACGGGCTTGCGTTTGTAAGATTTTTTCCACGTCATTGTGGAGATTCTATTCAGAAAATACAAGAAACAGTTTAGCAATAGACCACCCCTCAGTTGGTCTTCCCGCCATCAGATCCCATCCAGCCATGACCCGCAGTTCTTCGCACAGCTGTTCACGAACAGCGTAGAGATTGTCTCGATGGGAAGGTAGGCCAGTCTTTAGTCAGGAGAAACAAAAACTTGAGGACCCGCGTTGTCGGTCAGCCCCGATTGAACTGTATGCGTAATTCTCCAGAAACCCAATCGCTAAACAACAAAATGAGGATGTTTATCGCATCCAAACGGTGCTGGATTCCGCGTTGTCCCTTGACGAAGTGAAGCGCGCCTTTGTCTACAAGGAGTACCTGTTCATCAATCCGACGAAAGCCGTCGACTTTAGAGTTCTCTACGAGAAGAAGGGGCCCTTTGAACTCGACAAAGACAGACCAGGACTACTTTTAGAGCACAATGTTGGCCTGATCCACCCCGAGGACATCCCCAACGAACACATTGACATCGATTTTCTAGCTCTGATCCTCAAGCAATGCTTTGTAAGTTTGGGAAAAGTAATACTACTAACTAGGCCTGTGTGCATTTTCGTATTTCAGAGACCTGATAAGTACTGTTCGCTGGATATCAAGACGGAATCCTTGGACCTGCAAGATTACCCAGTGGGCTTTACCTGCGACGACCTGGTTCTGGAGACCTTTTGGTTTCAGTAAGTTATCCGGCTCCGTTTTTATGCCTACGTTTAGAAGATACTGCGAAATGCTTCCGATGTACCGTATTCGGCACAAGAAGACTGCTCCGAAGTAAGTGAAATTTTGTGTTGGCTAAGTTGGAATTTTTAGCGTGATTTTCGACTTCCCCAATGTTGAGGGCATCGTAACGCATGGAATACAGTTTTGGTGGTAAGCATTTCACTTTAGTTCTCTATCGGAAGTTTGCAAAAAGATTTTTTAGGACGCCGTCTTATCCACGTACCAAATACAGAAGACGCGGTATCCTGCCTATTATCCAGCCGAACGATCCCTTTAACGACTTCGTCACACAGTTCACAACTCCCGTCCCAACGACCACACCCCGCCCACCACCAACCACCACCACTCTGAAGCCGGTCCCGGCCGGTCCCGCCTCAAAAATCATTGAAATCGAGGAGGACACGGAGGAATTAGAGATGAACAGCGTGATCGAACCCATGATTGCGAATAATGGACCGGCGATTTCGAGCCTTACCGTCATCTATTATATCCTTGGTTATATCGCTGTTTACTTGAAAGGTTACATTATGTAATAGAGACGGTATTCATCAAAACCGAATAAAATTGTTACACATACGGCCTTTTCAGAATTTCTTATGTCAAAACTCGTCGTTTTCGGTGAGGATTTTCCACGACGGCTAAGATGACCAAACCTGACCGGTCGAAATGTTGTTGAGGAATTGTCGAATTTTTGAGGAGTTATCGAAGATTGAATTGATTTTCCCATGGGAAAATCCTTTTTTACAGTGCACGCATATGAAACGGATGCGCGTCCCGACACTTCGGGTCAACGATATCTCGGTATAACAGTGGTGTAGAGTACACATGTGGAACTACTTACGTTTCGACAATTATTTGGTGATCTGCACGTCCATTTTCCACTCAAGCGTTTTTCGAAAAAAAATCTGTTTGCTACCTTCGAAAAGTACACCAAAGCATCTACACGGTGATTCCGGACTTTCGCAACATACGGTCACAGACAGTCTACGCAACTTGCCGTTTACCAATTATCGCATTAAAATTGCCCATCGCTAGCTTCTGATTCCAACATGCACGTTACCGTATTTTGAATTTGTCGGCAATAACCTTATTGGTAAAAGTTTAATGCATTTTAATTTATGGAAGGTCTTGTGAATTCGTTTTTTCTATTATATTTTCTTTACAATGTAAGAAAGGGCAAGGATTCAAAAATACTGTAAAGAAAAGAAACTTTTCCATTAATTTGCAGTTTCGTAAGATTTCTGAACTCAACAGAAAGTTAATGGACGAAAAACTGTATGACGTCAATAAAGTCAGATGATCAAGCACACAGCACAAAGGTAAATCCTTGTAACTGTCAAAAAATGTACTGTCGTTCATTTTTAATGCGGCTATAATTGGATTGAGCTTGGATATATCGATGGTTTCTCCAACAAGGGAAGTGTTTGACGCTCAGATTTTGATGAAACTTGGCGCAAATTTATACTTGGATTTAAGCATGGCTGAAAACCGGGCTAGCCCGGCCCGGCAGCATTGTGTTCGAAAAAATGAAAAATTCTATCGAGAAAGCTTATTTTTTTCTTTTTTCCGGGCAAAACTCAGATTTCAAGAAACCGGGCCGGGCCTAAAAATCGAAGCCCGGGGTCGGGCCGAGAAATTTGTCGGCTAGGCTCGGAAGATTTTGCAAAGCCCGGCCCGGAGCCATGCCTAGCTGGATTGACATTCCCTAGCTGTAAGATAGATTCGGCATGCCAAGCTCGTTCTTTCAGAACCTTTTAATTTGAGCCCCGGTCGCGTAATTCACCAAGAGAAGGTTTGATTCCTGTCTTGCCAGCTGTCTGAATGTTACTGGATATTCCATTTGAATATGCAAGGACTTTGACTTGACTGGATCGGACTTGCTTGTCTTGGTCTATGTGTGCGAGAGCAGGTTCGAATGGCTCCATCTTGAGTCGAAAACCAATTATCACGACTCTGGTTTGCACTGATGCATCCTACAACGGACCATGGCTGGGTTTTTCGTTGAATTGGACAATTTGAAGCAAAATTTGATCGTCAAGGCGGTTAAAACCCAAGATTTAAAAAAATATTTCTGTAGAACGAAGAAACTTCATCGCATGATAAACAGCTGGCAGAGAACATGTACCGCCTTTTATGCCCGTAAAATGCTTTACATATACTGGGCCTTACGTTCCATACAGCCTTTCTACTGTAACTCCGACAGCCTACAATTTTTGAACTCGATCATATCAACAACTTTGCTCCGGCGAATTCCCAGAATCTGCCTCAACTCTTGACGTTTACGTCTTGTTTGAAGATCTGAACAACGCTTACACTAATTTACAGTAACGGCCGGGTACGTTCAAGCCCCCACGGAAAGTGGCAATGTTTCAATTTGCGAACTTACTTAACGGACATTAACAAGGCGTTGAGAGGCGGGTTAATTAAGACCAACAAAACCGTATTAGTCGTGGCTATAAAATGGGGAAGTGGAGGCAGCTGAGAAAATGTCGAATTCTTTTTTGTTAATTTACAAAGGACTTTAAGTAAAGGTGTAAATGTAACATAGAGATTACGGTACTTGTAAAAACAATTAGGGGGATTTTTTGAGGTTTAATTTCCCCTTGACCTAATTCGATGGTAAATCTCGCGTTCCATTATCTCTTTGTTGACGATGACGTCATCATTATATTAAATTTTCAGGTGGTTAAGGCCAAACCTTTGTACATTTCTCCCCTGCAATCTCTTGATCACCCCAAACTGCAATGATTTTCGCTCTTTTTGTCGGCTTCATCGTTCTCCTTTCGTTCTACAATTTCTATTGGAAGCGCCGCAATCTTCCTCCAGGCCCTACGCCGTGGCCCATTGTCGGCAACATCTTGGAATTGAAGCGCGCCGAGCGCTGGGAGGACAAATTCCAGGAGTGGAAGGAGAAGTATGGCCCAGTCTACACGTACTGGTTGGGAGAAATCCCGTTCGTTTCGTTCAACAGCTACGAAAAGGTGCATGAGTACTTTATCAAGCGAGGAGAGGACTTTGCGGATCGTCCACAAGTCCCCAAATTCGACATGTTGTTGAGAGGCGGGCAGTTCGGAGTCGCTTTTACGTCGGGTGCGTTGTGGAAGGACCAGCGGAAATTCGCGATGAAAATCTTGAATTCGTTTGGAGTTGGGAAAAATGAGATGGAGAATAATGTAGGCTGGAGAATTTTTGACAAATTTTTGTTTAAAAATCAGTGATTTGGTACCTCTTATATTGAATTTTTAGGTTCTCAATGAAGTTCAATACATGTTTGACAGAATCGACGAGGGTATCAAAAAGGGCGCCAAGGAGCAAGATCTTATCAGGCTGACCAACATGGCAGTGGGATCTATCACAAATATGATCGTTTGCGGCTACAGTTTCACTCAGTCGGTAAGAACTCCATCTTTAATTATAAGCCGTCATTTTGACAGCTAAAAATTACAATTGCAGAGTATAATAATAATAAGAAGAGTGTATAAATATGTGTTATCTTTCAGAAAAAAGAAGAAGAGTTCTACTACATGAGAGATCTCACCACCGAAGCCGTGGAAGTCGCCACATCCGCGCTCTCGAACCTCGGTCTCAACAACCCGTGGATCCTGAGGCTGCCCTACATTGGCGACAACGGCAACAAGACCTTGAAGCTTTTCAAAGAAATTTTCGCCTTTGTTGACTCAAAAGTTCAACAACACTTGCGAGAGAACGACTACAGTCAAATCGCCGAACCCAAAGACTACATTGACGCATTCTTGATCGAGAAGATGCGTCTCGAGGAGCAGGGAGTCACCGACCACTTCTACACCGTGCAACAGTTGCGCAACGCATGCTTTGACCTGTGGGTAGCCGGCCAAGAATCGACCAGTGCCACGATTCCATGGCTATTCGCCTACCTGATCATGAACCCCGACGTTCAGACCAAAATGCAGGAGGAGTTGGACAAAGTCATTGCCAGCGACCGCATGATCACCACGGCCGATCGTCCCTCTCTGCCCTACACCAACGCCGTCATAATGGAGGCGCAGCGTTGCGGGAATGTGATCGCGCAGAACATCCTGCATGCGACGGGGAAAGAGGTCGAGGTTGAAGGGTATGTCTTGCCAAAGCAGACAACGGTAGTGCCGCAAGTCTCGGTGATTATGCAGGATCCGGTGGCCTTCCCGGAGCCAAAGAAGTTCAATCCGGACCGATTCATCGACGAGTCGGGGCATATCCGATCAATCAAAGAGTTCCTTCCGTTCTCAATAGGAAGACGAGTGTGTTACGGAGAGGGCATGGCCATGATGGAGATCTTCGACTTCACGGCCAATCTGTTTAATCGATACAAAGTGTCGGTGGGAGAGAAACTCCCATCGATGAAAAAATTGGCCGGTAATGCGACGGAAATTCATCCGTATACGGTGAAAGTGGAGAGGCGTGTTCCATCGTATGCCTAGAGAGAGTTGAAGATATTAAATTAATAAGAAGAGGTTGTGAAACGAGTGAAATAACAGGACGTGTACATTGTGAAATGGTTTTCAATAAATTGTAGAAGGAATTTCGGACAGAGGAATCAATTTGTGTTGTTGAGGAAATTTAAGGTGTAATTGTCATGTTCTCTAGGTTTGAAATGCCTTGGTCAATCTTTTTTTACTTATTAAAATGAACGTCGGGGTTCATGATCAGGTAGGCGAATAGCCATGGAATCGTGGCACTGGTCGATTCTTGTCCGGCTACCCACAGATCAAAGAATGCGTTGCGCAACTGTTGCACGGTGTAGAAATGGTCGGTGACTCCTGGCTCCTCGAGACGCATCTTCTCCATCAAGAATGCCTCAATGTAGCATATGGATTGGGCGATTTGACTGCAATCATTTTCTCTCATATGTTGTTGAACTTTGAGTCAACAAAAGCGAAAATTTCTTTGAAAAAGCTTCGAGGTCTTGTTGCCGTTGTAGGGCAGCTTCAGGATCCACGGGTTGTTGAGGCCGAGGTTGGAGATCATTCTCTCAGAAAGTTGTTGAGCTTTTAAGAAAACGCAGGCTACGAAAACAAAGATTTTATTCAAACAATTTAACGTTCATCTATACTCAACATCGTCAGAATTCATTGGGAGTTAAAAAAATAGTTCCAGAATTGCGACTTCACCAACTCCGATTTCCCTGGAGTTGGTTGAGCAAATTTCGGACTTTTTTGACCCCAAGACCAAGATGTATGTATGTAAGCCTGTCTCTTTTCCGTCTCAGAAACCAGTCGACCTCTTTCCGAAGTCCATTCTCGTTTCGGACAATGCGAATTTTCACTTTTCCCGACGCGACACGACCCTAACCTATAAATGTTTCGGTGTTTACCGAGTAATCCCCTTATTGTTTGCAGTGATCCTGGTTCAGTTTCTCCGCGACGCTCTGTTTCTGACCTTTGGCTGGTAATTGTTAGCCTTCTATTTCCCACATTACCTGTATTTTCCTATATTTTACAGTTTATTTTTCTAGTAATACAATAAATTTTTACTATCTTTTTATCACTAAAATTGTCGGAAAATCTCTCAAGATGGCGTAAAATCACCCCCGATGAGTTAAGAATGCTATACCCGGTATTTATCTACTGTCTATTACTACCCATACCTCAAACCTTCTCCATGGTCCTACGTATAAATGACGCTGGACTGGACGATCTGGCCGAATACACTCGGCAATGGATGTTCGATACGTTGAAGGAATTGAGAATGGAGAACTTTAGCCATCGGTTTGAGCGAGGGCTGGCGTCTGGCGAGCTGATCTTGTCCAATTTGGCGATTAAGGAGTTTGCTCCGCCGCTGATCAAATATCGACCGCATAGCAATTCGCTGCTCTATGTGACAACAGTTGGGGGAGATGCGGAGGTAAGAGAATCCAATGGAGGAGTCATATCAGTCTGTCGGGAAAATAATGAGCACAATTGCGCTGCGCCGATCGCGTCGCTGAGCTAAAAAGCAACTTGATTTTGTCTTGAGAAAATTTATTTTCTCGGCGGCGATGCGATTTTTTTTGCGATAAAGTGTTCATTATTTTCCCGACAGACTATTATCAGGCCATTACATTATCCGTGTTTACCGCAAAGACTTTGTGATTTCAGATCCACGCCGACTGGCTTATTAATTCCAACGTGCTGGCGGCTCTGGGAATTCCGCTTCATGGAACGGCTACTGGCCGAATCAAGGGCTTCCGGTCGAGTGTAGCCGTAAATGTAGGTATAAAAACTCTGGAATTTACGTTCGGTCAAGATTTTCTTGATCAAAAAAGATTATTAACTTGATAATCAGTCGGACTTGAAAGATGACCAAAAATTACCGGTCAGTTGGCCAAATCTAACCGGTCGAGTAAAATATTCACAGGAAAAAAGTTGCGCAGATTCGCCAACACCCCAAAAATGAAAAGTAAATTCGAGCTGTGCCCAGGAAAAATAGCCCAAAAAGGAAACAGTTCCTTAGGGTAAGGTGGTACGTAAAAAAGAAGGTACCTCACCAACTAAATCCACTGTCCGGGCATTGACAACAATGAATTGAGCTTGCACGCCAAATTTGGGCTAATTCTGACCAGTTTCCACAAAGTAATAAGTTGTGGCCAGAATAAGGAACTTTTACCCCAGCGCTAATCTAAACCTAGGCTAAGCCTAAACAAAGCCTAACCCGGCCTAGGTCTATCAAACTTTTTATTGCACAGAATGTCCGTTGCAGGCCCCTTTCATCTTCCCAAGACTTGTGATATTTTTGGTGGCCAATCTGCGGAACTTTAACCAAAGCTCCCCACTGCGAAGACATCACCTTTGATTTACATTTTCAGGTCGTGAACTCCGTTGAATTGGTCGTCCATCAATGTGTTGCGCGATTCGGCGAGTTCGACCTTCGCCTAACCGGAAGCTTGGCAGCCGAGATACTTCATTGGTTTCGAAATGTGATTGGCCGGATTATGCAAGCCAGAGTCGAACAGGTAATCCAATTTCAGCCTTACATTAGAAAAGATGCTAACTACTTCAAAATCTCCTTCCCTTCAGGCGTATTGTAAAATAATATCGGAGAAACTGCTGACCTGGCTAAAAACGCAACTTCTCAAAGTCCCTCATCGAATTCAGATGAATTTGGGAGAAGATTTCCAATGGATTCAGAGTTTGCATGCTATTCGGCCGGCGGAGAATTTCATTGACTTGCAAATGAAGAACCAGTTTTTCAGCAATGGACTTCTAATGGAGGCGGTTTCAGCAATGCCTCCGGAGACCAGCAGCAGCGTGATGTATCACGGTAGGGGCACAAATATTTCGTATGCCAAATTTTATACAAATTGGGACGTCGCAACAGATTTATTTTGCTTAAAATAGTGCCTACGGCGTTTACCGACCCCTGAAATTTTTAGTCCTTGCTTTACAGAGGCATCGACTATTAATTCACCTTTCCTTTTCCAGAAATTCCCCACACCCCGCACGTTCTCGAGGTTTTCATGGACGAAGCGCTGCTCCAAGAGATGTTGTCGACAGCTCATTTCAGCGGCGAGCTTGTCACAAATATTAGTTCGCCATTCCTTCGAACCGACTGTGATCTCCTATGCCTCGGCAAGATCGTCCCAGAACTCCGTCATTCGCTCGGGAAATCGGCCTTATATGCCGAGGTGTTCACCAACGAGCCGCCGGTCGTTAAATTGGTGACAAATCGAGCGCTGATATATCTGAACGTAACTTTTGGACTCTACCAGAAAATCGATGAGGTTTTGAATGTCCTCGATGTATATAATGACGCTGTGGTTGGGGCGAAAGCCGTAAAACATCCGAATCAAGAGCCGGTGGTGCAGATTGAGATTGCCGGAGAAGCTATTGTTCAAGCTTCGCTGACCGAGAAAAACTTGGATGTGAATTTGAATCTGCATCGAAGCAGGGGCCAGCTGATCAGCTCGAAAATTGTGGGGATTTCGCAAAAAGTAAGCTGAACTTAAAAGGGTATTGTTGAAGATGCAGTGGACTGATCTTTGTCAAATTTTGGGGTGTTTTCTACAGAGTTTAGCCGTCGGTTTTAAACTTCCGGCAGGTACAAATTTAGATAAAATTACTCGATAAAACTTCCTTATTCTGGCCACAACTTACAGTGGCGGTCAAAAAAAACGGCCACCCCAAGATGATGCGCTCTAACGCAGAAGAGAGTGGTCGTAGGAAGATAAATATGGTATCATTGTAAAGCTTATGGAATACTAAGACGTGTGACTATACGCTTGTGGTACTGTAGTGCTGGCCTAGCACGTACTGGAGCAATATGTTCTTTTGGCCTGGTCAAAAAAAAAATGGCCACCCATAATTATTTTGCTTTAAACGCGGTGTATGTTAGAAATTGCCACCATATGGGACTGGACTAGGATAGCTATATCAATACACACCAATTCCAGTATTTTTTACTTTATACATATGCCCTCAGGCATCAGTCAAGGTTGATGACCTTGTTCATAGTCATCAACATGCCCGGCCAAATTTTTTTTTGGGTTTGTGCCGTTGTTTTGATAATCCGAGGCAATACTGCAGACGGTATTGATCGTATTCGTGTGTAAGACTGCCCACTTTTATTAAAATTGTGCCCCTTCTGATAAGAAAACTCAAAAAATGGAATTTTTTGACCTAATTTTCTCCAAAAATCCGTTTTGGAGGCCGCTAAACAATGAATGTAGAATCTTAAACAGGTTTTATTTTTTACAAGAACATCATGGACATTTGTTTTAACACGGCACCGGTTAAAGGAAACGACCGTCCGAAACGACAGATACCGTTTTGTTACAGTTTTCGACTTCAGGAAATAGTCATAATCTTCAGCACTACAGTACCACAAGCGTATAGTCACACGTCTTAGTATTCCATAAGCTTTACAATGATACCATATTTATCTTCCTACGACCACTCTCTTCTGCGTTAGAGCGCATCATCTTGGGGTGGCCGTTTTTTTTGACCGCCACTGTATAACTTTGCGGAAACTGTTCAGAATTAGCCCAAATTTGGTGTGAAGGCTCAATTCATCGTTGTCAAAGGACAGTGGATTTTGTTAGTGAGGTACCTTCTTTTTTACGTACCACTCTACCCTTCAAAAACGGCCGCAGCCTGCGATTTACACTTTATACGATGAAACCTGTCTGGAACTAAACTTATTGCCTCCGTGTAGAACTAAATGCCGTCATAGCCTTAGTACCCTTAAAACTACAGAGCTACTCTAGTAATTCAGTGCCAGCTAGGTCGAAGACTTTTTTCCTAACTTTAGTACCCAAGCTTGGGCGCAGTTCGCGGAGAATCTTTGTTGTGGCCAGAATAAGGAACTTTTCCCAATTATTCTATCGGTGTGTCGGGAAAATAATGAGCACAATGTCGCTGCGCCGATCGAGAAGTGAAACGCAATTTGGTTACCGACACAATTCGTTTTCTAAGTGCCAATGCGCTTTTCGATGCGACAGAGTGGTCATTATTTCCCCGACAGACTTATAATTCCCAAGCAAAACAGGCAAATTGTAAGTCAGAAATGTCTTTCTCAACAAGCGCCTTCGCATTTCGAAAACTCTAGTCGACAAAGTCCGTTGAATATCTCGGCTGCTACAGCAAGGCGTGAGCTGAAATTTTAAGGAAATGATTTGTAATCCATGAACAACGAATGTTCAAAAATTCAAAGAAAAAACTAAAAAAGTGTTGTACAGTGCCAACTTTTTAGACAGTCGATTTGATCCTTTCAATGTCCGTTCCGTTCCTTGAAAATGCCGCGGCGATGTTGCTGGGAAATGGAGTGAATTTACATCAGGTAAAGATTAATAAATTCAATATTAAAAGATGTTTATAGTATTTTCTCCTATACTGTTTTACGTATTTTACAATCTTCCAGGTGATCGACGTTCCCAGTCAAAACGAGTCACTCTATTTTGAGACAGGATTTGTCCACTTTTTGGCCGATATGAATGTCCGAAATTTGCTGTAAAACCGACTTTAAGGCATCAAAATCCCTCCAAAAATGGTATTATCACAACAAGCTAGGATGAAAAAACGCTGAATCTCAATAGCCAAGCACACAATTTCACTTGTATTTATTTCTCAACCGAATTTTATAACAATAAATTTAAACAGTAATAATTTTACTACAATTTTCTAAAACTGGCAAACGAATCCATGCCGCTCCGTGCAGTCCATCCGAACCCATTTGCCCAGCACGTTCAACGCGGTGCAGTCTTTCTCTGTTCGATTGTTTTGGAAGTTTTGGTATCGACCGGCCGGCAGACGGACCGAAACAGAGACCTGGGCGTCGATCCAGAACAAATTGGTCTCAAAGTTTTGGAGGTAGTCTGAATGGAGATTTGACTTAATTTTTTGTTAATTAGAGGCACTGGAATTGAAATTTGATCGGTTATTTGGAGAATCTGGCCGGTCAATTGGGCCAAATAACCAGTCAGTTCGCCAACGTGATCAATTAGTTTTCCGATTTGGCCGTGCCCAGTCTGGCCGGCAGCTTTACCAGTCTGCCTGGTAATATTATATTAAGAAATCCGACTGGTGATACGCTGTATCTGGCCATAATAGGGCTAATCTGACTGGTTATCTCAAAAATTTGGCCCACTGATCTGATCGCCAGGCAATAAGACCGGTAATTTGACCAATGGCATATTAAGAATTTTAAGAAAAGGCCAAGTAATCGATCAATTTATAAGGGTATTAGCCCAAGTGCGACACCCTTATTTTGATGATACTTGGCATAAAGTCAGAACATTGTTTTCTAAGACTTTTGCGGGCCTCCTAGGCCTTGCTTTGCAGAGACAACTAAGATTTTTAGGTCTAAAGTTGGCAAACGTTAGACACTTTTTTACAAATCTTGACATGAAAAATTTCATATCTATTTCTGTACTGCAGAACGTAGCGTTTCCAGAGAAAAAAATTTTTTCTGATTGGCAAAGTTATGGCCAAAAAATTTTTTTTCTCTGCCCGAACTCCGCGTTTCGCATACTCTCTCGGCCGCAAAAATCGTTGAATGTTTTGGCGGCCACTGCAAACCATGAGCTAAAAATTTTAAAAATTGGTATGTGGCTTATGTCCAAAGTGTGCGCAAAATTTAAAGAAAATCTGAGCGCCGCCCTTGGGGTACTGATACTTCCCTACCAGGAAAAAATTAAAACCTTTCCACAAAAAAATATATTGAAAATATTAAGAAAAAACTACCTGTTATTTTCCGATTCTCATTATCCGACTGGATCTCAAGTAATTTCCCCCCATAGCTCGTGCACGTCCTCTTAGCGTCCGACCAAGTGGCTTCCGTTGAAAATACTTTGATCTTCTTTCCATTCGTTCCTAACGGTTTCCAGTCAATATGCGGGTCACCATCGTGCAGAATTTGCCGGTTTTCTAGCCGACTCACCCGCTGAAAATTGAAAATTTGCGTAGACAAGTGCCAATACAACAAAAAAATTGGCTTACATCAGAAAGATTCTTTATCCGCTCGTTGAAGACGTGCTCCATTCGGAATACAATTTCTTTTACCTGAAAAGACAAAAATATCTAGGAGTAGTGATAAGATGTACACAGAACAGAATTTCTTAAGGTGATATGGACAGATTTCATTAAAATTTTGGATAAATATTCAGCCAAGTAGGCCTGGAAAATTGTTGGATGCTTGGCGGATTGTTTGCGAAGGTTCGGCGGAATGTTAACGATGACATGGTATACGACCAACTTTTCTAATTTTAGCAATTGCTAACCTTATAAGTATACAGTGCCGGATCTGACGTACCACTTTGTATCCGGGAAGTATCAAATAATGTGGCAAAATGCTTCCCTCTCCAAGTGAAAAAAACTTTGTTTTGAAGGGCGCGGCCGCGCAAAGGCCGCGCGCGGCCTTTATCTCACTGAAAGTGCGGGCGCGCTTTTGAGATCGGAGTTTTTTCACTTGGGGAGAGAGGTAATAGTTTTCTAAATACATTTTTTGATACTTTCCAGAAGCAAAATGGTACTTTTTTTGAAATTGGGTCAGGTCATCCACTGTAATTTTTTTTCACCCTGAGATATTGTTACATAAAAGGACATTGCTTGAAAAACGAATATCCGTAATCTTCTCTTGGAGATTATTGCAGTAATACATGTAAAGTGCCCAAAATATGCAGCTGATAAACTACCTTATAGACATTTTATTTTGGAGGAATTTTTTTTCGCCCGCAAATGGACTTTTCGATGCCCGCAAATTTTCGCGGTTCGCGACCGCAAATTAAATCGAAATCTGCCCGCACTTTTTCTGCCCGCAAATTATAAAAATGTTATAAAACGCCTGAAACATGGTTGATTAGTGAAATATTTGTATAAATCCGGTGGAATTAATAAATTTACATATGCAAAAGTGTATTTAACAAAATTTTTTTTGAGAAGTGTCTCAGACGCATGTTATCTGAAATAAAATTCCAAATCACGGCATGATATCATGTTTTTGGACAAAGCTGATGAATATGGAGTCCAAACCAAGTTATTATGAAGGCTGAACAAAACTTTTTTTTGATTTAACGAACTTTTCGATGCCCGCAGATCGGAAAATCGGGTCCTCAGACGTTACGAATGTAAAAATCTTCATTGTTATCATTTTTTGAGTAATGTCAAGCTGCCACGAGACAATTGCTGCACATCTACAGGTAGAAAATTTGAATTTCAGCTTTGCGGGCAAAAAAGTTTGAAAACTTTTGGATGCCCGCAAATAAAAAAAATGCTCTAAAATCTTTCGTGAGTCACTGTAATGAAAAAACCTTTGTTAAAATTTCAAGATTAGGCGCTGTGATCGTTTCGACGGCAATTGAGGCCGATCTGTTAGCTGGAAAACGGTTTTTTGGCAGAAAAAATATTTGCGGGCAAAAAAAGTTCTAAAAATTTTTGAATGCCCGCAAATCTGAAAAAAGCTTCTAAATCAATCGAAAGTAGTTGTGATGGAAAAACGAGTTCCATAAGTCACATTACGACACTTTTTACGGCCAGTGACACCGATTTTTCTGTAGAAAAATCCAAATTAAAATTTGCGGGCAAAAAAAGTTTGAAAACTTTTGGATGCCCGCAAATCAGAAAATGCTCCAAAACCTTTCGTAAGCCACCGTAATGAAAAAACCTTGGTTGCTATGTAAAGACTAGACGTTATGATCGTTCCGACGGCAATTGGGGCCGATTTGTTTGCAGGAAAACGGTTTCTGGCAGAAAAAATATTTGCGGGCAAAAAAAGTTCTAAAAATTTTTGGATGCCCGCAAATCAAAAAAGGCTTCCAAATCAATCAAAACTTGTTGTCTTGGGTAAAACTGGGTTAATAACGCTACTATGACAAGTTTTATGACCATTGGCACCGATTCTTTGGTTGAAAAGTTCAAATTTAAATTTGCGGGCAAAAAAAGTTTCAAAAATTTTTGAATGCCCGCAAATCAAAAAAAGCTTCCAAATCAATCAAAACTTGTTGTCATGGGTAAAATTGGGCTTATAATGTCATTCTCACACTTCTTGCGACCATCCGCACCGATGTTTCGATGGAAAAATGCAAATTAAAATTTGCGGGCAAAAAAAGTTCCAAAAATTTTTGAGTGTCCGCAAATCTAAAAAAGCTTCCAAATCAATTAAAACTTGTTGTCTTTTGTAAAATTGGGTTAATAATATATGGTGCCGTTGTTAAGAGACGAACTAGTATCGAGATCTCTTGAGGTCGAGAGAAACCTTCCTGAAAAACCTGCAGTGGATCTGTCAGCTGCAAGAAAAGCATTCGTTATGCATGTGAATTCGCGAGCGGATCCCAATTTTTTGAAGTACCTGAAGTTCAAGTCAGGTAAGCAAGGCCACAAGACTAAAACCTAAAATATAGGACGGTATTACTTGATTCAGTCATCAACTGCCGATGAAAGCGTTGATCTTCTGAAAAATTTCAACGATTTAAAACAAGCCAATTTTAATTCTCTTGAGTCCTACAAAGCCTTAAAAGGATCATTTTACATGCTTCGAAAATGTGGTACGTATTATTCGTGTTCTTGCCCCGTTGGGCAAAAATCGGCGACTCAATGTAAGCACGCAGTCTTTATTGCAAAAAAAGAAGGACTCCATGACTTCACTGAACAAGAAAAGGATCGGACCATCAGGTTTACTGGAAACCCACCCGGAAGACCTCGGCGCGCTGCAGGAAGCGGCGCTTTATCCCAAAAATGAGAAAAAATTCATAATAACAAACCTTTAAGTGACAACTCAACTTCTTCCAATGTAAAATAAAGATGCTATGACTCCATGGGAACAAGTTTTGATTGATTTGGAAGCCTTTTTTGATTTGCGGGCATTCGAAAATTTTTGAAACTTTTTTTGCCCGCAAATTTAAATTTGAACTTTTCAACCAAAGAATCGGTGCCAATGGTCATAAAACTTGTCATAGTAGCGTTATTAACCCAGTTTTACCCAAGACAACAAGTTTTGATTGATTTGGAAGCCTTTTTTGATTTGCGGGCATTAAAAAATTTTTGGAACTTTTTTTGCCCGCAAATTTTAATTTGCATTTTTCCATCGAAACATCGGTGCGGATGGTCGCAAGAAGTGTGAGAATGACATTATAAGCCCAATCTTACCCATGACAACAAGTTTTGATTGATTTGGAAGCTTTTTTTGATTTGCGGGCATTCAAAAATTTTTGAAACTTTTTTTGCCCGCAAATTTAAATTTGAACTTTTCAACCAAAGAATCGGTGCCAATGGTCATAAAACTTGTCATAGTAGCGTTATTAACCCAGTTTTACCCAAGACAACAAGTTTTGATTGATTTGGAAGCCTTTTTTGATTTGCGGGCATCCAAAAATTTTTAGAACTTTTTTTGCCCGCAAATATTTTTTCTGCCAGAAACCGTTTTCCTGCAAACAAATCGGCCCCAATTGCCGTCGGAACGATCATAACGTCTAGTCTTTACATAGCAACCAAGGTTTTTTCATTACGGTGGCTTACGAAAGGTTTTGGAGCATTTTCTGATTTGCGGGCATCCAAAAGTTTTCAAACTTTTTTTGCCCGCAAATTTTAATTTGGATTTTTCTACAGAAAAATCGGTGTCACTGGCCGTAAAAAGTGTCGTAATGTGACTTATGGAACTCGTTTTTCCATCACAACTACTTTCGATTGATTTAGAAGCTTTTTTCAGATTTGCGGGCATTCAAAAATTTTTAGAACTTTTTTTGCCCGCAAATATTTTTTCTGTCAAAAATCCGTTTTCCTGCAAACAAATCGGCCTCAATTGCCACAAAATGATCATAGTGCCTAATCTTGTCGTAGTAATCAATTTTTTTCACTACGGTGGCTTACAAAAGGTTTTGGAGCATTTTCTGATTTGCGGGCATCCAAAAGTTTTCAAACTTTTTTTGCCCGCAAATTTAAATTTGAACTTTTCTACTGAAAAATAGGTGTCACTGGTCGTGAAAAGTGTCATAATGTGACTTATGGAAGATAAAAATGAAGATTTTTGCATTGGTAATGCCTGAGGACCCGAATTTCCGATCTGCGGGCATCGAAAAGTTCGTTTAGACAAAAAAAGTTTTGTTCAGCCTTTATAACAACTTGATTTGGACTCCATATTCATCAGCTTTGTCCAAAAACATGATACCATTTCGTGATTTGAAATTTTATCCCAAAAAACACGGATCAGAGACACTTCTCAAAAGCTTTTTTTGTCAAATGCATTTTTACATATGTAAATTTATTAATTACACCGTATTTATACAAATATTTGACTAATTATCCATATTCCAGGTGTTTCATAACCTTTTTATAATTTGCGGGCAGAAAAAGTGCGGGCAGATTTCGATTTAATTTGCGGTCGCGAACCGCGAAAATTTGCGGGCATCGAAAAGTCCATTTGCGGGCACCGAAAAGCACGTCCTTTTATTTTTCTATTTACTGGGCCTTCTCCTAGCCTTCCTGGAACCTAAAGGATCGTCAACCCGAACTGTCGTTGACCCAACATCTTGTATTGCCAAAAATTATGGGAGGAGTAGGTCGAAAATGGCAGTCCTTTCGTATGACATTTAAAAAAGCATGCTAATCACTCGATATGGACATGAAAGTGAAAGTGCTAACACAAATCGTTACCTCATTCAGAACGCCAGCATCATCGCGAACCGGGCCTCTCGAATTCCGCCTCGACGGTGGTGGGTTATTCAAATCAATGATCAATTTGTTTTCGTACTCCGCGTACACCGATACGCACAAGAAAAGGAGAATATTGGAAATCGGAGATCCCATCGTCACGTTGCTGTCATCGGCTGCGGATTAAATGGCCATAACCTGGAGAAATTGAGCGATTTTTAAAGATTGCCCGCTGACATTTGTTACGCAATCAATTTTAAAGAATTTTACCCGCAGGAAAAAACCTTGAAACGACTGAAAGCGAAAAAAATCGGAGAAAAAAGTTTCAACGGCTACATTAGAATCCGCTAAATGAGGATTAAGCGCTTCCCTCAACAAGTTTGCGCATAAAAATCGCTGGAAAAGAGATGTCAACGAGTTTCGTCGGGCGAAGGAAGAGAGAAGGCCCACTTTTCGGCGGGCTTGTACTGAAAGTGATCTCAAAATATGATGTTACGGCTGTTGTAGACGATGACTGAAGAGAAGTGAAAGGGAGGAAGTGAAATTGAGGTGACAGGGAAAGTACGTACTGGAAGTGCGACGCTCAAATTTTGTCGAAACTTGGCACAACTTTAGAACGTTCTTTCGAAGACGCGAGACTCCTACAGTGAGGGACCTGACCCAGTGGCAAAAAACGTATCATTTTGCATCGAGGAAGTATCACAAAATGTTGCAAAACACCTCCATCTCCAAGTCAAGAAACTCCGATTTCAAGAGTGGGCCCGCACTTTTTGTGAGGGAAACGGAGCGCTCTTCAAAACGATTTTTTTCATTTGGAGAGGGAGGCATTTTGCTACATTTTTTGATACTTCCCGGATGAAAAATTATACGTTGTTTGCCATTGGACCAGGAACTTCACTGTAGCTCGAGTTTTGCAGAAACGACCGAGATTTTTAGGTCGAAAATGGCAAAAATGTGACAATTTTTTTGCGAATGGCGGGACTTCCCCAGCTTTGGCAAAAAACGAGAACTGCTCTATTTGTCAGAAACGACTTCAAAATTGGATACTTCAGATATCTTACCTGTACATATATACATACATACGTATTATGAAGGGAAAGAAAATGGGAGGAAAAGAAGCCAAAGGAAATTGTACAGGTATGTCAAAAAAGCAGTGCTCCTAATAAGACCTCTCTCCAGAAAATCTCCGGTTCCACTCAGCAAACCCCCCATAAAAAACTTTCCAGGAAGATAGCTCATATACCCTTTTGTATATTCATTATTTTTTGACGGACTGACGCCTCCCTTGCAGACGGGAAAGGTTTTATATCGCGGCGAATATTCGGATGCGGTTAATATCCCCCAAAGGAAATTATGTATGACCTACATCGGGAGGGGCTAAAAACCGAAAAGCAGTGAGCTAATTGTGCATGGCGACGAATAATGGGAAGATATTCAAATATGAGTGGAATATGAATGGCGGGGGAAAGGAGAAAGGGATATTACATTGTTATGCGGATGTAGGTCGAAGAATCGTCTCGCTTTCGAAGCCACGGCTCTGATTTTTTGGAGAAAGTAAAAATTCGAAAAATTTGGGTCAGAACAAAAGCGAAAATTTTTTAAAAAAATTTAAAAAAAAATATTTTGCTCAAACTTGGCAAGTTTACAAAAAAATGCAAGAACTCTAAAAAAACCCGCCATCAGTCAGTATTTACTCCAAAAAGTCTGCTGCATACTGTAATCATCATAATTTCCTACTTCTTGTCGGGAGCATTGCTGTGATTAAACTTCAAAACTCGATGAAATCCAAACGGACGATTCGGAAGCATGCCTTTGAAGAGCTTCTTTTTATGCACAGTTCCACTATCCTCGATTTCAGGAAGATCTGGACCACTTGGACCAGTAACTTCTGATCCCACGGCGGATCTGGCCGAGGATAAAAGTGTGTCGGACGAGGCTTGAGAAGGAATATCGTCACTGAAAATGGGAGCTACAGTGGGGGACCTGATCCAGTGGAAAAAACGTACCATTTTGCACCCGGGAAGGATCAAAAATGTGGCAAAATGCTTCCCTCTCCAAGTGAAAAAACTACGGTTTCAAAAACGCGCCCGCTCTTTTTGTGAAGGACCTTCAAAACGAAGTTTTTTCACTTGGAGAGGGAAGCATTTTGCCACATTTTTCATGCTTCCCGGATGAAAATGGTACGTTTTTTTCCACTGAACAATGTTAACAAGAAATCTTAAAAAATTTGAATTTGCCCGTTCAACAGTGTTTTGCCCAATCTGACCGAGCTTGCCAACTGTCATATTGATCAAGGCAAGCACAAAATATTTCTTTAGAGAGCTTGCCATTTGACCAATTCGACCGGGCAAATCGGCCGTGTTACCGGGCAAATTAGTCATATAATTAGCTGGAATGGTCAGGTCAATATGATTGGTAGCTGTTACCGATGCGACCAAACATTTTCAGCATCTACTCGGTCAGATTGACAACCATGAACGGTCAAATTGACCAAATTCCAATTAAAAAAATGGATTTTTTTTTCAATTTATATTACTATATAAATAATACATGCGTATATACCACTCACCGATCAATTCCCAAGTCCCTCAAAGCCTTGGCCCTCATGATTTTGAATTCTTTTCGCGAAACCTCCCCGGATCTCACATCGACCCCCGGAATTGGTGATTGCAGGATTTTCTCGGTACTGCGAAGACTTCGATTGATCAAAACAAGTGCCATTCCCTCCAATGTGACCGAGTTCGCGGACCGAGAAAGTCCAGAGAGTGAAAAGATTTCGTAAACAAGCTTTGCATCCTCTGTTCTCGAAAATCTTCTACAAGCCGTCACAACTTTTAGCGTAAGACGGATGTAATCGTGACCACTGAAAAAGGATGGTTAGGCCATTGATACGGCAGAAAAATTTTTAAATTTTTTAGTTGCAAAAAGCTCACCCAATGATTTTGCGTCTACAAAACGGTAGGATCTTTCCTCTGGCCGTCTTTTCGATCGCTCTTGTGGAGTAGGAACGCTTTTGGAGGTCCACGAGAAAGCGGATTACTCGCATTTGATTTGCCTGGAAAAAATTTTTAAAATTTTAAAAAAATATTTTTAATTTTTTTTTCAAAAATTTCAAAAAAATGTTTTCGAAAATTTTTTATTTTCCTCCAGAATCCTAAAAAACCCACAGTATTCGGGCTTTTGACCATAACGGTGACAATGACACGATTTGCCGGCAATTTCCTGCTTATAGACTCAAATTCAGCCATAGATTCTTGATTCCCATAACGATCCATGATCTCAACGCTCTCCAAATACTCTAAAATTTCAAATAACCCTTTTCCCAACCCCTCACCGCTCTTCAGAATCTCCCGTTTGATCCGATGAATCCCAAGCGAATCCGGCGTATTGATCCACGGATCCGTGGCCAACAAATCCTTGGCAACCGGGCGGTTTTCAGCCTTACAATGGAGACATTTCTTTAGGAAAGTCAACGCCTCTGTTGAAAAGAAATTCCGTTCGGTATGCTCGCCCATTGGATAGAGGATGTTGAAGTCGAAATAGGGCTAAAATGTGGAAATTTTTGGAGAATTGAAAGAAAATTTTTTGGGAAAATTTTTGTGGCCAAATTTGATAAAATTTGGGTGGAATAAAAATTTGAAGCGTTCTGGCAAAAACATAGCCAAAAATTCCGAAAATTCAAAAAAAAGTTTTTTTTGGCTTTTTGAATTTTTCCACAAAAAATCGATTTTTTCGAAAATTGGGGAAACATTTTTAAAGTTTTTTCTGTAAAAATTTTAATTTAGATGGCAAAAAAATCAAAAAAAGTTTTTAATTTTTTTTGTCTTTTGTAAAGTTTTCCACAAAAGAATCAATTTTTTCACCGAAAAATCGGCGAATTATTTCATAAACCTTTCTGGTCCCATCGCCAAAAAACTTTTTACTCACCGACTTCAAAAACTTTTTCAGCGAATACTCCAGCATCTTGTACTTGTTCGTTTGCTTCAAAATATTCCAAAACGGGACTTGGCCAACTCTCAATTCCAGAAGAATAATTCCAACGGACCAACTCTCCGATCTGATACTATATGGCTGCTCTTCGATTGAATTGTCATCAAAAAATTTGAAGAAAACCTCCGGCGCCATGTAGACCTCACTTCCGCAAAAAGTATAGAGTTCTCCTGTCTTTTCACTGTCACTGATTTCGAATTCATGGCATACTCCAAAGTCGGCGATTTTGAGGACACCGTGATTGTCTAGTAGGAGGTTGGCGACTTTCAAATCACGATGGGCAATTCCTTTCTTATGCATGAATCCAATGCCTTCTAGGAGCTGCTTTATGAGCTGACGGCAAGTCGCTTCGGATACACAATCGAATTCGTTGTGAGCTCTGAAAAATGAAAACTAAAAAACAAAAAATTATAAAAAAAATCAAAAAATTCAAAAAAATCAAAAAATTTTTTAATTTTTTTATTTCCAAATTGCGTTTAATTTATGAAAATAAAAGAAACATAAAAAATCAAAAAAAAATTAAATTTTTTTAAAATTTTTGTAAAAAAAATTATCGGAAAATTTAGGCAAATAAAAAAAAATAAATCAAAAAAATATAAGAAAATTAAAAAAAAATAAAAAATCAAAAAAAATTAATTTTATTTTCCATCAAAAACTCGATTTTTCTCAACTCACTTTGCCAATTTCACCTCCTCAATGACATCCTCCAATCCCCACAGAAGCGGCATCACCATGATCAGAATCGATCTTTTCACAATCGACGCACAGTGCAGCTCCACAATATTTGGATGATATAGCCTGCCTAAGGCGCGGATCTCGCGCTTCTGATGGTCAACCATGCTCATTGGGATTCGCAGGACCTTCACAGCGCAGGATTTCTCTTCCTTCGTGTTGAAGGCTTTGAAAACGTCGCCGTAAGCGCCGCTTCCCAGGAGCTCCCAGAACTGGAGATCGTCCAGATTCGGGTCCCATTTGTCTTTGCGGCGGACGGCTGAGTCGCTGAAAATTTATTTGCGGTATTGCTGAAGCTGCTGTAGGCTTGGAAATCGCAGAAAAGACTCAAGTTTTTTTCGAAAAATAGCCAGAAATATTGATTTTTAAAAATTTTTTATTCCGAAAATCATCAAAAATCGATTTTTAGAAATTTTTCGGCTATAAAACCGCAAAAAATGAACTTTTTCGTTAATTCTACGTCATAAAAATTGCAAAAAATAGATTTTTTGAGGATTTTTCCACCTCAAAAATTCATAAAAATAACATTTTCCCACCTTTCATTGGTGTGGTCGATTTCTGATTGCAATTCGTCGATTTGGCCTGAATTTGCAAAGGTCGACTCATCGAAATCGTTATTCATGGCGCGGTGAACCGAGAGCGATGACCCTGAATAGGGCTGTACACCGACCCGCAGTTGGTGTTGGTACAAAAAAGGAATGAAAATTGAGGATTTCGAAAAATTTGATTTTTGCTTGGAAAATCGATTTTTTTGTAGGGTCTTCAGTCTAGGAAAATCCTGTTCTTGGCTTGACTAGATAGACCAGATGACCGAAAATTGGTTTGCTTTTTTATTGGAACAGCGATTTGATTTGACTAACAAGGGATCGGCAAATAGTTGTAACCTGCTTTCTTAACGAAACCTATATCATTTGAAAGAGCATTAAAAATAGTTCACAGCGCAAAAAGAATTAGCTGCCTAAATTCACTTTGGACAAAGTTATGGCCAAAATACAGATTTTAGCCTAATTTCCGCTTCGCTTTATAAGCTCTCGGACAATTTACTGTAACCAGCAGTAATGTCTAATAACATACAACCGAGGATTGGTAAAGCCATAAAACGACCGTGATAGACGTTTTTGGATACCAGAAAATTAATAAAGACAATTTCAAACCGCCAGGATTACTGTAATATAAGGAACCGGCGTTTTGGCGGCATATAACCCCTTTCAAAAAGCGGTCGTATCTATGCCCTAAGGTAATTTAGGCAGCTAATTTTTTTTGCGCTGTGCACTATTTTTAATGCTCTTTCAAATGATACGTGTTTCGTTAAGAAAGCAGGGTGCAACTATTTGCCGATCCCTTGTAAGGCCCTTGATTCAACAGGAAAATTGAGCAAAATGACTGGCAGATTGGCCAATTTGACTGGCCAGTTTATCAACCTGGCTCCAAAAAATCGTTATTTGACAGGCCAGATCAGTCACGCTGCCACTCATAGCTTTCAAAATGGGAAAATTGGTCAAGTTGAACAGCCAGATTGGTTGACTTTCCCGAGAAAATTTATCACATTGACCAGGAAAATATCGTTATTTAACTAGTGGTATTAGTTAATGATTAGCATCAGGCAATTTGGCCAAGTTGCCCGGGCAATTGCCAAAATAAATTTTTTATTTTTCCTATCTGTTCAATTTTTTCAACCCATTTTACTTTACCTCTCTTCTCACCTTTAATACCCCAAAAAAATAAAAAAAGTTTCAAATCCCACTAATCTCAAATTTTTGTTCCCCTACTTTCAAATTTTTATTTATGTTTCGAAAATTTGTCTCCAAATGTCGACGACAAAACTCGTTTTTTGTAATTTTCACAGCGATAATTTTGATTATTTGCTATGTAAATTTGAGCAAAAATGAGGACTTTAATCACGATGTCTATAAAAGTGTCTGTGTTGAGAATGGATACGATTTTTGCCCTAAGGCATTCAAGAATTTGGATTCAAAGTGGAGAGTGAGTTGGATTTACAGGGGAAGTTTCTCAAAATTCAACAATTTTGATGATTTTCAGACCGCGCCAAACTATAAAATTGCATCTTGTGTGATTGAAAAGAGCATGTCAACAGTTTTGGCGGCAATTACTTGTTATTTATACGATTCGGAAAAGTTTATTCAGAGTAATAGATCAATAACTTCGGATGTTTATCAGACAAGGTTTGTGTCACCTTTTCAATAATTTTTTGTCGTTTTCTGTATCTAGGTTTTGTCAAAATGTCAACGAATTCAAAAGCGTCAACCAACTCGAGGAAGCGTTGAAAGTTCGCCGATTTGATTGGCTTTACTTCACCGTGGTTCGTGATCCCATCGATCGGTTTTTCAGTGGGTTTGTGGATAAGTGCCTCAGGTAGGAATTCATTTGCATAGTGAAAAAGTACTAGTCTTTTTGGCCCACCTAGTACTAATCCATTCGCAAAGTTGCTGGAGTGATTTTAGCGACGTGCACGCATAAGAAAAGTCAGCCCGGAAAAGCCCATTGCATGGTTTAAAAAGCCGAAAATTTCACAGTGCAAAGTGAAATTTTGTTTTCTCAGAGTGCATGTCGCTGAAATCACTCCAGCGACTTCGCGCCGGGCTTGCCCGACAAGCAATCAGCACAATGCGAAAGAAAAATCACTGTGCTTTGGTTGCTTTCTTCAATACAATTCATTTCGCACTGAGCGTAGCTCGAGAATCTTATCAGTCTGTCGGGAAAATAACGAGCACTCTGTCGCGTTAAAAATCGCATCGCCGCCGAGAAAATGAATTGTGTCGTGGCAAAATCGAGTTTCTTTTAGCTTCTGCGGCGCAATAGGCACAGCGACATTGTGATTTTATTTTCTCGACATACTGGTATTGTATCCACAAAAAATCATAAATTAATGCATAGTACAATATGCCACGCTCTTTGAAATGCTAGAAAAGAGACACGTACTAATAAAAATTCCATTTTAGAGACACCCGACGCCTCTCAGCCGCTGATCGCTGCTTTGGCTGTAAAGAAGACGTTGATTGTGTAATCGAACGACTTCACAAACGGTCCATTGCATTTTCGCTGGGACGAACAAAGGGCATTTCGTTTGACGACATTCATTTCTTCCCTCAGAACTGGTAAGAATATTACTCATGTATTTTCAAACCTCAGGCATTGCAATATGAAACAAACCTATGACTCGCTCAAATACGTCAAATTCGCGTCGCCAAAGCGCTTGGAATACCGAGAGATGGTTGAGAAAATGTTGGGGTTCTTTCGAGATCAAGGCGTTGAGCTGGAGAAGCTGCATTTTATCCGGTAAGAAGTGCCTTTTAAATAATTAAACTATGAATGTTTACACTTCAGGAAGTCGCTGAACACCGGCCAGACAAGACATTCAACGTCGAATTTGGATCAGCGAAAAGAAATTGAAGCCAAAGTCAGGGCAAACTCGACGTTAATGCGGAAATTGGTGCAAACTTTTTACTTTGATATGATTCTTTTTGATTTTGACATACCAAATTTGGATTTTTAATCATATTTTATGCCGTAATAAATCTCATTTATAATATTACACAATCAAGAGATTATGACATTTTATTTCTTCCCATAGCCTCCAGCGCCGCCTTGGTTAGCATAACCGCCATTACCATAGTTGCTTCCGGTGTCCAGTTCGACAACAGAAGGCGCGACAATCTCCTGGATTCCACATGAGCTTGGACAATGTCCTCCTTGCTCTCCAGCCTCTCCAGGCAATCCAACTGGGCCAGGTGGTCCGGGTTCTCCTCGCTTCCCGGGAGGTCCAGGCGGGCCGGTCTCACCGATTTGACCTGGTGGTCCCGAGTTGTTGGATGGCAATCCGTTTGGTCCTGGTGGGCCCTTAGGACCGCGTGGACCAGCCGGACCGGGTGGGCCCTTAATTCCGGTGCCGCCGATGCTGTCGTCACCAGGAGGGCCTTTGATTCCCGGTTCACCGGGCTCTCCCGGCTCTCCGGGTGGTCCAGCGTCACCGACTCGGCCAGGTTTTCCGGGACGGCCTGGGAGACCGGGAAGTCCAGGTTCACCGGGAACACCGGAGCGACCTTGCTCCCCTTGGGGTCCACGATTGCCAGGAGGGCCGGCTGGGCAGATCACACTAAAAATGGTGACATTAGGACTCATATTTTAACTATCAATCCGTCTGGAAAATAATGAGCATTCTGTCGCATCGAAAATCGCTATTGCCGAGAAAATGAATTGTGTTGCATCAAAGCCTTTTTACTTCAGCGATGCGATCGGCTCAGCGAAACTATGCTCATTATTTTCCCAGCAGATTGATATGGAAAGGTTTGCTTGTATAAAAATGCTTTAAAGTTGAATGAAATGCAAGTTCTTACCATGGGAAAGCGGGTTCAGGCTCGAGAGGAACGTCCAGTCCATCCAATCCAGGCTTGCCTGGGCGTCCAAGAAGACCATCTTGACCGTCCTCCCCATCCACTCCGGGAGGCCCTGGCGGGCCTGGAGGGCATTGAAGTTGAACACAGCTAGTGCATTGGCCATTAGCAGCGTCGTCCATTGGGGCTGCGCCATAGCCTTGACGCTTGGCACGGCCTCCCGACTTCACGATCAAAATATCCTGCCAAATCCCTCGGGCGGTGTACTGAAAATTTAAGAATGATTGTGGGGCTCTAGAATGAAGCTTTTTCAATTTTTTTTGTCTCTGAAAAGTCAATAAAGCTCACTTTAAAAGCGTTCATTCGGCTTTCAATATCGGCGTGAGCCGCATCGAGTCGGTAGATCATCACGGGGATAGTGATGGCCATGGCGCAAAGACATAAGACGCTGATTGCGGCGCTGAAAATAGCCGCCTTTGGCGGCGTCTCCGCCGTGATCTCTTTGATCTCCATGGAGCTGAAAACGCAGATTCAAAAAAGTATATTTTACGTACACGATTAACATAACAGGGATATTTAACATTACTGAAACGGATTTTTAAAACGGCAAAGGGGAAAACCGACCTTATCAAACTCTCCGATGAATCCCGACTGACGAATTCCTGCGATTTTTTTAGTTCTTGCCGATCGCCTTAATTAGGTAGGTCATTATAGGAATTATCGACGCTTTCGGGGTTTTGATTTAGGTTCGGAGATTTCGGATGGAAAGAAGGTCATCGGAAAAAGATTTTTTGTTTGTTCCAACGGTCGGAAGGAAAGAGTTTGTGAGGCGTCGCGACACTTGCGGACAACCACTTTGCGGGCAACCAGTTTGCGGGCAAATTTTTTGCGGGCAGCCACTTTGCGGGCAAAATTTGGGGGGTCACACTTGCGGGCAGCTGAAACATTTGCGGGCAGCTGAGACATTTGCGGGCAGCCTGGGACATTTGCGGGCAACCGAAACTTGCGGACAGCCGACATTTGCGGGCAACAGGAAAAAACAATCACACAGACTGTATTGGTACTTTTGGAACTGTTGCCCGCAAATGTCGGCTTCCCGCAAGTATCGGCTGCCCGCAAATGTCGGAAAACTTCCAAAATATTGCAGCAATTTTTCCACCTCCACCTTGTTATCCTCAAGTGCCGGTTGCCCGCAAATGTCGGCTGCCCGCAAATGTCGGCAAATTTCCAAAATATCATAGTAATTTCTCCCCCTCCATTCTGTTACCCTCACAATCAGGTCTCGGTTGCCCGCAAATGTCGGCTGCCCGCAAATCTTCCAGGCTGCCCGCAATTGTCGACCCTGCCCGCAAATGTCCCAGGCTGCCCGCAAATGTCGGCAAATTTCCAAAATATCATAGTAATTTCTCCCCCTCCATTCTGTTACCCTCACAATCAGGTCTCGGTTGCCCGCAAATGTCGGCTGCCCGCAAATCTTCCAGGCTGCCCGCAATTGTCGACCCTGCCCGCAAATGTCCCAGGCTGCCCGCAAATGCCGGTGCTGGCCGCAAATGTCGGCTGCCCGCAAAGTGGCTGCCCGCAAAAAAATTGCCCGCAAACTGGTTGCCCGCAAAGTGGTTGCCCGCAAGTGTGCGCCCGCCGTTTGTGATGATCTGTTTTTAAACTCCCGTTTGATTGGTTGTCTCAATGATACAATTAAAATTTCTATGAGTACTATTTTTTAAAAGTGCGTGAAGGCGCGGCCCTCACCGTGCCCAAAAAACCCCCCATTTTACACCGCGCATTTCGCCTTTCTCTTGGCTTTTGGAAAACAACCTTTCTTGAAGTTTGCACGGTGCGGTGGCGACAAGCACGGGAAAAAGTTCAAAACCAACCGTGCGAAAGAGAAAAAAGTCCATACAATCTATGAAAATGCAATCAATCTGTCGGGAAAGCAATGATACGTGCAAAATTTAAAGAAACTCTGGAGGTTGCAAAAAATTCCCTCAATACTGTAGAAGTGATGACATTTATTGTACAAACAACCAACAACATAACGAAATGACGCAAAAATATTATAATTAGCCTTCTAACAAAACACTTTCATCGAACATCCTCATAATAAGTGTCAAACGAATTAGGCGTCCTCCTGTCCTCTTCAATCTCCCGAATCTCCGCTTGCCGTTGCCGATTCTCCGCGATATGTCGATTAATCGTCTCCAATATAACACAATTCCGATAGACAATGGCAATGTGGAATTGGAAGAAGAGCGCCTCCATGATGAAGAACACTCCCATTCCCATGGCGAGGCCCTTGTGGAATACGAAAATGTTTGGGTAAAAGTATTCGTTTTTCAAATTTACACCCGCAAAATCGATAATGTTCAGAATGATCCAGCCAATACCAAAGACCAGTCCTTTGAACATGGAGACGACATGCTGAAAATTGGAAAAAAATCAGACTATTTTTTGAACAAAATAGTTTGTCGGGAAAATAATGTGGGTTTGTCGCTACAACATGTCTCGCTTCGTCGCAGTCGCTCTCCAAATCTCCAGCTGCTAGTCCTGGCATAGCAATAATGGGCAATTCCAAAACGAGACTAATCCACATTATTTTCCCGACAGACCAATAAAAAAGTATCCCAAGTGCAACGCTCAGATTTTGGCTAAACTTTACATACAATTTGGGCATACGCCATGTATTAAATTCCTGAAAATTTTAGCTCGCGCTTTGCAGGCACAGCCGAGATATTCAACAATCTTTGTGTCCGAGAGAGTACGCAAAACATAGGGAGCGGTCAGTGAGAAATAAAGCTTTTTAGCCGTATCTTTGCCAGTTTCCCGCGGGGGAAAAATTGATTTTTTTGTGTGGTAACATTACTCTCTACGGTAGAAATAGCTGAAATTTTTCAGCCAAAACTTGCAAAAAGTACATAAATGTTCAAATGTTCGTTCATTTGTCTTGATCAGATTCAAAAAAAATCCATACACTTACTTGCAGTGCGCAATAAAACAATTGCAGCCATACAAAGTGCCGAGTAGATCCAATAATCAGCATAATATTGGCCAAATTTGAGAGGCCCAGAACAAAAGAGACTGATTGAAAGTCGATGGCGGAGAAGAAAATGATCAATCCAAGGGTTTCGAAGGCCGCGAAAATTGCAAGAAGCATAGACAAGGTCTAAAAGATTTTTTTTAAATCGTTTCTTTGGAAGGTAGGTGTAAAATACGAAGTCGCACAAACAGATGCTCAAAAACTTACCCACAATCTCATGCCGCAAAAGCTGATCCAATTTCGAGTGAAGGGATAGAAAAATATAAAAACTTTTTCGAACCAGTCCATTTTGTAAGTAATTTAATTTTAAGTCATATAAATTTAAATCAATAAAAACAAAAAAAACAGTGAAATTAGTTTTTGCCAACAATTAAAATAGCAAAGCGTTCGAAATTTATGAGAAATAAGGTTTTCAGAGCCGACCAAATTTATGATAAGGAAGAAAGGGAAAGAAACGCAAAATATGTATGATAAAACTCTGAGAAAGGTATTATGTTAGTCAAACATTACAAGGTCGCACCTTGTTGCGTTTCATAATTTTTGAATATCCCATAAATCTATGCCTATCACAGTGGGAGAACTGATACAGTGGCAAAAAAAGTGCCATTTTACATCCGGCAAATATCAAAGATGTGGCAAAATGCTTCCCCCTCCAATTGAAAAAACTCCGATTTCAAAAGAGCGCCCCCTCTTTTTGTGAGGGAAATTGCGCGCCCTTCCTTCAAAACGAAGTTTTTTCACTTGGAAAGGGAAGCATTTTGCCACATTTTTGATCCTTCCCGGATGCAAAATGGTGCGTTTTTTGCCACTGGATCAGGTTCCACACTATACTATCAGTCTGTCGAGTAGGGGAGGCAAGGAAAACGCTCAGTTCATAGAAATAATAGGACCAACCTGATCAAGTTTACCACCTATTTTCAGGTATTTTACATGTATTACTGCAATAATATCCAGATAAACCTACGGATCTACGTCTTTTAGAGTACCTTTTTGTCCTTTTTTTGTTGCAATAACATAAAAACTATCGTTAGCAATAGCCAGACTTGAAAAAAGTTTTCATATTGTAAGGCTTCGCCAGCTTTCCGCCGAGTCTTCACCGAGCGTCCGCCGTGCATACAGCGGCTTTTTTCAGGCCTCGTAAGCACCTCCTACGGCATTCTTTTGCATCTCCACACACCCTACATTCGTATTGATTTTGAGTTGACCCGAAAAGTCGGGATGCGGCTGTAAAGAATTTTTATTGTACTTATTCCGAAAATACAATCAATATGTCACCAATTTTATAAAAAGCTTATAACAGAGATAACAATTAAAACAACGGCTAATAAATCCATACAGTACGTTTTAAAGATAGAGAGTTTCTTTGATTTCGGTTCAAAATACTTTTTCCAAACGCGATTGTCAAACTTGGCATATTTCGTAGTCATAAATACCACTTCATCTAGCTGAGAAATGGGTCGTTCTGTCCACAAGTCATGCATTTTCACAATGTTTTTCTTGTAGACGGGGTCTTTGGCCGCCTTAAATTGGCTTTATAATATTTTTTGTAGCTATTACTCACAGTTTTAATCTCCTCTGCAAAAACATGCTCATTTACGGTAAACTTGTTCAATATCCTTCCGATCCTCGCTTTACCAACCAGCTGAGCGTTGGCCGACTGCTCCGCGAATAGTGGCATAATAACGATCGGAACTTTGGCGCATATTGATTCCTTTATACTGGAAAAAATGGCTTTACAAGGGAAGTACTCCAAGTACGACGCTTCGAATTTCTTTAAATTTTGCATACACTTCGAGTAGAGGACAGATATGAATTTGTGAAAATCTTGGCCCTCGCTTTACCGGGGGCAGCCGAGATATTCAACGATCTTTGTAGCCGAGAGAGCACGCAAACGCTGAGAGCGTTCATAGAAAAAAAAACATTTTTTAGCCGTAGCTATGCTAGTTTCGTGCTGAAAAAATTGATGTTTTGTGGAAACATTACAATCTACGTTAGAAATAAGGTCAAAGCTTTTCATACCAAAATTTGCAAAAAAAGTCTCTATTTGTCAACTTCTGATCTAAAAAATCTCGGCCGTATCTACAAAAGGCGTCCTAGGAACCTCGAAAATGTTTTAGAAGAATTAATCTATCTCTTGTGCCCGAGTTTCATCAAAATCTGAGCGTCACATTTATGTTACTTCCCTTCCGATCTGTGCGAAAAATCATCCAAACTTCTCAGCATCCTCCCCCCTTTTCCTCACCTTTTCAGCCCTCCGTGAGTAAGAAACGCCTTGGTTTTGGGATGACTGAGGATCTCGATTTGCGGTGACCACTCCACATACCGTACGTACGGCTGTTTTGCAATCTTTGTACCGTTGATTTTCACCGAAACAACTACTCGATACTCAGACAAGCGCTGGACTCCATTCACCAACGCTTCGATAAGATGTTCAGGGGCATATGTGAAGTCAATGTAGCTGCCAAACGCGATGTAAATTGTTCCTTTTGATGCGGGGTCTTCGATGAAAACTTTGAGATCTTGTGGGATTTTGGAGAAGTTGGGTCGTTCACAGTGGATCCCGGTGTGCTTTATCATTGGCAACGCTGAAATGACAGATGAATTCTTATTTCTACAGAGGGCAATGTTACCATGAAACTGGTAAAGACATGGCCAAAAAAGGGCTTTTCTCCCTGACCGCTCTCCGCGTTTCTCGTACTATATCTCGGCCGTAAGGATCGCTAAAATCTCGGCTTCCCATGCAAAGCGCAAGACAAAATCTTCAGGAATTGTGTCCTATGCTAACAAATTTTTGAAAAATTAAGCGTCAATTAAAGAGAGACTTCTCCCGATTAGGTGAATAACAACATTTGTATTCGTTGAATGCGGATTTACAAGACTCCCCTAGAGCCACTTACTCGGTATTGGCCAGATGTTATAATCAATCGATTCGATAACCGATAAGCCAATTTTCTGATAAAAGGATGACCATTGAAAAGCCGGCAACCCAAGGTAATTTGCAGAGGAAATCGTGGAGGCTTCGTCTGAAAAAAGGGTCATTCAAAACATTTTTCTGGAAAAAAATGTATCGTAAAGCCTTTATTCAACCTACCTGTCATTAAGAAGCCATAAATCTCATAAACCCACAACTTAATATTGCTTATTCGGTCTTTAAATTTTCTAAAATCCATTATGTCATCGGAATTTCTTGGCATCACAGTAAAAATGTATGGGCTAATCGCGATACTTTTTGCTGTAAAATACGATATTTGTTAATTTTTTCTCAGTTTACGCACTCAATCCGAGCAAAATCATATTGTAATCCAGCGGTTTGGTGGTGGAAAATAGTACGACTTTTGAGCCATGTATGCGATTCAAAACGGATGAGATTACCGCACAATGGACACATGGGATGTCATCAATAACAATGAGGTCGTATGGAGTCGCAAGGAGCGCTGAGAGCTGAAAAAATTTGGGATTTTCAAAGATGTCATATTTGCACAAAAAAGTAAAATTTTGCACTGTGCAATTATTTTTTTGACTTGTAGCTTTGTTACACAGTAAATTTAATAGCTTCTGAACATATTGGCATTTTGGTTGTGAGAAGAATTTTTTTTTGCATCGCTGAAGAACAGTCTTTTTATCGCACAGTGCAATAAGTAATAAAACAGCGTTTTGCACCGTGCAAAGAAAAAATAGCAAACTTTGCCGAAAGGCGAACGAGAAAATACAGCTAGACAAATATTATAACCTGCAATTCAGAAAAAATTATTCCGGCTTCAACTGAGAAATCACCTTTTTTCTTTCGCACAGTGCAGTAGGCTTCCTCAAGCCTACCGCACAGTGCAGTGAATTTTGACCAAAATTTCCAAAAAAAGTGAAAATGTTAATAATATAACTTATCGCATCAGTGCTAACAAAATAAAGACGTTGTCAGCTCACCTCACCCCACTTTTGCTCAATCAGTTCCATCATAAACTTATTCCCATCAACTTGAGCGTTCACCATTGAGAACCCATTATAAGGCTTGGTCAAGAAACGAATAATGGCTTCTTTTCGGCCAGAAAAATCCGGTGGGATGTAAAATTGCTTCACGGATACTCCAGGATACTGTTTGGGCTTTTCATTCGAAGTATCGAGCACAGTAACGTCATAACCCGCATTTTTTAGGCTAAAGCAATATAATTTTTGTTTTTTCGATGTCCGCACAGTCGACTTACGCCGTAGAATAGTGTCTCATGCTTTCTTGATGACTCCCAGTATCTCTTCCACTAATAAACAGTGCAGTTTTGCTTGAGGTCGCAGTATTGAAAAGAAAAAGTAAAATCGTCATGAATAACATCATAATTGATGAAAAAACGGTTGAATCCTGCTGTATTTTTGCAGGAAATCAGTGTCCGCTCTGTGTGCGAACGTGTTTTCTCACAGATAAGACGGAACTGTTTGATAACTTCCAGAAATTCGATGAAAAATCATTATTTCTGCCGGTTTGATCAATAATAATAAGTTTTTGTTGATAAAACATGTGTTTAAAGGTGTGACAAACCAAATGAGCGTGTTTTCCACTCTTCGTCTTCTCAAGATCCCTCTCAAAGTCGAATTTTTCCGGAAACATCCGAAATCCGAGACGGCGTCTGAGTCCCGAAACGAAAACAAGCCCAGTCCAACACAGCGTTTGGCATTGCGCTTTTTCGCAAAAATTAGACGAAACTGATCTCGAACCAGTTGAATCGGGACTAACTCGATTCCCCAGAGGCGTTTGGATGGAGATTTTTACACGGGACATTAGATTTTTATCGAATCTACCTTGTGAAACGTGAAAAAACGCGATTAATTTGGTTTTTGGAGTAAATTAGGTAGCTAATTTTTGTCAATTGGCTCTATCCACGTGGAATTGTGGTTTCGGTTTGTGCATTGGATTTGTATTTGGGCAGAGATGTGTTTTTTGCGTGTTTTTGTTCCCAAATTTGTTGTTTTCAAATATCAATTGGTGGTCATGGAGAATATAATTTTTTTGTTACCTAAATCCGCGATTTTCTTTGGACTTTTTGCTGTAAATTGTGGCCATTAATGTTCTCGTGGTGTTGATGTAAACGAGCCCATAAAATTTTGGATTATGTTTTTATTTCAGGTTAAAATAACTTTCCCCTTCAACATTCACTTCTGACGGGTAAAGCACGAAGGATTGTCGAATGGCGGGGGCAAATGACTTTGGCGAAAGTTTTGTCATGTCTTCGAGGAAGAACCGCCACCGACGTTCGGACTATGGCTACACGCAGCAGCCAAGGATGAGGCCTAATTCGGAACTGGGAGAGCCGCTGAGGTATCACCAGCAAAATCGGCCAAATAGGTAATAATTTTTTCATTGTTGCTTGTTTTTTAGGTTTAACAGAGAGAACACTATGTGGAGAAGCTAATGGGATGTAGGGGGTTTTTGTTTATTGAGGAATTTACGTTCTAATCGGCTTTTCGGACATTAGTTTAGGTATCAGATGAGAAATTTGCTTTTCAGTGTATTTTTTGGTTCTTTTTTGCATAGATCATTTTGCGAGTGCTACAAGATATTGTGCTGTTCCTGTATGGCTTGATTGTAAGCCGTAGGATGCATTTGTTATTCTTTTGCGGCCCATAATTTAGGGTAAAACCTTGCAAAACTAAAATAATATTTTTCGGAAGTTTATTATTTTCCTTCAGCGCTTTTCGTTACCGTTCTGGTCGAACACCGGCTTTTGAGGATTTCCGTGAGACTTCTTCGTCCGAAGAGTTCGAACAACCCGGAGTGAATTATGTCGATCAGCAGCGTTATCCTCAAGCCGCCAGAGCTTCAGGAAGTCGTCGGATGCCCCCATTGCAGCAAGAACCTGCTATGTTCAGCGATGAGGACATTGCTTTCTGCACGATAGTTCAATTAAGACCAGTAAGTTTAATTATTTTTTATTATTTTCGGATTTTAGAGCGTAATCAAACGATTTGTCATTGAAAATGAGCCCCCAGAACAATTTTGGGACATGAAGCCGGTGGAGAAGGCGGCGTTCTTGTTCTACTACAGCTGTTATAACCGCTATATCACGGATGTCCCTCAGTTTTTAAAGGTGTTCAATTCAAGATTTTATGCATTTATGTGCAATGAAAACCTAAACGAAGAGCAAGCTTTGATCAAGGTGAGTATTTAGACTTTTTTTGTTGATTTTTAGGTCATTTCAGCTCAATTTGGAGTAAAAATTGTCAAAGATTTGAGATTTTTGCCATGGATAATATAATTGAATCCCAAATTTCAGATTTGCGACCTGACAAAACGCGAATACCAAGCTCTTCGTCAACGACAAGCCGCGATTCGTCAACAACTTGAGGAGCGTTCCACAATTGAGTCCCAGAACAGCGAACAACCCTCGTTTTCGAACCTTGACAGCGACGAATTAAGCCTTGATTCGGGGTCAAAAGAAGCCAAAAAATTCAACTCACACCACCCGATTATCAAGTTCGGACCGGCCGGGCGGATTATCCAATTAAACCCTAAGGTCATGCCAAATTCGTTCGAATTAAAAAATGTGAAAAATTTGTTGAAAGACAAATTCGAACTCGGAAATGTGGAACTGATGGACCAATTCCAAGGCCCGCTGAATATTGCCCACACTCAGTCACAGAGCGTTCTCTTGTTCATCAGAAGACAACTCTCAAATATCGTGGATTCGGATATTTACATTGGAAATCCCTATTCCAGCGATACAAATGATTGTATTTTAGTCTGGAGACTGTTGGAAATGGTTGTCAAGCAACAAGGAGTAAGTAATTTTGATTTTTTTTTTTGCTGTCTTTGGTTTTTAGGTACAAGATGAAGCAGAATTTTGATCAATTTTTTGATCTTGCTCGTCATGGTGAATATAATTTTTATCTTTAAATTGGTGATTTTAGCGTGTAACTGGAGCGGATTTGGCTGAACTCTTGTGCAAAGATCAGATTTTCCCGAAGAGAGCCCTAAGGGCACAGAAATCGATTCAAAGTGACGAAGGAACGGGGAGTCAGGAAAGCCTTCGCAATGAACGAAGTGTCCCAGCTGATGCTCTTGAGCATTTCACAAATTACCTGCTTGGAGGCCATGTTGATGTAAGTTGTGCAAAAAGGTCGAGTTTGGGTTAGTTTGGGAGCTTTTTATATTATACTTGACATGTTATACTTGAGATTACATAAAGGGAATTTTTGATGTGTCTTTTTGAAATTTTTGGATGTAAATGGTAGTAAAATACGGTGGTGGAAATTTCCCTTTTTCTTTTTATGATCCATTTGATTTTTAAGGCTTTTTTATATTACACTTGACATCAGATGTAAAAACTTTTATTTTTTACTTAATTTTATCGTTTCAGGAGGCGATAAAGTGCGCTGAGAATGCCGGACTCCTCTTCGACGCCATGGTCTTGGCCTATCGCATGTACGCCGACACGAATCGACCAAAAATGGAATCGATTCTTCAGCGCCTCCTCGCCGCAAACCGCTCCCCTCACCATCCAGCCATGACCCTATACAGCGTTGCCGCCAGTCAACCCGTCCCTCTACTCATGCACTCGGATTCGGACGATGGGAAAGGATGGCGGGCCCATATTGCGATTGTTTTGGCCAATTTGAAGACAGACGCAGCCATTGATTCGATTTGCCAATTGGGAAGGGCCCTGGCCGCGAAAGACTTTAATTCTGCTGCTGATTTTTGCTTCTTGGCTGCGAATTTGCTTTCCGATCGGGATTGTTTCACACCACCGAATGAGTAGGTTTTAAAAGAAGGTTTTGTCATGGATAATATAATTTTTTTTGAAATTTTTGAGGTATTTGGTATTTTTCGAACAATTATGTGTCTAAAATGCGTGAGGGATTAGAAAAACTCATTTTTGAATTACATTGTAGCTAGAATAAGAAAAATTTTAACATTTTTTTAAATTTTTTGATCGATTTTTGCCCTAATTTATAAGAAGTTTATGCCAAAAATTGTCTTGAAAATAGTTGATTGATAACTGAAAAAAACTTATTGCTTCTTTTTTAGGGCCCAACCCGTATCCCGCCAACACATTGAGCTCATCAAAGCGACCCTACCAGACGACCATGTGTATTCGCAAGACACTCGATTCGGCTGGTCGATTCTTGATTTTTGTGCCACGGAAATTTACGAATACGCCCTCAGACTAAAGTATAATGGAGCCGCAACACCACTGACCAAGTCGGCGGCCTTCCAGAAGCGTCGTTTGGAGTACGCACAGCTGTTGAACGACTATGGAGGATCAGCCCCAAATGTCTCGGCGTATTGCACATCCATTGCAGAGAATGTCTGGGAATATCTGTACGGATTGGATCAACGTTTCGTTGCTGATCTCTGTGACCTGGCTGAGAGTCTGAAGTAAGAAATTTTTTGGAGGAAATGGGATTTTTTGATTTTGCACAGTGCAGAGGATGTTGGTGGAAATTTTGCACTGTGCAAAATTTTTTTGAGAAAAATTTGTTGAGTTGAAGTTGAATTTGACTGTTACTGATAAGCTGAGCTTTTTATTGATTCGATTTGAGATGTTTTGAATAGCGAAAAAGTGGTTTTTAACATCTGCACAGTGCAATGTGAGATTCGCACAGTGCGGATGTTTTGAACTTTTTTGTCATAATTTCTAGGAGTTTTGAAGTAAATTCTGCCTGTTTCAGGGTAATTGGAGCCCAATCCGATGTGGATACCCAGTGGATTGACACCGTGCGGCAGTGTTACATCCAGCATTACCTCCAAAATCCCCAATCCCAGCCTCCCCCAGAGCAATTGTACCACCAACTGCCAGCTGAAACCCCCGCCCCGGAACTCCAGAAAACCGGAGACGTCACAGAAATCAACCCCGAGCCGGTCCCGGAACATCATCAAGTTCAGCAAGTGGAATACCATCAACAGCCCGTGATGAGACCACGCCCGGACTCAGCGTTAAGTCAGATCAGCCAGTACTCGGCATTTTCGGCACCCAAAAAGACCAATGATAGCCGGGCGACCGCTCAAACATCTTCAAGAACGTATTCGGAGTCGTCGGTGGCATCCGAAAACAGTAAAACTTCGAGAAGTTCTAGGTGAGTTGAAGGTTTTTTGATAGGGAAATTGGTTGTGAAAAGGCTAATTTTGGAATTTACGGTGGATTGAGAGGGGAGATTTGAATATTAGAACAGATTTTGAACAATTTTGGATATTACTTTAGCTAAGAATTGATGTATTTTTGATTTTGATGCCTAATTTTTTATCTTGTTTTAGTCATCGCACCGACAATGCCACCCCAGAAGCCTATCCCCATCGACCTATCATGAATTCCACCCCAGTGCCCCCCAAATCGCCTCAGAAACAAGAAGTTTATCATCAACAAGCTCATAATCAAGTTCAAAGTCAGCATCAAGAACATCAGCAACAGGATCAAGGATATAGTCAATTCACTCAAGAGCATCAGAATCAAAATCAATACGGATACGGAGACTTTTACAGCCAAAAATCGCAGGAATCCCAGCGAAAAGACAGCCAGGCCAGCTATGTGAGCCATCAAAGCCAAGCGGCACAGGAACTGGCTAAACAAATGAACAGCCTCGGCCTAACTCATCAAGCCCAATTTAGCCAGTATCGAGAGCAAACCCCGGCCACACCGACCCAAAAAGCCCCCACTATCCCGGAAAATCAACATGAACATGGCTATGAAAATCGACATGTTTATGGAAATTATCAACAGAATCAAGGCCTACAATCCACCACGAATCATCAAGGATACACCCAACAGTCAGTGGGCATCCAACCGCAAGGATTTGAACAGCCAATTTTGGAAAATAATCAAATTGGAAATCAGCAGATTCCCCAACAAAAACAAGGAATTCAGCCCCAACAGCAGACCAAACAGAGTGTTCAACCTCAACAATTTCAACAACAACAATTTGCTCAGCCACAACAACAGTTCAATCAACAAAATCAACAGTCGCAAGAGCAGAATGGCCAAGAAAATCGCCAAAAAGAACAGAAAAAGGACGGAAAAGGCGGACTTTTTGGAGGTCTGAAGTCGAAATTGATCAGTATCATCCCCTCAACCAGCGAAATGATCCTCCCCGATGACTCCAAAAAGTCGATAGTGTGGGATGAAAAGCTGGGAAGGTATGTTGGAGACGGTGTTGAGGAAGAAGTTGCCCCGCCACCACCTCCTTCAATCCCAATGGCTCAAGTGGCCCCGGTGGCTCAACCTACCCCACAACCAGCGGCCGCACCGGCACCAACGGTAGCTCCAACAGCCCCTCAAGTACAGTCGGTAGCAAATCCGATGTTTGGAGGCATCCCACAGCCAACACAGCCGGTTGTTGCAAGGAGCAGATTGCCGAAAGGTAGGTGAAGATAAAAAGGTTTTTTTGAAGTGGTTTTTTTGGGGTGAATAAGGTTGAATGGAGTGTGTTAGAGAGTAAATGGACTGGGAAAAATATGTTTTGATTTTTTTTTAGGGCTTTGAGGTAACCTTTTTTGATTAAACTTGTGCAATGTGCGACCTGATCCAGTGGCAAAAAACTTACCATTTTGCATCCGGGAAGCATCAAAAATGTGGCAAAATGCTTCCCTCTACAATTGGAAAAACTTCGATTTCAAAAGCGCGCGCTCTTTTTGTAAGCGCTCTTAAAACCGAGGTTTTTTCACTGGGAGAGGGAAGCATTTTGCCATATTTTTGTTGCTTCCCGGATGCAAAATGGTACTTTTTTTCCACTGGATCCGGTCCGTCACTAAATGATTATTTCCACGACAAGATGTAAGGAAATGATTTTGCAGAGATTACCAATCTTTATTAACGTTTTTTCAGGTTCTCGAGGCTATACCGCCCCTGCCAACGGCTTTGCTACAGCTCCCGCGGCTCCAGCTCCAATGAATTTAATCCCGGCGATACCTACAGGCGCTCCAGTCATGAATGGTTTTGGTTTTATTCCACAAGCCGGTAAGTGGGCCACAATTTGTGGATTTTGAGTATAATTTGATTGAAATTGCCAAAAGTTTGATTAATTTATATTGTTTTAGCCGATAATGAGGACTCCAGCCCATTCAGTGACTCGCCATTCCAACAACCCGACCCCAATCAACAGCAAACTCAACAGACAGCCCAATGAACCATCTGAGCGTGTAATTAAAAGGGAGCCAAGAGGCTTGCAAGAGGTGTTCCCGGAGAAAAGTTCACTTATATTGTACTTGCTCAACGTATATTATCCCATTAATTTATGTAGTCCGTAGGTTAGCGTAGAGTTTCAGACTGTTTTAATAACATTGTATAACTTATTTTGTAAATGTAGAACGGTTTTTATCTTGTGGTCTTGTTTTTGGCTAAATTTTTTTATAAATTTACCTTTTTTAGACCCAAATTGGAGAAATTTTGATGTATTTTGGTGTAAACTAGGGTTTAGGTGTAACTTCAAATCAAATCATATTCCCTGAGCTGTTCCGCGTGTTTCATAACATATGTCCAGTAGCTTTCACGGTGTTCTTGTCGCGCTGTGGTCTTATTTATATTATCTTAGTCTCTTCTCCCCGTTTTATTGTGATAATCTTGTTAATATGTAAGGTAAGAGTAATTTATATAGACGTAATAAACGAGTATGGTATGGAGGTGGGCTTGAGGATGTATTTTGGACCACTTTTTTTGCATTTGAGCTTGCATCGCGACGCAATTTGGGCCCCACCAAGAAAACAAACCATTTGAAACGGAATGCCAAAGAAAATAAAAGTTGGCCAAAATTCCGTGAAATTTGGCCAAATAGACATGAAACCCTCAAGAATAGCCGGGCCGAGCACGTAGTCTACTTGTAAGTTTTTTTATTTTGTATTTTTCTTCAAAGTTTAGATTATCAACCATGGAGCACATACAAGATTAAGTGTTTATGACTATTTTATGACCGATAGATAAGGTTGCCGTGTTTTGGCAGCGAGAATGGACATTGATCTTACCGATAATAGGGGTGTATTGCTCTAGTTTAGATTTTATAGGACTATAGAAAAGTTTTGTATAGTTTGAGCATAGAACAATGTTTCTTTTCGTTCCCTTCTCCCTTTTATTCCAATTTTATGGGATTATGGATGTCCAGCGGAAAGATCAAGGGCTTCTTTTGCGTTAGGAATTCTTTTCATGGGGTTTTTTGGTTGGAATTACAAAAGATTTCTTTTAATGTAGAGCAAGGTCAGATAGAAAGTATGGTGTGAAAAAGACGTCAGATTGCCGGGATTTTTTTATAGGAGAAGAAAGAGGTTAGGAAAGTGTCATGTGGGTATTTTTGGCCTGCAATGAGTCATAGGTTAATTTAGACTGACAAGTTTTCAATTGTTCTCTACATCAAGATGAAATTTGATGGTTGCGGTGTTTTATGTCAAAAAAGTTCGGTGTTTTTATGTCAAAAACTCGCTAAAAGGCTTTTTGAGGGTTTACAGGTCATAAACGCGCTGAATTAGCAGTTTTGCTGGGCAACTCTAAAGATTTTTATATTACACTACCTATGAGATAGAAGAAACGGCCCAAAACTTGATGTTTATTCAAAATTGCTGGCGGAAATTGGCTCCAATACAAGCTAAGAGCCTCTTGTTTTGCTTCAAAGTTGTAAAACCTTTAAAAATGTTCGATAAGAATCGCAGAACACTCCAAACGTACCGTCAAGTCCTCACACCCTTGGGCACAACTCACTACACTCCCGCTCCCAGCCCCATAATTGTTTTCCGCGCAGTTCGAAAAGAGAACGGTCCGTAGAATCGCGAAAAAAACTTTATCACAAGCGCGCCTTCAACTGAAAGTTTTGCGTGTGTTTAGAGCGCGGCCGGCTGCAGTTTTTACATTGTTTTCGGTTGTGACGACTGATTCACTGTAAACCCCGCCTTCGTTTCGGTGTTCTGGGGTCGGGAATGAAGTCTGAAGTACTTAAGGATCTGAGTTCCAAGATGTTTCAAAGAGTTCGTTACGTTTTGAAGGGGAATTGAAGGTGATGGGGGTAGTGTAAGATAATTTTTATGAGACAATTGGGTGGTCTAGATGTTTTTTGATTGCTAATTGATCGAGGAACTTAGAAATACAAGAATTTTTTTGTTTTGAGGTTTAAATTTTAGTGAACGAGCAAAAGTTTTCAATTTTATACCTAAAATAAAATAAAATTATAAATTTTTGACCGGATTTTTGTCCAATTTTGCTATTTATGGTAAAATACACCCTTGGATGCTATTCTGTTGAGTGCATCATTATTTTCACATAAAAATTCTGATTTCGCTCAGTTTTATATTATACATGACAAAAAACTCGAAAAAGCTCAATTTTCTTCAAAATTTTCCTTATTTTTTCTCAGAAATCTTATCAGTATTATCGATGTTTCAGTGGCCCCAACATACAATGAGCAGCGCTGCCCCCAAGAATGTTGGAATTCAAGCATTGGAGTTCTATTTCCCTCGACGATACATCGAACAAACCGCTTTTGAGAAGGTAAATTTAGGTTTTGATCGAAGAGTCGTGTTGTAAAATACAGGGTGGGCCACTCGAAACTCCCAACATCTTTTCAGGTATTTCTCCGCCAATAATGCACCAATTTCTATAAAATTTATATCAAATTGAAGCTGAGACACCCCATTTCTTGTCCACCAAAAATGGCCCGTCTAACTTCACGGAAGCACCCGTACTGACCTTTTACATTTTCATTCCAAATTTTGGAGCCCGAAATCGGTGAAACTTAGAATTTTTTTGGAATGATTTTCAATTGAGTTTCTCGGACTTGGAAAATCTTTGGATTACAGGCAATAAAAAAGTCGCCAAATTCGCGGAAAAAATTTTAAAACATTGAAGTTTACGCCCGTACCAAGTGCGTTAAACCCATATTTCAATCAGGCGAGGTACCAATCGGGGCGAATGAGAACAAAAACTGTTTTCTCGGGCAATCTAAGCCTGGAAAGTTTCTATGCATTTTCGGGATGGACGTAATCATGCATGTAGACAGTTTCTATCATTTTTTTAACATTTTGAAAAATTTCGAATAATTAAGCCTATTGCCCCAGAACACAAAAGCAACGCCTTGAAAATTTTTTTTTGACTATTCCGTTGACTGCCATAATTTTTTTTCTGCTGCTTATAAAAGTTTTATTTAGTTGAAGGCGCAAACACTTTCCAATTCCGAGAAACTCAACTGGAAATCATTCCAAAAATTTTCTAAGTTTCACCGATTTCGGGCTCCAAAATTTGGAATGAAAATTTAAAAGGTCACTACTGGCGCCTCCGTGAGGTTAGACGGGCCATATTTGGTGGACAAGAAATGGGGTGTCTCAGCTTCAATTTGATATAAATTTTATAGAAATTGGTGCATTATTGGCGGAGAAATACCTGAAAAGATGTTGGGAGTTTCGAGTGGCCCACCCTGTAGTTGTAATTTCTGTTTTGAGACTTTGAAATAATTCTTTTGAAGTTTTATAGCCATTTTTCTCAATTTTTGACCTAAATTTATGTTATTTTAGGCAAAATTGCAAAATTTTTAATTTTTTCATTTTAAATATTGATTTTTTGACCCTAAATAGCTGTCAAATTAAGATAAAAGTAAAATTCCAATATTCTGTTTAAGTAATTTTTCAGTTCAATGGCGAATCGGAAGGCAAGTACACGATTGGGCTGGGCCTAAAACAGATGGGCTATTGCGACAATAACGAAGACATCAACTCAATTTGTCTGACCGCAACCGCAAAACTCCTCGAACGATATAATGTGGACCCGTTGAACGTTGGGTACCTAGTTGTGGGCACTGAAACCACCATCGACAAGAGCAAGTCGGTCAAGACGAGTCTGATGGAACTTTTCTCCGCCAACCCCAATATTGAGGGCGTGGACATCAAAAATGGATGCTATGGAGGAACTCAAGCCCTCTTCCATGCTGTGGACTGGGTGTATTCGAACTGGGAGACTGATGGTAGGGAGATTTGAGGATTTTTTTTGGAGATGGGTTGATGGGCAGTATAATATAAAATTTTGATGGGAATAAGGAATATTGATGGTTTAAAAAGTATTGTGGAATGTTAAGTAGGGTTTTGGTATATTTTGGACAGTGAACTTTGAATTAATTGGAGTTTTTTGGATTTTTGGTGGCTATTTTTGGAGTACTACCTAGTGTAATATAAATTTGGATGGAAATAAGTAATATTGATGGCTTAAAAAGTATTGTGGAATGTGAAGTAGGGATTTTGGTACATTTGGGACAGTGGAACTTTGAATTAATTGGAATTTTTTTGATTTTTGGTGGCTATTTTTGGAGCACTACCTAGTGCAATATAAATTTTGTTATTTTTGGTTTTGTGATGGATTCTGAAAGTTGTATGAGGTTTTTTGAGAATTATGATAGCGAATAGAAGCGTCTGTAGTTGGGGTATAACGAGAAATAATCAAATTTTAGGCGAATTTTGGGTTAATATCTAGTGTAATATAATTTTTAAGAGTTTTTTGAATTTTTCTTTATATTTGAGGCTAAAATGGGGTCTGACAAAAATTTTGGGGCCAGCTGTATTGTTTGAAACTGTAATTTGGCAAGTGAGAAAAGTTTAGTAAGCAAAATTTATAAATTTTATATTTTTAGGCCGCCTCGCCATTGTTGTGAGCGCCGACATCGCGGCGTATGCCCCAGGTCCGGCCCGATGCACCGGCGGAGCAGGCGCCATGGCCTTCCTGGTTGGACCAAACGCCCCATTGGCCCTGGAACGAGGCCTTCGAACCTTCCACATGTCCAATGTTTACGATTTTTACAAGCCTTGCAAAGGAATTAACAGCGAGTTCCCGTTGGTGGACGGAAACTTGAGCATGGTCGCATATCTCAGCTCGGTCGATGAGTCCTACAAACGGTACAAAGAGCGGCACGAAACGTTGCATGGAACTAGTGAGTTGGGGTTTGAAGAGAGGGAGAGGATTTTTTGGAAGTTAATTTTCGAAATTTTAGCTCCGAAGGCCCAGGATTTCGCCGCGATTATCATGCATTGCCCATTTTATAAGCTCGTGCAGAAAGGCTTGGCCCGAATTTACTACCAAGATGCAATTGGAGGCCTAGAAACGGGAGAACCGGCCACCGCATTGCTGAAAGCCAGAGGGTAAGACCTTTTATTTGAGATTTTTAGCAATTTTTTACCTAAAGTAACATATGTTTGTCGAAAAATTGCGAATTTTGGACGTAGAAATGTTTTTTATATTGTGTAATTTCGTATTATAGCGAGCTAAGTACCAATCAGACCTATTTCGATAAGAATTTCCTGTCCACGGCCGCGAAATCATCGAAGGAACTGCTCAATTCGAAAGTCGCCCCGAATATCACCTTCAACCAAAGAATTGGAAACATGTACACACCCTCAATGTACGCTCAATTGGTCGCGTTCTTGGCCAGAACAGCGCCGGCGGAGAGTTTGAATGGCCAGCGAATTCTCGCCTTCTCGTATGGATCAGGCTCGGCGGCGGCGATGTACTCAATAAAACTGAATGTAAATCATGATAATGGCAAGGAGATGTATAGAAGGATATATGAATGTGCAACGGAAGCTGTAAAGCGACTGGAAGACCGGATATTAACCACTCCCGAGGAGTATACTGAGGTAAGGGAGCTGTTTCATATTGTACATGGGAGCTGATGGGAGAATTTGGAAAATTGGATGGTTTTTGAGATTTTTGGGTGAAAATGAGGGTATATCGTAGATTGTTGAGTTATCTAGAGTCTAGGCTGTCAGTGGAGAGTGATAAAAATTGATTCCTGAGTGTATGTCCACGTAGGAGCGCTGTTTTATACTGTACATGGGAGCTGATGGGAGAATTTGGAAAATTAGATGGTTTCAGCGATTTTTGGGGGAAAATGAGGGTATATCGTAGATTATTGAGTTGTATAAGGCCTTGGCTGTGGCTAGGAAATGATAAAAAGTGATTCCTGAGGGTATCTCGCCGTAGAAGAGCTGTTTTATATTGTACATGGGAGCTGATGAGCGAATTTGGAAGATTCGGGTTTTTAAAGCGGGCTCTAATAATTCACATGATTTGCGATGTGCATACGATAATTAGAGGCTGTTATGTATCACATTAATATTTCAACAGACAGTTCTAGGAAGGATAAAGCGGTAGAGGAAGGGTTTTATATTGTACATGGCAACTGATCGGGGAATTTTGGAAAATTGTTGTTCTTGCGTAGTTTATGAGGAAAGCAAATGACTACTATGTGGAGTAGAGGAGAAGAGGTCTTTATCGACCAGTAAGCGCGAGTTCTAAATTGAATTTCTTTTGTATTTCTGGGTTTTTGAGCAAAAATAATTTTATCGTATAAATTGTCCCCGAGTGCAAAAAGGTGAATGGTTTACAAAAAGTAGAGTGCTGTTGATACTAGGATTTGAAAATAGCTGTTTTTGAAATATTTGAAGAGTTTTTGAAGTATGCTTTATTTTGATTTTTTAAAATTCTTTTTACACTTTTTTCGTTGATGCAAAGTAATTTCTTTTCCAGGCAATGTCCCGCCGTCAAGCCCTCGCAGAAGCCGAAAAAGGCACCACCCCAGTGAAGCCGGACCAACTTTTCCCGGGCACTTTCTACCTCACCGAAGTCGATGATCTCCATCGACGGTTCTACAACCGCACGGAATGAATCTCGTGATTGTATGCTCGATTTCTGATGTCTTCTTCCTCTAGGAACAGCTTTTGTAACAACATTTTCTATCAGTACTATGCTGTAAATGGCACTAAATTGTGACTTTTTCAGCGATTTTTGTAAATTGTAGCTTGTTTTAGTCCCGATCAGAGCCTTACACCCGGTCTTCTTTTGGCCATTTTAATTCGAAATTCCAGGTAATTTCCACTCAAGAATTCCCCCCACATCCATCCACTTATATTGTTATAAAGTTTGTAAAAATAAAATTACAATTTTTTTTTGAAAATTTTTTGACCTTTTCGCTAAGTTGAACGTCTGAAGGGAACGATTTATGTATGTATAACGGTCTGTCGGAGAAATAATGAAAAATTTCGCACTTCCAGCGCCTTTTTGCCATGAGGGGAAGACTTGACCCAAATGAATTTGGTTTGGGTCAAGTCTCCCTCTCCGCGTATAATTCGTAAAACGGCTTACGTATGATACAATTTGCCAAAAAAAAAAGAAATAAAAACTTTTTATGAAAACTCCGTTCTTTTTAATTCAAATCCCGTCGACCGGTCGACTAATCCCCCCGCTCTGCATTGGCACTGAATTTACATGAGCAAGGAGCCGTGTGTGGACGAATATTTGTTGGAGAATCAGGAGACATGGGAGGGCCGCTGCTTCGATACTGGCCATGATGTCGCGAATGCGCCGCCATTTCCCTCTACAAACTTTGTGGCGGTCGACAATGGTAGGACAAGTAACGGGATAATGAATTTTTGAAAAATTTTTAGAAATAAAAAATAAAAAAATCAAAAAATTCCAAAAATTTTTTGGCCAAATCTTCGGGGTTTGTCATAAATTAAGGTTTGAAAATTTCAGAAAAATGGATTTCCATATATGAGATATCCAAAAAATCTCCAAAAAACCCCATTTTTACCAGTCTGTCGGGAAAATAATGAGCGCAATGTCGCTGCGCCAATCGCGCCGCTGAAGTGAAAAATTTTATTTTTCCCGCAACACAATTCATTTTCTCGGCGGCGATGAGAATTTCGATGCAACAGAGTGATCATTATTTTCCCGACGGACTGATAAATTCCTTGTTGATCCTTTCCCCCAAATTTCAAGCAAGTCCAAGGAATTTTTCCGAAATTTTTAAAACGCGTTTAATTCTTCGGACCACCCGCCTCGCTCTCCCTTCCGCAACCCCATTTTCGTCGAACCCAAAGGGTCGAATTCGAAGGCGCTGCGGGTGGTCCGAAAAAGTAGAAAAAATTCCGAAAAATGAACTGAAAATCAGGGTTAACGTCGAAATTTTGGGATAAAATTAAAACAGATGACTAAAGAAGCCCTATAGAGCAATCTGACAAAAAATCTTGGCTATAGCGAACACTCCGTATAACGACAACTTTTTGAAATTTTTAAAAAATCGACTGAAAATTCGAGTTAACATTGAAATTTTGGGGTAAAATTAAAACAGATGACTAATAAAGCCCTATAGAGCATTTTGACAAAAAATCTTGGTTATAGCGAACATTCAGTATAACGACAAATTTTTGAAATTTTTTAAAAAATTTTATTTTTTTCCAGGAAACCCAAATCCAAAACACATTCGCTCCTCAATGTATCGTATTCCGCGTTCGGGCCGCAATTACAAAGATTTGAATGTCCCATTGTCGGTTACTGTAACTCCATTCGCGGTCTTGGAACATCCGGACGAAAATCCGGCGCAATTCCGGCCAAATGAAGGGAATCCCCCAAATTGCGGCCAATGTGGAGGATTTATGAGTGCGCACACAATATTTGATCCAAGTGGCCAGAATTTTGAATGCCGGTTTTGTGGGTAAGACCGATTTTTTATTGGAATTTTGAGGGTTTTTTGAGAGAAATGGCGGGAAAATGAAATTTGATTTTTTTGGTTGAAAAATTTGGAAATTTGGGAAAATTCTTGATGGGATTTGAGAGAATATGCCTTAGGCTATTTTATAATAATCGCATTCTAAATAGCTTTTATTGGATCTACTTCAAAAATTCATTTATATTGCTTTAGGTCAAGTGTTATATAATGGCTAAAATTGATGACTAACGTCAAAAATCTCATATAAAATGTATTCTAACTGATGTCTAAGGGAATTTAGAATAATAACTACCAGTGACTACCTACTACCCGCTCCATTTTCCCTAAATTTTATTGTTTTTTTCGTTTTTAGCTCCAAAACCCCTGTTCCTTCCGAATATTTCGGTTACGTCGACGAGAACGGCTATCGACTCGACAGGAATTACCGACCCGAGCTTTGCCGCGGTACCTATGATCTTATTCTGGAAGATGGAACTGACAATTCTACTCCGTTATACGTGTTTTTGATCGATATCTCATCGGCTTCCAAGGAATGCGAACTTTTGCAGGTGGGTTCGTTTTTTTTTTGAGATTGGTTTTTTTCAATTGACGTAGATATCAGCAGGCGTATTTTACATAAAAAGTCGCGTGTTTTAGCCATGTTTGAAGATGAGTTTTTGGCTGAAGTTCACAATTAAAAAAAAATCTTTTTACTGCAAAGTCAACAAAAAATTTCGTATGTCTTTACAGTATTCTGTTAAAATGGTAATTTTTATTGTTTCTGTACCACTTTGCAATGTTCGATAGATGCTATTTTTGCCAAAAAAGCAAAAAAAAATCGAAGCCACCTAGGGGGATCGAACCCCTGACCGTTGGATTAAAAGTCCAACGCTCTACCGCTGAGCTAAGGAGGCTCACTTCAAATTTTTTTCCGAAAGGCGCTAATGAGGTTGGGAAAGGTCTTTGAAGAAGAAATCAAAAAAGGTAGGCCCGGACCGGCCCTGAGGGCTCAAAAAAAATTTTTTCTTGTAAAATTTCCCTTCATGATTAACCTTATTTTAGGCAGTTCTTGACAATTTGATCAAACATTTGGAGTCCATTACAAATACCGAAGGGCACCCTCAGCCCAGAGCTACCGTAATCCTCGTAGACGAATATTTGCATATTCTGGACATCCGCAATCCTCATCGTCCTGGGCTATGTTCAATTACGGATTTCGATGAGATCTTCCTCCCATATCGAGAAGAGCTGATTTCAACGCCGGAGGCAATAATTTGCGCTTTGAAAAGGTGAGCTTTGAACTTTGCGTGCCTAAAATAATTTTATGAAGCCTAAAATAATATAATTTTAGGTTAAATCACCCATTGGAATCTTTGATTCATCCCAACCCCGATCGGCCGTCTATTTTGGGCCCTGGTCTGGAATTTGCCCTTAGGCTGTTTGAAGAGTTCGGCCGGGTTGGGAAGGTGCTGGTTTTTTTGGCCAAACGCCCCACCAAGAATGTTCAGGGAGTGGTGATTGAGAGGAATGAATTGGGAAATGGAAGCGAGTGGACGCCGGATAAGGTAAGGTCAGAAAAAGGGAAAATATTGAGTTACAGCGGTTAGAATAACTTTAAATTTTGCATACGTCATCTCTGTGTGAATTTCAAATTTTGGCAAATTTGCCCAGCCAAATTTAAAATTTGACCAATTTGACCGGTCATATGCCCAAGTTGCCCAATTTGACCATTAAAATTTTTTCAACTGACCAATATATCCGGTTGATTTGTAAATCCGATCAATTTGACCGGTCGAATTACCAAGTTGCCCAATTTTTCGGGCAATTTTAAATTAGACCTTTTCTGACCGGTCAAGTTTGCAAATTTTGCAGTCGAAGCCTAATATAAATCCCTAAAGATCATTTTTTAAAATTTCCATTTTTTTACTTTTATTCATTTCAATCCTGTCTATTTTTTAGCGTTACCTCGAGCCACTCACCCAGTATTATCCATTGCTGGCCAACAAGTTTCTTGACAAGGGCGTTGGGATCGATCTCTTCAGCTGTTCTCGAGGTGATATTGATTTGGCCACAATTGGGCAATTGTCGGTTGTGACTGGAGGGAATATCTATTGGTATGACGACTTCTTGGTGAGTTCATTTTACTTCATTTGGAATAAAAATGGAACTTTTGAGGCTTTAGAATTTTTTTTGAATCTGACTGGTCAGGGTGGGCAAGTTGACCAATTTGACCGGTCAGTCAGTCAAATAAAATTTTTAACAATTTCCGCTTATCTGCGGTAGTTTAAATATGCCCGGTCAAGTTCATCGGGCACATTGGGCAAATTGGTCAACTTTACCGGTCAAGTTGACCAATCAAGCCGATTATAATGTCGACAAAAATTTTTGCAATTTCCACTGATTACGGTACGAATGTTTTAATATACCCGGTCAAGTTCACCGGTCATATTGGGCAAATTGGTGAACTTGACCGGTCAAATTGGGCATTTTAGAAAAAAATATTTGATATTGCCCTACGAATGACTGACTGAAATTTGACAAGTATCCGAAACTATATACCTCGACTACTTCAATTTTTCAGGCAGAATACGATGGAGAAGCCCTTTACCGCGACATTTCGTTCTCTCTGGAAACAGAGCAGGGATTCAATGTGGAAATGGAGTTTCGGACCAGCAAATGTAAGCGATTTGGCATTTTTGCCAATACAAAATTTTTGAATTTTTATTACTTTATCACAAAAATTCAAAAAAATTGTTTTAGTCATCCGAATCACCTCGATTCATGGAGCCCCAACGTCGTCCACGTCTTGTTCAAATGATCTAGAAAATATCCGAAAAGTCCGATTTGGCAGTCTGAATTCGACAATTCAGTTCGATTTGGATATTGGAGCAAAAATTTCGGCGCTTCCGGAGAAAGTTTTGATCCAAGCGGCGACAAAATTTGTCGATAAATATGGTAGGACGAGGCGGAGGATTCTGAATTTGTGTCTGGGAACTACGACAGACTGTGAAGAGGTGGTAAACAATCTGGATTGGTCTGTATGGGTATGAATTTTTAGGTCTAAAGGGCTATAAACAAGATTTTTTTGCGAAAAATATCGAAAAAAATTCAAAAATTGGTGATTTTATCGTTGAATTTTGTGAAAAATGAATTTTAAATACGGTAGTTTGAGTTATTTTTTACTCTTTTTATGGTATTTTTTAGCAATTTGAATAAAAAATATCCAAAAAGTCCAAGCCACCTAGGGGGATCGAACCCCTGACCGTTGGATTAAAAGTCCAACGCTCTACCGCTGAGCTAAGGAGGCTCACTTCACAAATTCCTCCGAAAGGCTCCTAATTAGGTTGGAAATAGACCTAATTGGACAATAAAAAATTACATCGAAAATGTTGTTGCAATACGAAGCATTCGTTATGTAGAAGTTTTATCTTTAATATCAGCCTGTCGGGGAAATAGTGAGCAATTTGTCGCATCAAAAATCGCATCGCCGCCAAAAAATTGTGTCGCGGCAAAATAAACTTGCTTTTTTCACTTCAGCTGCGCGATCGTTACGCTCATTATTTTCCCGACAGACTGATAATATCGAAAATTGAAATTTTTTTGCTTTTCAGACGTCGCATTACCTCAAACTGGCCACATTCCGAGTTCGTCAGGGGGATTGGTGTGTGGCTGAGACCAGAAAGTCCCTGATGAGATCTTTGGTCATCAGTCTGGCGTCGATTCGTCGCAGATTTGGCGCTCATATCAAGCAGACTTCACTCTTTATACCGCCAACCATGAGGATGTGCCCGTTGGTCCAGCATGCAATTTCAAACAATCTGAAGTTATTTCCAAGTAGGTTGGCGGTGATGGTAGTTTTAATGAAGCTTAAAAAGTTGTTGGAATAGGGAATTTTGGTCAAATTGACCGGTCAACATGACCAATTTGGCTGGTTGTAGTGGTCATGTTTTTTCACGAGAAATTCAAAATAAATTTTTTTTGAATTTGGCTAATCTGATCGGTCAGATTGGGCAAATTATTCACGCTGACGGGCAAATTGGTCATCTTGCCCAACAAACCAAAAATTTCTAGACAATAATTCTTGCCAGAAAATTCAAAATTTTTATTTTTTTACACTTGACCAACTTGCCTGGTCATATTGGTCAGATTGGCCATTTTGCCTAGAAAATTGGTCATCTTGCCCGAAGAGTCAATAATTCCTATACGAAAGTTCTTTGCCTGCGTGGAAACATCAAAATTTTCATTTTTTTAAACCTGACTAACTTGCCCGGTCAGATTGGTCAAATTGGCCATTTTGCCGGGCAAATTAATTTTGCCATTTTTCATCTAAAACGACAATTTTCCCTCTGAAATTCACCTTTTATTTGCAGCCAAAGCCCCCAAACCCGACGAATATGCCTTTTATTTTATGGCGATTCAAAGATTCGGCCCAGAAGAAGCCCTCAAATTCGTGATTCCCCGTGTCTACAAGCTCAACATCTACGAGGAAGTTGAAGATTACGATGAGGCATACGCCGCTTCGCGGATATTCCATTACCTAAAAAGGCCGGCGAACTACTTTTTGAGCGAGAAGAGTATGTATTTGATCGAAAATGGGTGTTCTGGATATATTTGGATCGGAATGAATGCGGATCCTGATGATGTGAGGAGCTATTTGGGTATAACGGAAGGGAAGTTGGACTTGAGAGCAAGTGTAAGTTGACTTTTTGAACTTTTTTGAGGAAAAATTGTAATTTTGATGACAAATGGCAAAATTTTTTTTTGAATTTTGAGCTGAAAATTTCAGGGATTGAATCAAAGACTTTTTAGGTCATCTGTAAAAAATTTCATGAGAATCTAACATTTACTTTTCGAGAAAATTTAAATTTAAAATTTTTTTCCCAAGTTTTTCACTTTAATTTTTTATGCCTTGAATATAATTTCCTTTCAGTTCAAGGTCCTCTCAATTGACACGCCGGAGAATCGTTTCGTCCACAACGTCATCGCCTATCTCAACAACGGCCGCCCCCGGCAACTATCGATCCAGATTACGCGGAGCCAATCAGCGTCCACTTACCAAGCCGAGTCCCTATTGGTCGAGGACGAGCACACACTGGAGGTTCGTAGCTATTCCCGATTCCTTCGCGAATTACACAGCAACATCCAAATGATGAGTATGTGAGAGTAAACGGGAATGCTTGAGGAATTTTGGGGTTTTTTGGGGAAAAAAATTTTTTGGTTTTTTAGAATTTTCGGTGGTTTTTGAAAAGTATTTATTATGGATAATATTCAAGATTGATTTGTATGGTTTATGGATAGTAAGAGATATGAAAATGGCAGTATTTTTACAAAAGAGGGGATCGTGGAACGACTGGTCAATTTTCCCGGTCAAATTGGGCAACTTGCCCGGTCAGATTTGGTCAAGTTGCCCGGTCATTGTCGGTAGAAATTAATCGGTCATATTCAGTTAAACTTGTCCGGTAAATTGGGCAACTTGTCCGGTAAATTGGGCAACTTGCCCAGTCAAATTCGACCAAATTTCCCGATCATGATCACTCAACCTGCCCGTTAATTTTCCACTTCCCCCCTCAATAAGTCTCTCCCCATTTCTCCTCCTTTTCGGGGATACTACAATACATTGCCACAGGCAACGCAATCGATAAAAATGCGTAGATAAACATGCACAGTCGATCAATAGCCATGGCCATGAATCTCCAGTCGGCCTGCTCGGTTTCCTCCTCTTCCTCCTCTTCGGCGCGGATTTTGGACTCGTGCAAATATTCGCGGAGCTCTTTCATCGTTTGCCGGAACAAATATTCGGTGGTTTTGGGCTTCTCCGACTTTGGTGGTGCGGTTTTGATTGGGTCTAGAAATGAAATTTTTTAGTTGGAATATTTGGGCAAGTTGCCCGGTCAGATTGGTCAACTTTACCGGTCAAATTGGGCAACTTGCCCGGTAAAATTTGTCAACTTTTTGGAAAACCTTTATTTAATTTTTTTTTCAGTTAGTCTTGGTCGACTTTTCCAGTCAAATTGAGTCAAAATTTCCGGTGAGATTCTGTGGAAACTCTCGGACAAAATTGGCCAACTTAACCGGTCAGAATTGACAAAAAAAAATATCATTTCCCGGGCAAGTTAATCCCTAGAAACTCACCTTCTTTCTCCTTACTTCCCCTCTTCCTCAATTTCTTCTCTTCTTTCCCAACCTCTCCATTTTCCATGTTCTCTTCCATCATTGGCTCGACCTCCTCTTTTATCGGTGTAATCTTTCCCAAAATTCTTGTGATATTGGTCAACGAGCCCAGAGAGTTGCCTCTGACCAGTCTGGAGGCGTCTTGTTTGACGACCAACTTTTTGAGTGCCTTATATCCCGAAGAGCGAGTTGTCGAAGTTGAGGCGGTGGATGATGAAGAGGTTGTTGAGCGGGTTGAACCTCGGCTGAAATATAAAGTAGAGTGAAGAGTAAAAAGCAAAAAATTTGAATCTTTTCTGACTAGAAGTTACGATATGCCCGGGAATGTCTTCCTGAACGAAATCTGACCAGGTTGATCAAGAAAACCTTGTTTGTTTTTACAATGGGCTAGATCATGACAGGCCCGATTAAATTGGGCAAATTGGTCGTATGAGCAAGACTGGTTAGATTGGTCAGATTGGCCAAGTGATCGGTCAGATTGGGAAAGTTGGCAAGCTGCTCCGGATACATTGGAATTATTGATGAGATTGGTCAAGTATCCCGTGAGATTGGGAAAATTGGTTGAATGACCAGGCAGATTGGTCAAATTGGCTAGATTACTCACATGACCAACCTTAATGGCACTATGGGTAAAGTCAGTTAACTGACCGGTCAAATCATGAAAATTAGTCCTGTTTGCGTGGGCAAATTGGCAAGTCGACCGGTTACGGACCCGATCCAGTGGCAAAAACGCACAATTTTGCAACCGGGAAGCATCAAAAATGTGGCAAAATGCTTCCCTCTTCAAGTGAAAAAACTGCATTTTGAAGGGCGCGCCCTTTCCCTCACACAACGATCGGGCGTTTGAAATCGGAGTTTTTTCACTTGGAGAGGGAAGCATTTTGCCACATTTTTTATACTTCCCGGATGCAAAATGGTACGTTTTTTGCCACTGGATTGGGTCCGTCACTGTATATGACCACTTTAGTAGCACTATAGGTAAAATCTGTCAATTGACCGGTTAGGTTGGGTAAATTAGTCGTTTTTTCGAAGGCAAATTGTTAAGTCGACCGGTAAAGTTAGCCAAATCAGCCATTTGTCCAGAATGGCCAAAATTTCTATATGATCAGATAAACTGGACAAATTGGTCATGAGGTCAAACAGATTGAAAAAAAAAACCGCTGCTTCAAAACCCACCCCGGTCGAGTGAACTTCACATCGGGTCTAGTCATCATGCACAGCCATGGAAGCCACTCCAAAAACATTGCTCTCAAAATTGGCGACATTTTATGAGTTTTGGGCGATCGGAATGAGACGTTAATCACCAGGATGGTGATAATAACCGATGAGCCCAATAAGACCATTTGAAGGGCGAAGAAGGCGCCAATCAATGGGACGGACGTCGAGGTGGGCGGAGTCACTTCGGCGACCATCCCGAGGAAAACTGTGACGGACAAAAGATTTGTGGTTTCTGAAAAAAAATAAAAAAATACCGTCCGATTTTACTCAAATTTGTTTTTTACATTTGCAAAACTTACGGAGCGTGATTTTCTCCCCACACTCGGCGGGCAACGAAAACCCCAAAATATTGCTGAGCAGGAACAGAATACTCGGAATGATCCAGTTGATTCCGTAGTAAAGCACCTTCCTCCTCAGCCACATGTAATACATGAGCTCCACATACAAAGCCCCCTCGAATTCGGAGGGCTTCCGAATTGCAGGGGTCCCAATCAGATCCCAAGCCCCATTCGGAACATAATATTGCAGGTCCATTTTGTGGTTCTCGGAGAGTCGCGAGTCCTCGATGAATAAGTTCACTTCTCGGCGGGAATAGGTCCAGGCGCCGTACTGGAAATAGTGCATGATAAAATTTGAATTTTTGTCATCATTTTGGCTTATTGGAAAAAATATTTGAGCAGAACGGGATTTGACTGGTCAAGTTGCCAGGCTGACCAAGTTTCTTGGGCAAATTGCCCAAAATCTTGGCTGGCCCGGTGATTTGAAAGGTTATAATATAGGTTATAAAATCACCAGCATACACTTCCTTAGTGACTTATGTCTTTAAGATTTAATAAAAAAAACATTAAAATTTTGCCCAAAGAATGTCGTGGGGGACCGGATCCAGTGGCAAAAGGCGTACCATTTTGCACCCAGGAAGCATCAAAAAATGTGGCGAAATACCTCCCTCTCCAAGTGAAAAAACTTCGTTTTGAAGGGCGCGCCCTTTTTCCTCAAATAAGAGCAGGTGCGCTTTTGAAATCTGAGTTTTTTCACTTGGAAAGCGAGGCATTTTGCCACATTTTTGATACTTCTCGGATGCCAAATGGTTCGTTCTTTTGCTACTGGAGCAGGTCCCACACTGCATGTACGTCTCGAAACGATTTTTTCAAAATTTGCGCCCTTCCGTTGTAGTTTCAATTATCTTATGTTAAAAGTAAAATACGGGCGCTATAGCGAATTTTGCATATTTTTTACTCACCTTTAAAAAGCAGAATTGTTCATCAAATGGAAACCTAAAAACAAAAGAAATAAAAAAACATTCCTCCTTTCCCTACCATGTAATATCAATCTCACATGAGCTTTTGAGAATTGCCGGCGGTGCCTGTAAAACGTCGCCCGTGTAGCGGACAACAAAGTTCACGGCAAAGCGGGCATCGAAGTTTTCGTCGGCACTGAAGATTGGGTAAAATACGATTTTAAAAATTTGTTCTGTTTCAAAGTATTACCTATTAAACAGATAGATATCCGGCTTCCACAAAGCATCGTTGGGAAGGCGGATCTCGGTGATGTTGCCGTATTCCTCGGGGTCCCATCGCAATTTGTAGTCCTTCCAGGTCTGTTGAAGCCAAATCACGAGAGTCACCATTTGGTTGCGCTCGTCCTGGAAACCATAATTACAGTGGACCCTCAGATCAACCGACTCATATGCATAAATCTGTCAATGGCGAATAATTTTTTCACACTAGCGGCTCTCCAGAAAGACTAGTACCAGTCTGTCGGGGAAATAATGAGCACTCTGTTGCATCAAAAATCGCATCGCTGCCGGGAAAATGAATTGTGTGATTTTCACTTCAGCGATCGGCGACATTGCGTTCACATTTTCCCGACAGACGATGTGCTATGTCATCAATTTTACACAAAACTTATAACAGAGATAACAAGCAAAAAATAATGGCCAACAAGTCCATACCGTACGCTTTGAAGGTAGAGAAAGCGTTTATTTTGGGTTACGATTAAAACTGAGAAAGAAGTAAGCTTTTCTTGCCGAGCTTCCCCCAAAAAAATTGGACTTATTTCCACAAAATGCAAGGCAAAAATTTTTGTTGTTGTATTTTATATAGCTTGTAAAATAAAACCTTCAGTTTCTACCCAGTTTTGGCAAAATTCAATAGCCTATATGTCGTATCTTGCCCGTAAATCATTTTAAAAAATTTCTTCAATGCAATACTTTAATTGCAACTTACAATTTCCAAGATTTGCTGCAACAAAATCCTCACATAAACGTTCACAGCCTCCGAGTGATTCGCCACCGGCCTTTCAATGGGATCGTAGCCATTTTTCAGGTCTTGGATTAGCCGATATTCATCTTCAGAGCCATTCACAACACTACTAATTACAATAAACAACAATGCTGTCAAAATCATGGTTTCACATAGTTTTTTATAATCAATATTACTCGAGGTTGTTCTCGCATCGAAAGCGAAAAAATCGGCCACGAAAAGAAAGGGATTAGAGGAATGTTGACGGGCCGAGGTTATTAATTTTGTAATCATCAAACAAAACATGGAATCAGGACGCTCTGTTCGTTCAAATATTGTAGGTTACAGATTCACAATTAGTATTTTCATAAAGTGCATGGGGATTTTTCGCGGTCCGCACTGTGCAAAAGACACCTTTTTTGGAATTTTCGACCTGGTGACGTCATAGAAAGAGCAAATCACCCAAAATTTTGCTTGTATACATTTTTGACCATTGGGAATTCATTTTTTTGAAAATTAAGCCTCTCAGATTACTGTAACATAGGCATATTGTAATCCGGCAAGCGTGGGAAACAGTTCAAAATGCACTGTGCGAAAGCGAAAAAAATATCCACGTACAGTGGGGAACCTTATCCAGTGGCAAAAAACGTACCATTTTGCATCCGAGAAGTATCAAAAATGTGGCAAATTTTCTTGTGAACTTACAATGGAAGTAGCCCAAGTGCGACGCTCAGATTTTCTTTAAATATGATGAAACTTTTCGTGCATATGTTTTAGAAAAAATTATTATAAATTTGCGCCAAGTTTCATCAAAATCTGAGCGTCGCACTTGGGGTACTTCCCTGTTAGTCTGTCGGGAAAAAATAATGTGGATTTGTCGCAGTCAAATGTATCCCCTCGTCGCAGCCGTGCACCAAGTCTCCAGCCGCGGCTAGCCGTCGCAAAGCGATCCACATTATTTTCCCGACAGACTGATAAATAAGGCAAAAATCTCTACTTTTTTTAGGAATTTCTTCTTCTTTTGATGATGTCCAGTTAGTTACAGTCTCTCAAGTTAAAACCAAAATCATTTTTATTCGTATTTACATTTTTTACATTCCCAAAACTTCATTCCTCATCAAAAATCCATAGCCTCAATCTCCTCCGCCGCTTCCTCTTTCACCGGAATACTGCAATACATTGCAACGGGCAGCGCGATGGATAGAAATGCGTAAACAAACATGCAAACGCGATCAATAGCCATGGCCATGAATCGCCAATCGGCTTGGGCGATCTCCTCCTCTTCCTCTTCTTCAGCGCGGATTTTCGACTCATTCAGATAGTTTCGCAGCTCATTTATCGTTTCGCAAAGCAACTCTTCCGTTGAAATCTCCTCTTCCGGCTCTGAATCTTCGTTTTTAGCGTCTGAGTCGTCATTTTCGTCGAGTAGCGGTTGTTCTTCTTGCGACGGAAGTGCTAAGATGCTCCGGATATTCGCTAAGGAGCCAATTAGATTTTCCTTGACTTGAGAGTCCGCTTGATGAGTGGAAAGGAGTTTTTTGATGTTCCCAAACTCCGAAGAACTGCTGCTTGCGGTTGAAGTGTTAGATAATGTCGAGCTGGCGGAACGGCGAGGTCCGCTGGAAATTTCTTTGTAAAAACGAGGTGTTCAAAGTCCGACACTCAAATTGATTATGAAACTTGGCACAAGTTGCGATTATTTTTTTCCAAAACTTACTCTAGACTCTTAGCTCGCGCTTTGCAGAAACGATTGAGCCCAAAAAATCCCGCCTTTTTAAGAGTCCCGCCTCACAGATAAGGCCAACCAACCGAAGATCCCGTTAAAAAAATAAAAAAAGTTCAAAATAAGGGGTGACATGTTATACGATTTAAAAAAGTAATTGAAAGATGAAAAAATAAGGCATGACATCTTATACGATGAAAAAATTACTAAATTTTTCATCGTATAAGGTCTCACTAGCAATTTCTAAATGAGTGCTGAAATTTTTTAGAAGAAATCAAAGTGAATTTTACATGCCAAAAATTTAAAAAAAAAATACGAATTTTGGCCAACTTTTCAATCTAAAAATATCGGCTTTTTTCTTCAAAGCGCGAGCTAAAAATCTCCCATATGCCTTGGAAAACTCGTGAAAAATTAAATTGCAATCTATGCCACGGTCCATTAAAATTTAACCGTCGCATTTCGACCACTTCCCTTATGATTTTTCTTCCACTCACCCCGGTCGATTAAACTTCACATCCGGCCGACTCATCATGCACAGCCACGGGATCCACTCGAGAAAGATGCATCGCAAAGTCGGCGTCATTTTATGTGTTTTTGGCGATCGGAATGCCACATTGATGATCAGAATGGTGATGATAACGGATGAGCCCAATAAGACCATTTGAAGGGCAAAAAAAGCCCCAATAATTGGGACGGACGTCGAAGTGGGCGGAGTCACTTCGGACACCATGCCGAGGAAAAGAATCACCGACAAAAGATTTTGGGATTCTACAGGAAATTTGGTCGATACCTTTGGTCGAAAAATCGATGATAAAACGACTTACGAAGTGTGATTTTCTCCCCGGACTCGGCTGGCAATGAAAACCCAAGAATGGTGCATAACAGGAACAAAACGCTGGGAATAATCCAGTTTATTCCATAATAAAGCACCTTCCTCCGCAGCCAGATGTAATAGACCAGCTCTACGTAGAGCGCGCCGTCGAATTCGGAGGGTTTCCGAATTGCAGGGGTCCCAATCAGATCCCAGGCCCCATTCGGTACAAAATATTGGAGGTCCATTTTGTTGTCTTCGGAGAGCCGCGAGTCCTCGATGAATAAGTTCACTTCCCGACGAGAGTAGGTCCAGGAACCGTACTGAAAATGGAGCATGAAAAAATTTGAATTTTTGTCATCATTTTGGCCTATTGGAAAAAAATTGTAACAAAACAGAATTTGGCCGCTCAAAATTTCCTGGTGGATCAGTCTGACTGGGCAAGTTGATTGACTAACCAATCTTACCGGGCAAGTTGCCCAAGTGACCAATCTGGCCAGTAAAGTTGCCCGGCTCTCCAGTATGACTGCCCAAGTTGGCAAGTGTCCAATTTTACAAGGCAAGATGATAAAAAATTATTATTAATATTACTGGGCGCCAGTCAGATTAGAAATTAATAAAATCTGATCGTTCTAATTGCCAAAAATTCGACCAACTTGACAAGGCAGGTGGGCCACCGTCGTAAAGTCTGGCATCCAAAACTTTAATTAGTATTTTTTTAAGTTGGCCCTGCCCAATCATCTGACCTGCCAGACTAGTCAAATACCCGGGAAAATATTTAAAATTAGAGTAGATTTAGCTTCCACAATCCACACAAAAAAATTCTTGGTAACAAATATTTACATTTTCAAATTTCCAATAAATTTTGTGACATTTCGTCTAAAAAAATCCATACCAGAAACATACCTTTAAAAAACAGAACTGCTCATCGAATGGGAACCTAAATCACAAAATTATTTTTTTCTTATGCCTTTTATTCTTACCATGTAATATCAATCTCACAAGAGCTCTTTATAATAGCCGGGGGCGCTTGCAGAACATCGCCGGTGTAGCGGACAACAAAGTTGACGGCAAAACGGCCATCAAAGTTCTCATCAGCACTAAAGATTGGGTAAAATACGTCGTTTCTTCAGACTATTTTGAAGAAATTATACCTATTAAACAAGTAGATATCCGGCTTCCACAGAGCATCATCGGGCAGTCTGATCTCCGTTAAATTACCGTACTCTTCTGGATCCCAGCGTAATTTGTAGTCACTCCAGGTCTGTTGAAGCCAAATAACGAGAGTCACCATTTGGTTTCGCTCGTTCTGAAAGGATTTTATGCGGTGGGGGACCTGATCCAGTGGCAAAAAACGTACAATTTTTCATCCAGGAAGCATCAAAAAAGTGGCAAAACACCTCAATTCCCAAGTGAAAAAACTCATCAGATTTCAAAAGCGCGCCCGCTCTTTTTGTGAGGGCCTTACAAAACGAAGTTTTTTGACTTGGAGAAGGAAGCATTTTGCCACACTTTTGATGCTTCCTGGATGCAAAATGGTACGTTTTTTAACCACTGGATCAGGTCCCCACTGTAGCTCGAGCTCTGCAGAAACAACCGAGATTTTTAGGTGGGAATTTGGAAAAAAAATGTAACACTTTTTTGCGAATTTTGGCATAAAAAGTAGCATGCCTATTTCCACTAGCACGCCACGAAAAACGTAATGCAAAATTGGAAATAGAGATTTCGAGCTGCGCCCAATATTTCTTGATTTTTTTGAACGAGTGAATATTGTGTTAGATAGTATTGTAACTCTGCGATTTGGAATAATTTCGGGATTTATATTATCTTTAAAATTACGTTGTTTTCAGTGTCAAGTGTTGAATATAATGGATGAGTCTATGGAGCCCGGCCCATCGCGCTGTGACCCAAACATTGATCTTCCATCTATCGACGTGCCGCCAGAAAATGTAAGATTTCTCTTTTTTTTTGAGCTCTTTAGTGGTACGTTGAACGATAGATATTGTGTGGAACATCCTAGCGGACGTTGTAAAAAAGAAATCTGGAAATTTGACAATAGAAAAAGGGCATTTGTCAAGAGATTATTGCATCATTTTGCAGGAATGGAAGGAGAAACGCAAGAAATCACTGGAGAAGGCACGAAACAAGCTGAAACGGGTAAAGCAGAGGAAGATAAAGTTAGCAGAGATCGGCAGGAACGTCTGGTTGAATAAAATGCATGAATCCATGGAGCCCGGCACATCTAGCAATGACCCAAACATTGATCTTCCATCTACCGACGTACCTCCAGAAAATGTAAGATTTCTCTTTTTTTTGGGCTCTTTAGTGGTACGTTGAGGGATGGATATTGTGTGGAACATCCTAGCGGACGTTGTAAAAAAGAAATCTCGAAATTTGACAATAGAAAAGGGCACTTGTCAATAGATTATTGCATCATTTTGCAGGAAAGGATGGAGAACCTCAAGAAATCACTGGAGAAGGCACGAAACAAGCTGAAACGGATAAAGCAGAGGAAGATAAAGTTAGCTGAGATGTGCAGGAACCTCGCAAGACAAGCAAGACCAACCGAATCCCCAACTCCTCCAGTTTTTCCCCAGTCGTCTGAAGTTGAAGTCCTCAAGAATCAACTTGTTCAACTTACGCAGGAAATGACGCAGTTGCGTCTGCGGAACAGCGAGTTGGAAAAGAAGTTGGAGAAGGCTGAAAGGGCGTTGGCCTTGAGCTCGCCCAGGAAGAGGAAGAAGATAGACGAGCTAGGCGTGAAACAGAGGGCTGAAAGAATCGCCAGATTGGAAAAGAACATCGGAGAATCCATGGAGATACGACCGGAGACCCCTGAAAGTGACGTCGAGGTGGCACTCTTCATAAAGAATGCCTACCGGTTGACCGAATTTCAGTACAAGGGGCTACAGAAGTTCGCGGTCAACTGGTCTCCCCTTCACCACGTCAAGCAACGGGAGAAGGATCTCATAGAGGCAGCCGGCGGATTGGACACCACGGAAGCTTCGGTGGGATGGACAAATCCGTCCATGGCATTTGGACTTTATGTTCAACGTCTGGTGGAGACGGCCTGGTCGACCAGGATGCCGGACGCGGTGGATGTTGTGATCGTGGCCGATGGTGGTGGAGATGGAGCAGCCAACTTGGTCAAGATGGGTCTGTTCATACCCACTGGAGTCCCAGCTCCTCAGAGCCCCTTCAATGTGCTTCTGCTGAGCGCGTACACGGGTAAGGAAAGTCGGGAGAACCTGATCACATTCTGTGAGAAAGGCCTCGACTTCTTGAACCGGTTGTGCAAGGACAAGAAGTTTGAGGTTGCCGGCCGCCAAATTGCATGCCGGGTCTTGCTTTGCAGTGATTTGAAGGTGGTACCTCTCATCCTGGGTATAAAGGCGGCTGGAGCAACCCAATTCTGTCCCAACTGTACCGTGGAGCGTGCAGAGCACAAGAGGGCGATGACGACGGACGCTGGGAAGAGGACTTACAGAGATCCTCTGATAAGTCTTCTGCAGGAAGATGTAGTGTGTCCCCCACTACATTGCCTCCAGGGGTTGACGAACTCTTTGGCAGAGGAGATGAAGAAGGACAACCCGGATGAATGGAAGGCCGTGTGCGATGACCTCAACATCGCACCCTCCCATCTCTCCAAATCGATGCTGAACGGCAGAGATGGGAGAAGGCTGGTGAAGAGCTTAGCTGAAAATGGCAACCCACAATTTGCCATTTTCAGCGACGTGTTTTCATCTCTGGACAGGATTTATGAATGGGCCTCAGTTGATGTCCATGGTCAAGATGACCTCACGAAGGCTTGCATTGAACGGGACATTCTTCTGCTGTCAAACGCGTGGAGACACAGTGGACTTCGTGCGATCAACAAGTTGCACCTCCTTGAAGCCCACGTTGCCGACTTCGTCACATCCCATGGTTCGTGGGGGCTCTACGGAGAACAAGGCCTGGAAAGCTTGCACCACGTTGGCAACATCGCCTCAGCTCGATGTTTCGGAAAGAATTCCGACGTCAAGGCCAAGTTCTTCTTCAAATCCCAATTTTTTTCTATGCTTTCCCGCCGTTTTCACACATAAATTTTTCTTTTATTCGAATTTTGGAATCATTTTTCTTTTATATTTGTAGAGGTTTCAGCGTATAAAATATCGAAAACATTTTCGCGCGAATTTCTCTATTTCCGCTTTTTTCGTGGCGTGCACTAGTAGAGGATAATATTTCCGCGAAAACTCAATCTTTTTCACATGAAGCTGGCTAGGCTATGGCCCAAAAAAAGTACTTTTCTCTTTGACCGCTCTCCGCAATTTACGTGCTCTCTCGGCCGCAAATATCGTTGAATATCTCGGCTGCGCTTGTAAAGCGCGGGCTAAAACTTTCAGAAATTGTTATATGGCCTATACTCAAAACGTATGCTAAATTTATAGCTTTCACTATTTTCCCGACAGACTGATGCTCTCTTCTAAACTCAATTTTTTTCTTCAGCAATCTTACAATTTCCAAAATTTGCTGCAACAACACTCTCACATAGACATTCACAGCTTCCGAGTGATTGGCCACCGGTCTCTCGATCGCGTCATAACGCTCTTTCAGCGTCTGAATTAACCGATATTCATCGTCGGAGGCGTCCGAAACTTTGGCATAAATTAGCAGGAGTATCAGCAAAGTCAGACGCATACTTCAAAATTTGTACCGGAGGGTTTTTATTAAAAAATAATTGTTTGCGGTTAAAGGAGTCCAAGGCCCGTTCGGAAGCTCGAAAAAAGAAGATTACGATGCGAGAAGCATGTTTATTCTCGAGATGATTAATTCTTGCAATCAAAGAAAGGGTAGTGCAGCTTTTTTGCAAGTCACAAAGTACGGGTTTGTGGCTAAACTCGGCGGAAATTTAATCTAAAAATTCGTATAATTCTACAAAAATTCTGCTCGAGGGCAAAGTTCTGAAAATTTAAACTGTGCGGTTTTTGCGTGTCGCTGCAAAAATCGCGAAAAAAGTGGTTTGCACATGCAGTTTGACAAAAAAAAGACCATTTTCCACATTACGTTTTGGATTTTTTAACTTACGCTGTTAAAATTCCCTTTTTTTTGCAGCGACAATTTATATTTTCTTGACTTTTTTGCCGCGAGTGTAAACGAAATTTTCAACAGAAATTAAAATTTTTTGCAAAATTCAAAAAAAAAAAAAAAATTTTTTAATTTGGCGCATTTCTAAATAGTTGAAAGTTTAGAAATTCTGTTTCTTATCTGCTGAAAAAAATTTCCACAAAAAATCAAAATTTTTTCCCTGCGAAATTCCCCAAGATACAGACAAACAAGATCTTTTCTCTAACCGCCCTCCTCATTTCGCGTACTCTCTCGACAAAAAGATCGTTGAATATCTTAGCGGCAATCGCAAAGCAATATCTTAAATTTCCTACAATTAATATATGACCTATGCAGAGCATTTTTACAAAATTTCAACAAAAAACCAAACAAATTTTTTTTTATTTATTAATTCGACCCGAAATTGGATAGCACCATGAAAATGCGCGGACTTTTTGCAAAAAAATCATCGAAAAAATACAAAAGACAAAATAATTAGTATTCTGGACCTACTGTACAAGTGTCATGGCTAGCTACTGGTTAAGAATAACGAACAAAATAACGTGGAATAAGCGATTTGGGGATATCGGAGACTACGAACAACATAACTGATAAATTAACCATGAAAGGCGGGCTAAATACTCGTTTTGAGGTGGGGGGATTTGAGTGGATATTGAGGGGGGTTCACGTTGTTTGGTCATGTCATCAATTCGTCGTTGAAGGGAGGGACTTCGCGGACATAGCTCAAGGGGAAATAGCCGATCTGAAAAAATTTTAAAAATTGAAAAAATTTGATAAAAAATGTGAAGAAATACGACATTTTTAATACCAGAAAGTCAAATCACACTTGACATTTCAAATTAGGCTTAAAAATGCGCAAAAATTGTTAAAAAATTGAACTCCCGCCAAATTTCAAAAATTTTTGGCATTCTGTTGCAACCTCTAAAAAGTGCCAAAATCTCTTTTCTAGGACCTATTCACCTTCCTGAAGCTCATTTCAGACTTCAGACCTAAAAAATTCCTTCAAAAATCCAAATTTCAGCCCAAGGGGAAATAACCGATCTGAAAAAATTTAAAAAATTGAAAAATTTTGATACAAAATGTGAAGAAATGCAACATTTTTAATACCAGAAAGTCAAATCACACTGGACATTTCAAATTAGGATTAAAAATGCCCAAAAAATTTCAAAAAATTTGAATTCCCGCCAAATTTTCAAAATTTTTGGCATTCTGTTGCAACTTCTAAAAAGTGTTAAAAACTCTTTTCTAGGCCCTATTCACCTTCTTGAAGCTCATTGCAGACGTCAAACCGAAAAACCTCCTTCAAAAATCCATTTTTTTCACCACATGCCTACTACAATATAAAATTACGGAAAAATTCCAAATTTCAGCTGTCTTCCTCAATATAGAAAATTTCTCACCTTGCCAGTGGCCTCACTTTCTCCCTTCCACCAGCCATTTTCTTCTCCGGACGTGTCGATGATCGTAATCATCTCATTTGGTTCGATGGCCAAATATTTCTGTGTATCTGTCGCGTGTTGGAACGCATGGACGGCCTGATAATGCGTGGTCCTGAAGGGCGTCCCACTCAACGTGCCGGACATGTTTTTGAAGCCCTCGCTGAGGTCCATCTTGCGATAACAGTTGATTAGGGACTGAAAACGTCAAAATTATGGACAAAAAACGTAAATCCAAAAAAATTTTTTGAAAATTCAAAAAATCTCAAAATTACCGGGATATTATGGAAGAAAATGGAGTCATGAAGGTAGTACATACTGCGACTCGTGTCATATTCAATTTTCATGTGCTTGGCCACGCCCTGATAGGCCACACTCAGCGCCAAAATCGACTGGGTTTGGCTCCAGCGGACCAAAAACGTGCCATCCGGCTGATTTTCGATGAAATTTTGGGCTTCTTCGCGGGTCAAATTGCTAAAATACCAGGGGTAATCCTTGATGGGGCGGTCCTCTTCGGCCGGACAATGATAATCGAGGATGGCGCTGCTGATTAGCGGCATATTCATGGGGAATTCGGAGGTGGAAGAGGCCGAAATTCGGTCATGAGTCGAGCGGCGGGGCTGAAAAATTTTTTTGAAAAATTGAAAATTTTGAAAAAATCAGGGCTTAAAATAAATTTTAAAAGGCTGAAAAACCAATTTCAAAGGGTCAAAAAATATGCAAGATAAAAAAATCAAAATTTTTTTTTTGAAATTGAAAATTTTGGAAAAATCAGTGTTCAAAATTAATTTTCAAGATTTGAAAAATCAATTTCAAAGGGTCAAAAAAATTTTGAAAGATAAAAAAATTAAAAATCTCACCAAAATTCTTCCGGCTGGCAGATTATCCACTTGAATTAGATGATTAAAAGATGACCTCCTCTGGACCAGCGAAGTCTGCGATCCGGTCGGAGTGAATCCTTGGTTCGACGGGACTCGACGCACCGAATCTCGGCGGATCACACCAATTTTCGAGGGAGTTCGGATCAGCCGACCCTAGAATAATATAAAAAGTTTTTTGAATCACAAAAATTTTTGCGAAAAAATTTCTCCTACGGTAACATCGTTTCCCAAAATGCCTCTAAATTTCTTAAAAGACCAAAAGCTGACCCGGACTAATCAAAAAACCCTCTAAAAAAAGCTGTTCGCGCATTCTGAGTCATACCCAGCGAAATGGGAAAAGGTGGAAAATAAATATCGGAATACAAGAGGATGAATAATAAAACAACTCCAAAGAGGGTTCTCTCTATTTGGAAAAGACATTTCAAACAATGCTTGAGGGGAAATTTATCCAATTTTTGCAACTTAAAAAATTAAAAAATTTTTTAATTAATTTTTTTGTTAATTTTTTGTTGAAAAATCAAAGATAAGACTCTCATACGCTCATATAAACGTCTAAAAATTGTTAAAAACCTCAAAAAATTCAATTTTAAAATTTTTCAAAAAAAAAAATTTTTTTTTATTTTTAAAATTTTTTTGTTGAAAAATCAAAAAGAAAACTCTCATGAACTCATATAAACATCTAAAAATCTTTTAAAACCTAAAAAATTTCAAATTTCAATATTTCAAAAAAAATTTTTTTGCTCATTTCCCCATGAAATCTCAAAAAATAAAAACAAAATTTTCAAAAATCATATGGCCGTTAAAACTCCGTGCCTTCTCTCCCAAATGCTATCAAATAACGAAAAAAACATCCGTTGGCGTCTCTTTTTCCTCAAAAATCCGACGAAAAAGAGAGGGGGAAATGGCGGTTTCGATTTGAAAAAAGAGCGAAAAAATTTCGTCTCGTGAAGTTTCGAAATCCCTGGAACCTACAATCTTCTTTTTAGTAAGAGTAAAAACACAAAAATCAAAGGCAAAATTGATCTTTTTGAGAGATCTTTTAGAGAGCAAAATCACCTAAAGTAATGTAAAAATTTCCAGTTTTTGATGTATAAAACATCTTTTCTTGTCAAAAAATCCTTTTAAATATTATTTCTAGTCGTTTTTACCGTGATAGTTCCATCCTGGTTTTCTTGGACCACCTCGATGACGTCATCTTTTTGAAAACTCAAAACTGCGCTGTCCGGTGAGGCAATTGATTGGACTGCTTGAACTCGCTCTCCAGACATATCTAAAATCCAAAAATTATACTTATGACCCTTCAAAGTCATAAAAATCTCATTTACTTCACACTTTTCGATATTACACTAGACACTTACACCTTTGCAAAACATTATTATTCAGTGTTCCGTTGAAGCTCTGATGCGACGTCCGAGGCCGGGGACGCGGTCTGCTGCCGGCGCAGACTTGTAGCCCGAGGCAATTGTAATGCAAGTTCTGATTACAAACTTTGCAATTGTATCCTTGAAGGAAAAGCCCATTCAAAAGACGTTTGCAGGCGTCGCAGGCGACCGCTTCTTTGTAGGTCTTGTAAAACACTTTGTGGTGTTTCAAGATGGCTTGTTGAGGCTCGCTTATGTCGCTGAAAAAACATTTTTAGTAAAAATTTGAATTTTAAAAGCACACAGTGCAAGCAAAAATAAAAAGTTGATTGCACTGTGCTGAAAAGAAAAAAAATCTTGCGCGGTGCGTCGAATTTCTCGAAAAAACAAAAAAAAATTTTTTTTTCAAAATTCCGCACAGTGCAAAAAAAATCTTTTTTTTTGTTGCACAGTGCGCAGGTTCAATTTTTTTATTGCACCGCACAAAGAAAAAAATTCGCACAGTGCAGACAAAATAACAAAAAATGTTTCAAGAATCTGCACAGTGCAAAAAAAATTTTCCATCGCACAGTGCAAACATAATAACAGAAAGTTTCAAAGATCCGCACAGTGCAAAGAACAATTTTCATCGCACAGTGCAGACATAATAACCAAATGTTTCAAAGATCCGCACGCACAGTGCAAAAAAAATTCCGTCGCACAGTGCGGAGCTAAGAAATAAAAAATGAAAGGATCTGCACTGTGCGATGGAAATTTTTTTTATTTTTTAGTTTCAAAGATCCGCACAGTGCAAAAAAAAATTTTCATCGCACAGTGCGCATATAATAACAAAAAGTTTCAAAGATCCGCATAGTGCAAAAAAAATTGCATCGCACAGTGCAGATTAAAAAAAAAATTTTTTGTACAGAGCAAATTTTTTTTTTTCGGAAAAACGAAAAAGTTTATAAGCAAAATTTCCGCCCACTTACAGTGCTTTCTCCACATTCTTCTTCCACAAATCCCGTTGCGCTTCGGTTTTAAAAATGAATTGAATATATCCGGGCGGCTCTGTTGCTGGGACCGTCCCCGTTGGCAGCTGTCTTCGGAAAACCAACATAAACGAATTTCGATTATCGAAAATGGTCTGTGTTAACTTTCTGGGCAACGTTGCGCTCTTATTCGACTGTTCTTCGTCGGCCATTTGGAGGTCGGAGAGTGCGTATTGGGAGCGGAATTCGTATTTTTCGTTCTTCGCAATCTTGCAGAACATGATCATTCGTTCGAATAGGAAGACATGGCGTTGTTTGGTGCTGTCCGACACTTTGGGATCATAGACTTTGACTTGCCCATCTTGGACTGGCCGACCAAAGGCGAGGTAATTGCATTCGTATTGGACCTAAAATTATAGAAAATTTTATTTTTGCATAATCAGCAGACAAAGATTTCTAAAATTCTCAATATCAATGGTCAATCAATATTTTTTCACTGTGCAGACACAAAAATTTTATCAAAAATTTTTTGCACGGTGCATTCAACCAAAGTTTTCGCACAGTGCAGTCCACCAAAAATTTCGCATAGTGCAGGCAATCCAAACAAATTTTTGCACGGTGCAGTCAGCTCAAAAAATTCCGCACAGTGCAATCAATCAATCCAAAAATTTTCGCACCGTGCAGCCAATCCAACAATTTTTGCACAGTGCAGCCAATCCAACAATTTTCGCACAGTGCAGTCAATCCAAAAAATTTTGCACCGTGCAGTCAACCCAAAAATTTTCGCACCGTGCAGCCAATCCAACAATTTTCGCACAGTGCAGTCAATCCAAAAAATTTTGCACCGTGCAGTCAACCCAAAAATTTTCGCACGTGCAGTCGACCCAAAATTTTTTGCACAGTGCAATCAATCAATCCAAAAATTTTCGCACAGTGCAAAAAATTTTTTTTTGAATTCCAAAAAAATTTTAAAGAAAATTTTATCCTGAAACATACTACTATTGAATTCCACCACCAAAAAATCATCCCATTCTCACCTTTTGCATCAATTCGTTGAAGAAAAACATGGTTTCGAAGTCGCGTTTGGCCTCGTTAATATAGTCGCTGACGTCCTTCATTCCCTCATAGGCGTCTTCAACTGCTTTGTGCTCGGGATGTGCGATATCCGTGCTGTCGAAAATGGCTTTTAGGACCACATGGTACTTGAGGATTCGTTGCATTGGGACCGAGATTAAATCCCATAATTTGAATTGATTTTGCTCCGAGTTTTGATCACATTCCTGGAAAAAATTGAGTTTTTGGAAGTAATAAATTCATGTCTAAAGTAGACATGGCTAGTGGGCCGGGCCGAACGAGTTTTAAAGGCCCCGGGGCCGGGCCGACCTCTTCCGGCCCCCGGGCCGGGCCGGCCGGGGGCCCCCGCCAGGCCCCCAATCGGCCCCCAATGACTAAAATTCCCAGTCTCAAAGCGAAAATTAGGCTTGAAAATAAAAATAAAACGCAGAGCCAAGAACCGATTGGGTCTTTTGAAGTATATACATGGCAATGGTTGGTAATTTTTTGTTTCAAAAACTTTTTTTCGATTTTTATAACAAAAAATGGGGGCTAAGGTAGTACAACCCCCAGTCCAGTTCAGCCCCCGCTTGACCCAGTATAAGCCCCCTAATCCAATCTGAAGCGCCTACTCGGGATTGGGTTCTCTCGGCTACGGTCAGCGTTGCCTGAACCACAAGAACGAATTTGGACGGTAACTGGGGGTCTCAGCTAAAACGCCGGGGGTCATTTTACTCTAATTTCCATTTTTTGTATTATTCTAATTTTTTACTTATGGGGTGTGTGAAATGGACAAAACAGTGGGGGTTTGAACTACCAAAGCCCCAAAAAAAATGTGTTATATCTCGTAATGAATGCAGTATTTATATTTACAGTTCGGCCCCCGGTCGGCCCCCGGCCCGGCCCGGCCCCCTGGGGGCCGGGGCCGGGCCGACCTCTTCCGGCCCCCGGGCCGGGCCGCGATTTTCGGCCCGGCCCGGCCCCCCAGCCATGTCTAGTCTAAAGCTTAGATAAGGAACTAAACTCTATAAATAGCCCAATTACTGACTACTTATAGAGTGATAAAAAGTCAATTTTAGAGATTTTTTGCAATTCTCGTTGATTATTTTCATTTTTCCCAAAAAAATCTCAATTTTCGACAATTTTTCGAGTTAATTTTTACCGCTACTGATCCCTCAGTAATTTCCAGACTCTTCTCATGTCTCTACAAGGCACAAACGTTACAATTCAACCAACAATTTTTATGAAAAACCGGTTTCCGCCAATTTTAGACCAATTTCCCCACTTTTCATCAAAAATTAAAAATTCACAAAATTACAGTAACCCCAACAACTCGTAACCTCCCAAAATTGATTCTTCGATAAATTTGCGACCTCACAAGACTATTTTCGACCTTATTTTGACAGCTACCGCCCTTACATTCGCCATTCTTTTCTTGAATTTGGCGTAGGTCTGGGCGATCAGAAGTCTCATGTAAATCAGGAAGATACTCCACAATTTCATTGGCTTTCCAACCTCATTCCCATCTAGGACTCTAGCCAGTCGATTTAGCGGGCCTTCGTTTTCCATTTCTGTGCGAAACAAGTTAGAAAAGCTGCGCGAAACGCGGCCGAAAATCGATGAAATCGTCATAAAAAAGAGGTCAATGCTCAAATCAGAGGAGGTAAAAAGAAAATATGAGGAATTTACAAATAGAGTGTTATTTAAAATAATTGGAATTTTGTAAACCTCAGCACGCAAAAATATCAAAAAATGACGTCATTTCTCAAAAAACCCCTCAAATTATCAGTTTTTTCCCATTTTCAAATTAAAATAATTTGCGTCATTTCCGATGACGCTCGTCACGAGTCTCTCCTCAATATTATTAAACCACATTTCACCCGACAAGAGCTAAATTATTTGAGTAAATACCCAAAAAAGGTCCATTTCTGGCTCGAAGCGATTGGAAATCGCAAATAATCGAAATAGAAAGACTATTAAGACTGAATAATGAATGCATAATGTCTCAGGGCCCAAAAGAAACTATTCGAATTATAATGCTTTCAAAGTTTCGAAGAAAAAAGCGAAGAAAAGGGTCGTAAAACGGCTAAACACAGGCTTTGATGACGTGTTGAAGGAAAAAGTTGGGGATTTGCGAGGTGTTGACACAAAACTCATCTTCAGATTGCTTTTTTTACTTTTTTCGTTTACCTTGTACGACCATAAGAGGGGTTTTAGGCTAATTTTTGGAGCCGGAAGTTTTCGTGGTGGGACCAAAATTCTTGACAAAAAATGTGAAAATTATCCAAAAAAATACTAGAAACATGTCGTTTTAAAAGTATAACTGTCACAAAAATCATAGTAACATCTCATGACATGATTTTCGTCATCAATTTTTTTCCAAAATCCAAAAATTTTTAATTAAATTTTGATCTCTCAAGTGTAATAAAATCTCTCCTAAGCCCGTAAAAACCATTCCCATTCCCCTCAAATCATCCCTCAAGACCGCTAATTCGCTCTTCATGACACCAAATTCAAATCAATAATAAAAAACATTTAATTTCCCGGCCCTTGAGGCATTTTTATCAGGAATATAAGCAAATACTGGTCCGTGTTTTCCGGCTTTTTATCAGTTCCATTTCGGAGGTCCGGGAAGACCTTAAGATGCCGGAGGCGCGATTTCTATTTACGCTCAAAGCAAATATTTGCAAAAATCGAGGGGAATCGCGACCCCATAAAAAAGCGTTGAGGGTGGCGTTAAAGCCGTTGAATTTGCATATTTTTTTAAAAATTTAATTTTTTTACAAAACTTGACGCAATTTTTTTAAATTTGAGAGTAAAATTTTTTAACAAAAAAAAATTTTTTTTTTCTTTTTCAAAATTTTTTTTGTTGTTTACCAAAATTCTTCATCAAAAACACCACTTACATTAAGCATTCGGCTGAATTGCACATTATCCTTCATCAACTTCAAGATGTGCTCTCGGCCACTATCCATATACGAACAGTACTCTCCATAGATCACAAACCTCGTCTTGAAGGCCAGGAAAACGTCGCCGACATTGATTTTGCGGTTATCGTTTAGATCCATGCCATTGTTTGGGGCGTCCAAGCCGAGGGAGTGCATTACGGCTGGTTGCAGGTAGCGGAGAAAGTCCTGGTGCAGTGGAAGGAGGTCCTGAAGGAATAAAGAATGATATAATGGCGGGAAAATAATTAAAAATACCAGAGAAATACTTTCAAAAATATTGTTTTTTTTTATTTGCACGGTGCAAAAAAATTCAAAATCATCGCACCGTGCAATAAAAAAAATTTTTCACTGTGCAAAATTTTTCAAAAAAGCTGAATTTGTTGATGGATCATTTTTAATTTTCTATACTGAAATTACAAAAAAAATTTTTTTTTATTTCCGCACCGTGCAAAAAAATTTTTTTGATTTCCTGCACAGTGCAGTCAAATATTGTTTTTTTTGCACAGTGCGGTCTCAAAAATGCCCCAGGCGGTACAAAAATTAATTCAAATATTTTTTACACTTTGACTTTGCAATTTATCACCCAAAAATTTCTTTTCGAAAACGCCAATCCACTTTCTCAACCTTTTTTATATTACCCTTACCTTCATATTGATGAATATTTTTTTCATATCCTCCTCCAACACAAACTTGCTCATCGGCTCGTAATAATCATGTAGAATCATGGCCAACGTATCACAGTAATTATTCTCCGTATCCAGCAGCTCTTTCATATAGAATTCTCGCTTATTCGAGGGCTTGAAGCTGGTGATGGCGCGTTTCTTCTCCACAAACGAGGAATAAAGTTGCTCATCGCGCTTTTGTTTGATCCCATTCAGGGCTCGATAGTTCTGTCGGATGGCCAACACTTCATCGTTCAGTTGGTCGGCTCGATGACGGAGCTCGGTGTAGAGATCTTCTTCTTCGTGGGAGAGGTTCAAGGTGTTGCGGTTGGGGGGCTCGGTTTGGGGAAAGGGCCTGGAAAATGGATTTTTTCGCGGAAAAATTAATTTTCAAAACTTTTTAAGAGCATTTTTGACAGTTTTAATCAATTTTAGAAAGATTTTTTCCGAAAATTAGAAAAATTTTAAAAAATTTCAAAAAAAGTTTTTTTGAAAGGCCCTGGAAAATTGATTTTTTTGGCGGAAAAATTAATTTAAAAAATTTTTTAAGAATATTTTTGACAGTTTTAATCAATTTTAGAAAGTTTTTTTTCCGAAAATTAGAAAAATTTTAAAAAATTTCAAAGTCAAAAAAAATTTTTTTTTTTTTTTTTTTTTTTTGAGATTTTCAAATCGCAAACATGGCATTCGTATCTAAATACAAAGCAGAAATTTACCAGAAAAAATCGCTTTTCCCCGATCAAAATCCACAAAGATTTGGTCGAAAAACTTTTTATCCCTAATTCGCTAACCTCTCGTTGCAAAAATGATTGAATATCTCAGCACTCCTTGCAAAGTTTCAGCACAAATTTTCAGCACTTCATTTGTGCTCTATACAGAAGTTCTAGAGAAAATTTCAAAAAAATTGGAGTCATTCTTCAACTACAAAAATTGAATTTCCATAAAAAGTCATCCATTTCTGGTCGAAAAATATTTTTTCGTAACAAAACCGTTGAGAAACTTACGTGAGCCCCAGCCCGCGGCTGTTGTTGGACCAGGAGAGCAGCGACAGGACGTGGAGGACGCGGCGAAAGTCGCCCAACTCGTAGAGGTCGGCCTCGTCGAAGAGGTCCGCATCCGCGAGCCCGAAGTTCTCCTTGCAGATCCGCAGGAAGCGCGCAATATTTGCGGCGCTGATGAACTGCAAAACGGGACGAGAGTTAAATTTTTTGGCTTCATGTATAACTCAGCATTCAAAAAAAATTTACTCAAAAATTTCCGAATTTAAAAAAAAAATCGAGGTAAAAAAATCGGATAAAAAATATCATATTTTATTTCCCGTAGATTAAGAATTGACAAAGAAAAAATCATGAAAAAATAAGCGTTTTCTCAACAGATTTTTAGCAAAAAAGGTTGGGCCTTTATTCTTTTTGTTTGATAAATTGTTATCAACAAGAACAAAACTGCATGGAAATTCCTTTGCACAGTCAAAAACATATTCATAAGCATAATTATAAATTAATGTTTAACCCAATTCTAACAGAAAAAATTAAGAAAAAAGCAAATTTTCAATAGAAAAATTGATTTTTCTTAATTTTTCGGTCAAAAAATTCTTGATACAGAGACTGTTGATACTTTTGATACAATAAAAATGTTATATTTTCCATTAAAAATTTCAAAATGGCACTTTTAGCGCAAAAAATTTTTTGGGATTTTCCAAATTTTTCCATCAAAAAAATTCAATTTTTTCTTCCAAAATTTTCGATTCCAACACTTGACAAGAGGGTTGGTATCTTTTTTAACCCAATAGACGGCCAAAAATTCTCCCTCAACCCCATCGAAATGACCCTTTCTTTGACCTCCACCTTATTTTACCCTATTCTCAAGGCAATTCGAATAAAATATGATGTCAAACCGCCTTGCTTTCGCCACTGCGTCCCTCAGGCGGTCCAAGCAGTAGCTGTACAAACCAAAAACTCCACTTGTTTTCCCCTTCCCTCATATCCATAATAACCGCATTATTCATTACGACCTTCGCAAAAAAAACACGAAAACAGCGGGCAGAGTCTAACACGTATAGTATAATATGTGTTGACTGTAAATATTGTTGCTTTTGCCGGCTGTCAAAACCGCTTCGAGTCAATTGAGCGGAAGACCGGAGGCGCGATATTGGGATATTATACATGGGAATTTCGAAGGGGAAAAGGGAACTGGTATATGCCGAAACGTCCGAAACGTGTGAAAGAAAGGGAAAGTTATAGCGGAAAAACCAGCAAGAAACCTCTGTATACAGTGGGGACCTTATCTAGTGGCAAAAAACGTACCATTTTGCATCCAGGAAGCATGAAAAAATGTGCCAAAACACCTCCATCTCCAAGTGAAAAAACTCCGATTTCAAAACCTCTTTTTGTGAGGGATAGGGCGTGCCCTTCAAAACGAAATTTTTCCACTTGGAGAGGGAAGCATTTTGCCACATTTTTGGTGCTTCCCGGATGCAAAATGGTACGTTTTTGCCACCGAATCAGGTCCCCCACTGTAACAGCTCGTTCAAAAACTAAAAATTTTCGGCCTCAAATGACCAGGGTAATTTGCAAAAAATGGTTTCAAAAAATAGTAATGTTTACGCTTTTACGACACCTTGATTAGATCGGTCATAAAACGAAAGCGCCGAGAAAATAATTGCCCTAAACTTTGAAAAACTTTTGATGATAACTTGAAATAAACTTGTGGTCATAAAGATATTTGTTTCGCAAAATACGGGTCCATTAAAAAAGAAAGCATTGCTTTTGAATTCACAGGGATATTGGCCGAGTTGCGGTGATCATATTTCGATGAAATTTGGGATGAATTCAAATTACAATTTTCTAAGTCATTCTCGAGGATCATAGTTTTTTACCAAAAAAAGGTCAAATTTTCCATCGCAGACCTTCAAAATTTTGCAAAAAAAATTAAAAAAATTTCCGCCCAAATTTTTCCAAAATTCACTAAATTCTAATCCCCAAATTTCCAAGAAAGCCCAACCTATTTCTCATCTCAATATTCAAGACTACAAGAAGTGCTCGAAAAACAAATAATCATGATATGAATAATCGTCTAATCCCATGGAATGTAATCTAATGAGCAGAGAGAGGGAAATCGCAATGTTCATTTTTTGCGGTGTCCACTATACGAAAACAAAAAGAAAGGCGAAGCTCCTTGAGAATTTCTAAAAATACATAATGGAGTTTGGGTCATAAGTGGGTCTTTAGACCAATGTGGGGGTGCTTATGCGAAAAGTAGGGTTAAAAATTATTTGAATAATTTTGAAAATTTTTAGTTTCGTGGGGTGATTTTTTGAAATTTGAATTTTTTTAAAACTCAAAAATTTTTTTTTGAAATTAGAGCTTTTTTAAAATTCAAAAAATTTTTTTTTTGTTTTCGATTTTCCTGGTCATTTTGGGCACCTTGCCAAAAATTTTTGTGGTCAGATTGGTCACATACAAAATTCAAATTTTTTTTTTTATTTTTCATTTTTTTTTTTTTTTTGAATTTTTAATGTGTCCAGGGGTCCTATCCCCCGCTAAAAACTTTTCACCATCGATGACAATCGTATTTTACCCATAAATTTTTACCCCAATTTTCAAACCAACTCACCTCTGAATCACAAGTGGCATTTGTGTGGATTTGACTCTCATCAATTGAATTCTCATCCAATCTTTGGGCCAGACGACATAAAAGGATGCCATCTTTGAGGAAATAGGCGAATGCTTCGAGTCGTTCGAATTTGATGAAATCTTGAAGAACTCCACAGGCTCGGAGCCATTGCACACATTGTTGCCAGAGCTCCATTTTGGAGAAATTAATGTCTAAAAGAGGGAGAAAATAATACTAAAAGATATTAAACAAGTTTTTTACCCATACACTTGTAATCATAATATTTTTAAGAGTTATAGAATTTGGCGAATATAACCGGTCAAGTTGGTCAGATGACTGGTCAAATCGTCAAAAAACACTATAAAGTGTTGGCGAGGGCTTGAATGATATTCTTAACCTGACCGGACATCTTGGTCATGTTCGGTCAGATTGGCTAAATCGACTGGTCAGACAGGTCAAATCGACCAATCAAGTGGTCAGATGACCTAAAAATTGCCGACAGGGGTCTTGTCGCCTGGAATGACCAAATAAACCTGCCCGGACATCTTGGTAATGCCCGGACAAATTTGTCAAATCAATCAATCAAGTGGTCAGATGACCGAAAAATTGCCGACATGAGTCTTGTCTAGGCCTGAAAAGACCAAATAAACCTCCCCTGGCACAATGCAACTTGGTCATGCCCGGTCAAACATGGCAATGGACCAATCAGATAGGTAAAATCGACCGGTCAGTTTGGACATACGACCGGCCGAATTGTCAAAAAAAAAGTTTTGTCTATAATGATCTACAGTGGGGGAGCTGATCTAGTGGCAACAAACGTACCATTTTGCATCCGGGGAGTATCCAAAATGTGGCAAAATGCTTCCCCTTCCAAGTGAAAAAAATTCGTTTTGAAGGGCGCGCCATTTCCTTCACAAAAAGGGCAGACGCGCCTTGAAATCGGAGTTTTTTCACTTGGAGACGGAAGCATTTTACCACATTTTTTGATGCTTCCTGGATGCGAAATGGTACGTTTTTTGCCGCTGGACCAGGTCCCGCACTGTATCTGGGCCTGGAATGACCAAATAAACCTGACATGTTGGTCATGCCCGGTCAGATAGGTCAAATCCACCGGTCAAATTTGCCAACAAAATTCTGTTTGCAATCCCCTATTATATTATTATTTCATTATTTCAACCCCTAAAACAAAAAGAATCCTTCAAAAAATTCTTACCAATATCCGCTAAGAATCGTCTTTTGTAATCGAAATCGGATTCCAGACGGCGGGTTTCAAACGACTTTCGGCTTCATTTCCAATTGAATGAACAATAAAACGAGCGGGGAGATACCAAAGATTATGATGATCGGCGATTCTCTGAAAATCAACGCAAAATTAATCGAACATTTTGGGATTTTACAGCGAAACTCGATAAAACAAACAATTTCTATAATGAAATCTCACTATAACAACAATTTTCAAGTATTTTCTGTACAGAAAACCCGGAAGAAATTATAAAAATAATTTCGTTCCTCGATTTTCGTCCAGAAAAACGCCGAAAAAGTCATTTTTTTGGGGCGATTCGTTATCAAAAAAACTTGTCATTTGATCAATTTATAAGTCGCTGACAAAGAAGGTTAAACAAGCAGTCGCTTGCTTGTGAGTTCAGGCTTTGCAGATGGGTATTTTGGCTTATAAAAATGCGTTCAAAATACTATAATTATAGTTAGAATTTGAATTTGCCAGATCATATTACCAATTTTATTGGGTCTTTGACCAATCTGACCAGTCAAACAACCAATATAATGGTTCGTTTGACCAGGCTGACCGTCCAAGTAATCGATATAGCGGGTCTTTTGACCATTCTGACAGGTCACTATACCTATTTTACCGGCCGATTAACAAGTCGGATTTCCCAAATAAGCCTGCCTGGCCGGTTAATAAATCAATCTGACTAGTCAGTTAACCAATTTTACCGGTCATTTGACTAATCCGACAGGTTAATTTGACCAATCACACCGCGGTGATTGCGCGGTGCACCGGTCAATTTGACCGACCTAATCGGTAAATTGACCAACCTGACTGGTCAATAAACCAATCTTACTAGTCAATTAACCGATCTGACCGGTCAATTTAACCGACTGGACCAGTCAATTAACTAACCTGCCAGTCAAAAAAAAACTTTTTTGATTTTTTTTCTGATCGACTGTTTCAAAGGGTGACTATCAACTTTTTTGAACTTGGCCGCTCGGTTTGATCGCGGTCAATTATTATTTTGAGTCTGTCAGGAAAATAATGAGCGAAAAAACCAACCAATCTAATCGTTAAATTGACCAACCTCACTAGTCGATTAACCAATTTAACAGGTCATTTGACCAATTCGACTATCAGTCTGTCAGGAAAATAATGGGCACAGCGTCACTGTGCCGATCGTGTCGCTGAGGTGAAAAGAAATTTGATTTAGCCGCGACAATTCATTTTCTCGCCGGCGATGCAATTTTCGATGCGACAGAGTGCTCATTATTTTCCCGACAAACTGATGGCTACGCAGTCGGCCAACAGAGCAATCTCGCATCAAAAATGGCATGGCCGCAAAGAAAATTAATTGTGTCGTGGCAAAATCAAATTGCTTTTCACTTCAGCGACGTGATCGGCGCAGCGACACTGTGCTCATTATTTTCCCAACAGACTGATAGTCAAATTGGTCAAATGGCCGACCAAATTGGTTAAACGACCAGTCAGGTTGGTCAATTTACCGATTATATTGGTTTTTTTCGCTCATTATTTTCCCGGCGGACTCATAATTGACAACGATAAAATCGGTCGGGCAAGTTCGAAAAAGTTGACGGTCACCCTTTGAAATACTCGATCAGGAAAAAAAGCAAAAAAAAAACTAAATAAAAATGAATGGAATATCGTCCGAAATGCCTTTCGGAACGCTGATCCAATCTCTGAATCGGATCTAGTCAAAATACGGCGCTCCGAATGGAAGGACCATCTATATTCCAACACTTCTCTCTGCAGCGGTCATTATCCAAAACCTTTGGCCTGCCTGTTAATTATGTGGGCCGACAAAAAACGCCTAAGTGGACATTAAATCAATCAAGACAAAGGAAAACTTGTAACCCAAACGAAAAGACAGAGGTCAGAATTTAATCGCGACCAATTATATAAATCAGCCGACGTGGGAAGGGATGAGTGCAAGAGTGCCGGGGGAAAACTAACTTTCGGCTGCCAATTTCCCGCAAGTTCTGAGGGGAACTTTCAAATCAAAGAAATCGAAATTTCTCAAGCGAAAGTCTTCCATTTTTCTTCAAATTTTACACACATGATGTAAATGGCTATCACATTAATCCCTAAAAATTTTAACTCTCAATGTTTTCTCATAGCCCACATATTGAGCGATCATTTCCCGAGAGAGCACACAAAATGCGGAGAGCCGGCCAGACAAAAAAAATTTTTTTGCCTGTAGCTTTTCGCTATAAAAAAAACTACTTTTTTGCAAAAGTATTATCTCCACATGTAATAAATAGTGATTTTTTCAAGCCCAAAAATCGTCAAAAAAATTAAATTTTTGGCAATTTTCGGTCTAAAAATCATCGCAGTTTCTGCAAAGCGCGAGCTAAAAAATGTATACTGGGTCAAAAAAAAAATTTGAACTCAAAATTTGCGTCAATTTTCATCAAATTCTACAAAATTTTTCAAAAAATAAAAAAATCTCCATATATTTTTGAATGATCCGTCACCTCACAACCACCTTAAACGGCCAAAAATTCCCGAAGTTGATATCAGAACGACGCGCGGTTTGTCAAACAAAAGCGCGCTGAGCCCTAAGGGGAATATCTGATTCATAGATTTCCATAATATCATTCCCCTTTTCAGCTCTTTTTTAGAAACCCATAAAATTTTTAGGCGAATTACACGGGTTATTTGCGCTCAATCTGCAAGCGGGAAAACACCAAAATCAAAAAAAAAGTACGTACTTTATTTCAATTAAAGTACATTTTACCCTTCAAAAAATACCTTTCTGACGCTATAAACCGTTAGAAAGGGAAATGATTTTGTAATTTTCTCTCCTTTTTCCGGATGAAAGAGACAGATTTTATGGAAAATGCGAGGTTTATTACATCAAGGTTATGATACTGGGAAGCCTCCTCGCTTTCGGAGGCGCGATTTTTAAGGTAGTCTAAGGTCGAGATGAGACCTTTTATTGGTGTTTTCCAAATTTAAAGGGCTAACCGAACGTATCAAGTATTGTAAAATCAATTTTTAAAATTCAAATTTTTTAAAAATAACAAAAAAAATTTTTGAAAAAAATCAAGAATTCGTTAAATTAAAGTAATTTCAAAGCCTTTAAAGGTATGAAAAGGCAAGAACAGCACTTCAAAATACTCAAATTTCACTTTCACATCCATTTTTTTATCAAAAATCCAAAAAAAAATTTTTTTCAATATTCAAATTTTAGCCAGAATACCTCAAATTAGTAAAAATTAGAACCTCTCCATAGACTGTAAAGTATAAAAAAGACCAAAAAATCCTTTAAAATACTCAATTTCAATTTTTCTACCAATTTTTTACCCAAAATCCCTCAAAGTTCAGAAAACAGCAAGCTCCTTACAAAATATGCAAATTTCTTCGAAACGACCCGAAACCTGAGCCCATCTCCCACCCGAACCACTTCACGTGGCCCTCGACAGCAAACGAGTAATACAAAAAAACCGTTTTCGATCGCTGGCCAGCGTAGAATCAATCCCCTCCGCTTTCGAAGAGGGGGGAAAGGCGTCGTAAACATTCGAAACAATCGCCAGCACTGTATAAACCGAGAGGCTCGAATGTAAATTGCGACTTTCGCGTAGCGCCAAAGTTTACTGCCCGCTCGCTTTAATTGGGAAAAAATAAATCCGCCCCCGAAAGCAGACGCTCGGGATTTGCAAATGACCTTTTCGAATCAACGCCGCGTTATTTATTCGAGGATCTGGAGATGGTTAAACCGACTCGATCCCGTTGTAAATCCCGCTTACTTTTGAGGAGTAGGAAGTTTTGAATTTCGCACTGTGCAATCAAAAAAATCGCACAGTGCAGTCGAAAAAATTTCGCACAGTGCAGTCGAAAAAATTTTTGCACTGCAGTCGAAAAGTTTTTCGCACAGTGCTATCAAAAAAAGTTTTTCGCACAGTGCAGTCGAACAAATTTCGCACAGTGCTATCAAAAAACATTTTTCGCACAGTGCAGTCGAAGAAATTTCGCACAGTGCTATCAAAAAAGTTTTTCGCACAGTGCAGTCGAAACAATTTTCGCACTGTGCAGTCAAAAACGAAGCTTTCGCACAGTGCAGTCGAACAAATTTCGCACAGTGCTATCAAAAAACATTTTTCGCACCGTGCAGTCGAAACAATTTTCGCACTGTGCAGTCAAAAAAAGTTCTTCGCACAGTGCAGTCGAAAACGAAGCTTTCGCACAGTGCAGTCGAAGAAATTTCGCACAGTGCTATCAAAAAAGTTTTTCGCACAGTGCATCCGAAAAATTTTTTGCACAGTGCAGTCACAAACAAATTTTTTGTATAACGTAAATAACGATAGAACTCAAACTTCCGAGCCCATTTAGGAGCCCCATGATCATGTCAAAACAACAAAAGTCATCTGGTTTAACCACATTTCCCCGCAAAAATTGCGAATTCTGATATTATACATGATAATTAATAATTATCACTCCCGAAATCGTGATTAATCAAGCCGAGATAAATGGCTTTCACTCTCGGACGAGCTTCCAACAGGATTGCGAAACATGAACCAGAAACTTGGAGATGACACATCATCAAAAATTCATGGATAATATACTAACAAATTCATCGTTACAATCAAAAAACCTCAAGAAAATACGTGGAAAAGAGCGTTCCCAGCAAGTATAAGCCTCTTTCTACCTGCCTTCGTATTAATAACACCTAAAACAAACAAAAATTATCAAAAAATGTGAATTTGTGATTTACACCATCAAGTGTAATATAATCGGCAAAAATAAAGCTAAGTTACTCCAAAAACAAACGGTTAATTAGCCAAACATCGACTAATTGGATCAATTTCGCGCAGGAATAATAAAAACCCCGAAAAATAAAAGTCTAATATTTTTGACACTTCGCCCACATAGAATTGGTTTTGTGGCGTTTCGTCGGAACCGATTGTTTGTGTGACACTTCGTCAGCAGACGAGTTTGCGTTGTCATTTCGCTCACACAGACAAGGCTGCTTCGTGGGCTTCCGCACGTACGCACACAGCTTTCCATTCGTTTTTCTTTTCGGCTTTATCAGAATTTGGCCATTCTCCGTGCTATCCGCAAAATTCGGGTTTTTTTTGTAGTTAGGGTAGGAATAAGGTACTAGTGGAAGGTGATCAAGGACATTGTTTTCGATTTTAGGAGACGAAAGAACGCTTCAGAGCGCATTTGTTCAATAGGAAAGGGCATTTTCAGCAGTAAAAAAGTATCGTATACTTGTTTTCTTCGTTCCTCAAATTTCTGGATGCCTAACTCGATTTTTGTTTCCATTATTATCCGGTTTATTATCTAATCTGTGAATTCTGACAATTTTTTAAGCAGTACAAATCGTTTTGACCTATTTTTGATAACAGTTTTTCACGTGACCTCCAGTGTAATATAAATGTTTGTTTTGGTTTTAAGTTGCACGTATTTTCAGTGAGAACTCGAACTATGCTGCGCAATATTTCCAAATTGGCCTTGCAAGCCACCAAGTCGACCGTGGCCCGGCCGTTGAGCACCAGCGCCACCGCTTTTTCGGCCCATGACGACATCATGGAGAAATGGCCGGCCGAGAAGTTCGACAAGCACTTTATCGACTATTTCAGTCGTCCCGAGATCGATGGATGGGAGGTCAGAAAGGGTAAGTAGCTTTCCTTTGATTTCTCGGCTTTTAGGTACAAGACTTTTTATCAATCTTTTAGGATTGACCGAACTTCACGATTTCGATGTGATCCCAGACCCCAAGGTTGTCGAGGCCGCGTTGCGCGCCTGCCGTCGAGTGAACGACTATGCTCTCACCATTCGCTTCCTCGAATCGCTGAAAATCAAGTGCGGAACCAAGAAGAACCGCGAACTCATCTATCCCTACATTATCAATGAGGTGGGTAATACAATTCGGCGATTCCCCGGCGCGCATCTCGTTTCATGGGCCGCGCCGGGATTGTATAGGAAAATCAGAATAGTCAGAGCGTTATGCAGCTGATCAGCCAGCTAATTTCCCTTGTTTTAGATCAAACCCGTCTTGGAAGAGCTGGGCATCTCTACCCCCGAAGATCTAGGCTACGACAAACCCGAATTCTTCATCCCTCAACCCGAGTACTGGTGGGAGAAGAAGTGGTACAAGGACTACGGTTATGACAAACTCCCCGGCTTCGAATTCGCCAAGTAGATGTCGTAAAAGTCTAAATAAATTTAGATCCAGCTGTTCTTATTGTCGTTTGAGGTTATAAACTGAGGAAAATAGATGTAAATTGTGTTGAAGGCTATACGAGATTTATTTTCGAGTAAAAGCGATTTATAATCAGAGAAGCGCGGTAAATTATAATGCATAGGTTAAATTCAATATACATAATGGGTAAGGTTGCGTCATAAAAATAAATTCTTATTCCTCGGGGATTGCACTTTGCTTGGCCTCGGCAATGGCCTGTCGAACCTTCCGATCCAACACATCACCGTGTTTGGCCATCTTCTCCTTCAAAGTATCGATCATCATCATGGTAGTGTCACCAAGGCCGACATTCTCGTCATTTTCCTTGAATTCCTCCGGATTCAGATGGCTAAAACGAGAAATTAGTATAAAAAAATGAGACTTACGCATATTCGGCAATGAACTCAAACACGTTCATCTCCGCGACCTCAGGACCAACTTTCTCGGTAAATTCCTCCGCAATAGCATCGGCTTTGGCTGAGATCATCTTGTATGTTTCTTCTTCTAACTGCCTGTCTCGTTGCTTCCCTGAAATCAACAATATCGCGTTCAAGGCACCGTCAAATAACTCTAGAAGAATAAAGAACGCCTATATTACAAGAAAACTATCAAAATTTATACGCATCAATTCCCATATTGTTATAGTTCAAACTAGTACGAAACCCTCAAATCTCCTGACAAAAACTATATTTAGCCTTCTTAAAGGAAATGAACGTTAGATCCTTAGTTCCTCCACGTCCTAAAAGTCAATTCACTAATTTTAAAACAACTTACATTCCTGTACACACTTCTCCATCTCCTTCTTGGTCTGCTCGACAAGTTCCGGATGCTCATTCTTCTTCGAAGCAGCCTTGCCTTTTCTAGTACGTTTTGGTGGCATCGTTAAGTGGAATACAACGTTCGAGTGATAGATTCAACAAAAAAACGGGACGAAAAAAATTCGCGAGAAAATGCCTTTTGAAAGTCGTTTTCGCGGGCTACGGAATGCCAAAGATCACGTTTTCGTGATGAGGCTCAAAATTGGAAAGAAAAATGGTTATGAACTGGTCAACGAATGCAGTGATGAAATAGTAAACGACAATAGTACTCTCCACAACATTTATTTCTTCAAATTGCGTCATAAAAATCACATTTTCAATGGCTTGGCATTAACATTTTTGTTCTTTTCTTTTTTCGTCTTCCCAAAGAAAGTCCAAAGAAGTTGTGCGACTTCTGCCCGAAAAATACTATCAATTACGATCTCTCTGACTTACTCTTCCTGAATATAAGCACAATAGTCGCTGCGACGAACACCAAGACCAGAAATATAGTCGCCCCTAAATAACAGTATGTGGCTATGGTAATATTAGGCATTGTACAGAGATTTCCATAAAATGTGTGTGTCGTTGTTTGTTGTGTTGGTAGCTAGACGAATTTCCTTGATTTTCCGGGTCGAAGTCGGGAAAAATAGCCCGAATTTTTAGAAGAAAATTATCAAAAATGACCAAAAAAATCGATGAAACCAAAAATTTTATTATTCAAAACTTTCGATCCCTCCTCAGAACGGGTGAAATTTGTCTCCAACTCAATGTTTATTATTATTTTTTAACTTACGAAACAAAAAAAGACAATTTTTGTGTGCAATTATCATGGACAATATAACAGTAGCTCAACATTTCCATAAAAAAACAAAGAGATTTAACAACGAATGAGAGTATTAGATTAGGTGTTGAATAAATAACTTAGAGACGATTGTAATTAGCGATACTGGACTACAAAGTATCTGAGAAGGGGGGTTGAGTGATAGGAAGTCTTTTCTGGAGGCGATTTAATGGGTGTGATGGGTGAGGGCTGCAAATAACAGTTATTAAAAATGTTCTTTATAAAATGGAGATTACAAAAATTGCAAGATAGGATATCTAGGTTAAATATAAAGCTAAAATTTTCTTGCTAATCGAAAAAATCTAACTTTTTGACAACAATTTTGAAATTCTTCATCTTAACCAACACAAAATAGAATCTAAACTCCATAAATCAAATCTACAATCCGCTAATTATCTATACTAAACAGTTTCTGGCTCTTTTCCAAGCCAAAAACCCTTTCAAACCCACAAATTTCCTCTCCTATACCTACTACAATAACCTTACCCTCGACTTCTCTTTCCACTTCAGTTCCAATTGTCACGGCGGCCACTTCGGCTTGAGTGTGCTCCTGCGGTCTTCCCTGTTCGGCCAACATTCTCTTATACACCGGTTTGAAGACGCTGATCAACAAAATCACCAACAAAATGGCGATGATCGAGACCACAATCAGTCCCCACCAAGCGTCTTTCGCGGCGGTTGGGTCCTTCGCATCACATACTTGAATCTTCCTCTTGGCGTCGGAGATGGGCTTATTGATCATGGAGACAATGGCGACAAAAATAATGGACATTACTTGGCCGGTGAGGACAATCAGCCCAGTGGAAGTTGTTTCGGTGACTGGGAACGTGCACTCGGCCGACATCTCCAACCCGACCGGGTAGATGGCCAATCCGAGGATGCCGAAGAAGAAGCAGACGATCAGAATCAGCCATCCGATATTCTCGACGAACGTGAGCTGGAGGAAAGTGAGGCCGAGAACGACGGCCAACGTCATGCACACCTTCATGGTTTCGGTGTAGCGCTTGGTGCGGTCGACGAAAACTCCTGAAACATTCAATTTACTATATTTTCGAGCAAATTTCATTGCAAAAAACCAGAAAACGAACTATTTTTTTACCAAATTTCAAAATTTTTGCCTACTTCAATATCGAAATCTCAAAATACAGTGACGGACCTGATCCAATGGCAAAAAACGCACCATTTTGCATCCGGGAAGCATCAAAATGTGGCAAAATGCTTCCCTCTCCAGGTGAAAAAAACTTCTTTTTAAAGGGCCCACACAAAAAAAGCGGGCGCGCTTTTGAATTTTTTTTCACTTGAAGAGGGAAGCATTTTGCCACATTTTTGATACTTCCCGGATGCAAAATGGTACATTTTTTGCCACTGGATCAGGTCCCCACTGTATTTCCAATCAAAAAAAATTTTTTTTGTCTACTACAATATCAAGATTTCAAAATCATGTCCTTACCCGACGCGGTTGCTCCAAAAACTCCTCCAATGATCATCAAGGAGCTGCACCATCCAGAGAATTCATTTCCATAGCCAGAGGGGCACAAAATCTGCTGCATGATGGTATACAAACAGTTGAACATCCCGATGCCTCCGCCCATAACAATGAGCAAGACCACGTATTGGGGAGTGGTGAAGCACGACTTCAAGCCGTCTAGGAACTCCATCTGCGCGGTGGCAGCGGACAAAGTGGGTGGGGTTTTGGGTTCGGAGCGGTTCACTGCGACCGAGGCCAGCAAAGCGACGATCACGGCCGGGACGGCGACAATGATGTTCAAATAGATGACTTGCGAGGGGTCGGTGACCAATTTCGGCGACGTCTGACTGGCTAATAGGACGCCCAATGGGTTGGACATGACTCCGATGGTGGTGGCGAGTCCTCGTTGGTCGGCGCCGAACCAGGTTCCGGCCACTTTCGTCGGCAGGAACATGATGAAGGGGTAGGCGACGGCGGCGATCGCTTGTCCGGTGAGGGCGACCGGGAATCGGTAGCTCAGTTCCAGGTAAGAACTGGAATTTTTATTAATAAATTTTCGAGTTTCCACCCTACCTAGCCAATCTGATCAGGACTCCAATACAATTCGACCAAGCGGCAATCAAGATGGCGATTCGGAGGCCGAAAAATCGACCGGCCCACATCGCAACCAGGCCGACGGGTACTGTGACCAGCATGTAGATTCCGGAGAAGAGATTTGCCGCCTTCTAAAATAAAAATTTCCTCCAAAAATCGTTCAAAATTCGTCCAACCATCTATTACAATATAAAAAATTTTTCAAAAAACTCACATCCGTTCCGTAAAATGCATTTACATGATTGGCGACATTGGCAAATCCGATCCAAGCGCAAGTGTTGGTGCAATTGAGCAGCGCGACCACGGCCAGCACGATCCATCGGCGCGGATAGACCCTGGGAATAGGAATTGAGCTGGTGGAGGCGGTTTCCGACTGCTTTTCCCAGGCCTCATCGGCTTTTTCGACGATGAACACCCGACTCATCGGGGAGACCTTGCACATTCGACCGGAATTTAGACTTGATTTACAATTTTTTTGAGGAAAGATTTGTTGAGTGGAAATCCAATTTTTGAGATTTTTTGTGTGTAAAATGTAAAAATAAATAATCAGCAAGGTAAAACAATGTCCTGAGACCCTTAAACACTAAATTGAAATTACTCTAGCCACACAAAAATCGAAAAAATCAACTAAAAACTAAAAATTTCTCAAAAAATGGTAAAATTCTGACCAAAAATTTAAAACTCGAAATTCAAAAAAAAATCAAACAAATACTATTTCGAATATCGTTTAGAATGTTCTCAAAGACTCAACGTATAAGATGGGGCAATTTTCTTCAACAAAAAACATCAAGACAATGATAATTTTTGGGGAAATTAATCACAGATAACAAGCAAATTTTCGCCCACAAAAGAGTTTAGACAAGTTTTTTATAAAATCAAAAAATCATTTTCAGATAGTAAGTACACTTTTTTAAGCTTTAAAAATCAGTTTGTGAGTTATTTTGAGCCTCAAAATTTACGAATTTCAGAAAAAAATTTTCTGAAAACCCGGAGTAAAAACAAGGATTACCTTGCAAAATCCCAGATTTCTTTGCGTCTTCAAATTTTTCGGATAATATAGGTAATTGTTGTGGGTTTCCACGCAAAATAAATTAATCTTTCGTAAGAGCCAAAACTAATTTTTGAGGAAAATATGAAAAATAAAACCTTTTCTGGTCGATCCAACAATTTTTAAATCGGATTCTCTCCGATTATTGATGGACACGCTAAGACACGTCTATAACAATGTGCAGGCAACGCGTTTTCCGATCATTTCAAGGTTTAATTGGTTTTGGTGACGCGAAACAGCTTCCAACTTGTCTTATCAACGCTTATTGATAAGATCACACATTGTCTTGTAAATGCTGCCTTAATTCGCTAATTGACACATGTAATCACGCTTTTTTGGTTCTTAATTTCGATATTTTGGGCTATTTTTTCGACGAAATTGGTCGAATGTGCAAGTCCATCCTCGAAGAGCCACTGACCCCTAACATCGAAAGAATAAACTAAAAAATTCTCACCTTAGGGCTGTCCTGGCCATTTCGGGTTCTCCAGAAGCCGCTGGAACCATTCTTTCGGTCTCATCATTCTGCTAAAAATTTATAAGTCAGCAAAAAAGCATGGTAAAAAGGCGTTGTGTTGAATATTTATAAGGTTAGTAGGTCAAATCCCACACATCACCCAAATGTAAAATTCTTACACATCAAGAAATCAGAAATTAGTCCCAACAATGAGTAAGAAAACACTTAAACAAGGAGATAACCAATTTTTGGTGTCTAAAAATTTAATTTCTAGGTTGTTGCATAATTTTTAGCTCACAAACATTTCTCAGTTGTTTTTTAATCCACTGGCAAGTTAATTATAACCGAAAAATTAATTTAGGGTAGCTTAGATGAACCGAAAACATTCTTTCTGTCAACAACTTGAGAAATAATGGACCAGAATTCATAAAAATTATATTTTTGGATCGCCATGGATCCGGTTTTTTCGAGATGAAACTCCTTTTAACTAGAGAGACCCCAGGCAACCTGCAACCATCACTTTTAGAAATTTCATTCACATCGAACCCAAAAAAATCAGTATTTTTTCGAGAAATATAAATCTACCGATTTTCTGGATTCGATGGGCATGAAATTTATAAAAGTGATGGCTGCAGGTTGTCTGAGGTCTCTCTCGTTAAAATGAGTTTCATCTCAAAAGACGGGATCCATAGTGATCCAAAAATATAATTTTTATAAATTCTGATCCATTTTTCCCAATTTATTGACGGAAAAAATGTTTTCGGTTCGTCTGAGCTACCATAAACTAATTTTTCGGTTATGATTAACTTGCCGGTGGATAAAAAAAAACAATTGAGAAATTTCTGTAATCTAAAAATTCCGCAGCAACCAAGAGATTAAATTTTCAGACATCAAAAATTGATTATCTCTCTAAATTTATCTCATATTTTGCAAATAATCCCATTCTCAACACAAAAATCGCTCACAACTCCATTTCCATTGCCCTTATCCAAGAGGTCCTCCTTTTCCACATCGTCTTGCTTTACTGGCTGTTCATTTTCATTCGGCGCCGTCTTCAACGGCTTCAACTCGGTTGGTGGGGTCTTGTCGGACATTTGGTCTGACTTTTCAATGGATTAGTTATCATTTATATAAGCAAATCAAGCAAAAACAACCGAAAATGGAGTAAAAAATCTAAAATCGGGTCAAACCAGGGGGAAAACAGGGTTAGAATAAGCCGGATTGCAATGATAAGCGCTAAAAAGTTAGTACAAAGCGTCAAAAACAAAGTTTTAGACATACATTTTGGACCTCATTTGTCTCGGTCATGGCAAAAATACGGTCTACAAACCTGGAAATTTCCGAAATTTTAGGCTTTCAAACAAATCTTCGGTCAAAAACCGTCGCGAAAAACGGAAAAAATCAGATAAGAGTCGTTGAAAAAATATTAATCTTGTCTTCATATCACTTTAAAGCCACCTTTTAATCCAAAAAAATCCAAATCCAACCAAAATTTAAACAAAAAATTATTTTTTATCTGATTTTGGGCCGAAAATTACTATTTTCAGAAATTTTAGGAGTTCAAATCAAGTAAAAATTACTCTTACAGCTTCAGAGAGCAAAAATTCAAGTCCGTTACAACAAAAATCGCTGTGAGTTTTAACGCCACAGTCACTTTCAAAGTCATTTTTTGTCAATTTATTTACACTTTTTTATCAAATTCGAACCTTTTTTGATTTAATTAGCTAACTTTTTCTCCAACGCAGTAAAATAAGATATAAAAAAAGCCAAAATTTACTTTTTAAACCTAACATACCAGGGTAAATTTCAAAATTTTTATCAAATTTAGTTCTAAAAAGGAGGGCTCGACGCAGGGAGATAAATGGAACAAGGACGAAAACAAAAATTTATCGGTTTCCTTTCATTTCCCTTGCCTTTTCGGGAGTGAAACTGCAAGAAACCATTAGGAAATGGGGAAACTGACCATAAAAACTGCGAAATTTATGAAAAAGGGGAAAGCGGATTACAAACTCTTTTATTTTTTCACTCAAAATTGGGTCAGCTTACGATTAAAGGATATTTTTTATCTTATTTTAGGTCAATTTGACTAAAGTAATATAAATCTTAGTAAGAAATCTAAAAAATGTGAATAAAAACAAAAAATTCCTTTTGAATTAGCCGTACTATTACTCACTGACGCCTGCAGTTTGCCTCTAAACATTGTAATTGCTCAAAAAGAAAGAATTTAGACAAAAAATTCTGATTCACCAGCTGGACGAACAAACCTCTCAAAAAATGCAAACAAAAGTCGCAGAGACATAAACCATGCTTGAAACTTCTCTCTTTACGCTTTTTTTATCGCTAATGACCTCCAAAATCGGCGGCGCCGTTCGGTACCAAAGCGTTTTGGTCTGAACATTATCCATGTCTAAATAAAGAAGAAATAATTGAAAAAATCGTCAGACCTGTGAAATTATACCTCAGCAGCAAAAACAACGAACGCTCAATCTTCTCTGATACTTGAAAAAACATAACTCAAACGTAACTTTCCTCGTCATTTTATTAGAAAACCCGAAAATTCTATTTTTGACCCGACGCCAACGTCATGTCCAATATCTTGAAGCAAACAATGGGAAAACACAACTCGTTCCCCGGCTCAACAGATGCCATCTTGACTTCTCGGACCCGAAAAATATTTTTCCGGCAAAAAAATTGGCTTGAGACGGAATGCCAAGCGCTGTTTGTTTTCGTGGTGGGACGCATGAGTAGTGTGTTTATTATAAATTGAGAGGAAATCATGAATTATGGATGCGCTTTCGTCCTCCAAGGCCTGTTTCTAAGAATGACAAAATCTTAACCGCTTTGAAACAGTTTTATTCATAAAATTTGACATAATTTTCTCCGTTTGGCGCGCTTTTGCAGAAAGTCGAAAAAATAGTCCTGGAGCGGAAGTTCCTGGGGTTCGGCTGTTCGAAAATCCTTTCCAAGAAACAATGGAATAAAATTTTTGCCTGTTTTGCATGACGGCTTAGCCAATTCTTTGCAACATTTGTAGATCGTGGAATAACGCGACAACTTTTTCAATTCCCATTTGGATTTGACGGTGTCGTAGCATAAGAACTGGAAAACCAAAAAAAATATGGCACAAAACGATGGAGAAAATAAAATTTGAATAATTTTTGAAAAAAATTGCAGTGGCGGGACCTGATGCAGTGGCAAAAAACGTACCATTTCGCATCAGGGAAGTATCAAAAATGTGGCAAAATGCTTCCCTCTCCAAGTGAAAAAACGGCGCCCTTCAAAACGAAGTTTTTTCACTTGGAGATGGAAACATTTTGACACATTCTTGATACTTCCAGAATGCAAAATGGTACGTTTTTTGCCACTGGATCAGGTCCCTCACTGTTTTGAAGCTTTTGCGTTACCACTCACTATGTTCGTCTTCCCCATATAAATTGTGCATGGGTCCATCAGTCTTAAATCGAAAAAAAACTCCGCTGTGAAGGAGAATTCGAAAATATTTTCCTGCGTTGGTATGTCCTGAATACGGTACCCGTCCAGTGTCCGCATAATGATGTGTTCCCTCGGCGCCACGACCATGAACTGCAGTGTCAGCGCAGGCGGCTGCGAGAAAAGGTACGACTTTCGATCGTAACACTCGTACAGGTAGATCCCTCCCTCACACGTCGTTGCAATGTAATGCCTGCGGCCCAGGTCGGCGGCGCTCCTAAGACAAGGAAAGCCGAAGAATGGAACAGTATTCACATGCTCCACACTGGTGTAGAAGTCATGAAACGTGCGCCTGTACTTGTCATGAATCCCAAAGCGAAGCCAAAAAAATTCCCCCTGGTAATGAATTTGCGCAAAATTTTTTCAGTCTCCAAGTCGTAAACCACAAATCTGGTGGATCCATAACAATATGCCTAAACGGGAAGTACCCCAAGTGCGACGCTCAGATTTTCTTTAAATTTTGTACACACGTCGCTCATGAACTAAGTATCAATTCCTGAAAGTTTTAGCTCGCGCTTCGCAAGCGCCGCCAAGATATTGAACGACATTTGCCGCCGAGAGAGTACGCTAAACGGGCTTCGTGGAAATTGGACAGAGTGAAATTTGACAGAAATAATTTGGACAGAGCGCGGAAATTGGAAATATATTTCTGTCCAATTTCACTCTGTCCAATTTCCACGAAGCGATTTTTTGCAGTGAAAAAAATTCTGTCGAGTTTCACTCTGTCCAATTTCCACGCTCTGTCCAATTTCACTCTGTTCAATTTCCACGAAGCCCGCTAAACGCAAATTTTTTTGGCCAACTTTTGATCTAAAAATCTAGGTTGTTTCTGCAAAGCGCGAGCTAACATTCTCGCATATTTTTTAGAAAAAATTACTCTTAAATTGTGCCAAGTTTCATCAAAATTTGAGCGTCGCACTTGGGGTACTTCGTCTGTAAGCTTCGTTTAAAGAAATGTTTGCACGTACCTCTGCGAGCATTAAGAGGCGGCCATCATCTGATAAGCGGAGTCGCACAACGATCAGTCTTTCCTTCGTTGGAAATATAGTGCTTTTTTCCATCTCGTTCAAATCCATACTTGCACTAACGATGCAATTAGTGCTACGAGAATGAAAACATATTTTTCCGGCCTTTGAATGCCAGTCTTTGGGAGGGCAAATATCGTTTCTCCTCCTGAAGACATATTTTTTAGTTCTATTAAACAAAATTTACAAACCAAATAGCGTCTTCACTACATTTTATTTAGCCTCTATATAACGTAGAAAGTCTCGGTGTGACCTGCAAATCATTAGCTAACAAGGGAAGTACCCCAAATGCGACACTCTGATTTTCATAAAATCTTCCGTATACGTTGGACGTGAAAGAAATTGATTTTTTTGTCTAACGATTACCCTATACGGTAGAAATATAAATACGGAACTCCTTCTGTATTTAAAAATTGGCAAAAAAATGTCACATTTTTTTCAATTTTCTACTAAAAAATCTCGGTGGTTTCTGCAAAGCGCGTGCTATAAGTGTCCTAGGAAAAATTAACCAAATGTGCCAGGTTGCATCGAAATCTCAGCGTCGCACCATAGTATTTACTTCTCCCTACAAGTTTAAAAGAATCTGAAATTGATACGCGGCTCAATTTAGAGCTCAGACACTTGTCAGAATATCTTTTTAAGCCAAACACTTACTTTCGTAGCGAGTGTACCCAGGTGTTTCCTTTCAATCTTACTGTTTCGAAGGCACGGCAGAGGTTTTTAAAGTCGAGATTGACCACTTTGTAAGTGACTTTGCAGACCGACGCCAGCAGGCACAGTTCATCCAAGTTGAGACGATCCAGCAAAAACTGAGTCTAGAAAATTCGTTTGAGATGGAATATTCATGTTTGAAATGCTTGATGAGACTTTGCAAACACTTCAGGATATAAGAGCGAAGGAATAAGAATTTTTTCTCGAGCTCGAGAATGTTTGCTGGATTCGCTACCAATTTCAAAAAGTAGCGAAATGATCTATTTGCGACGTGGTCTCGGTAGCGAATCCTTCTTTTCGCGACCTCCGAAAAAAATCTGTCGCGAATCGGCGTTTTCGCTTCCTCCGCGAGAGAGAAGGTAGCAAAACGGCGTTTTTGCGACGGCACGGAATTGGGAGGTAGCAAATCCGTGGATTTGCGACCTCCCAAATTGACTCCGCCCACTCCGGCGGAATTTTTTTTCTAGCGCTCCGGTTTGCCGTTTTGAATATATTTCGAGTGTATAAAGCACTATTCACAACTCCCATACATTTTTCTTGACAATAACAATTTATTAAAACAAATAATCCAAAAAATAACAAGGCGTAAGAGAGGAAATAGAGATATTTTACATTTAAATCGGTATAAAATAATTCTTGCTACCAATTCACAACTAAATAAATAAAAATGCCTCTTGGGAACACACAGGTAAACAATAATAAAGCTTAACATAAGGCCAATAGAAAGACTAACAACATCTCTATTAAATATGATATGGCCAGGGATGAAACAACAGAGAATACGGCATTGAAATCACGGTGTTATGGACAATACTGCAAGTCCGTGTGGAGACATGGCCCTGGAACTGCCGGGGAGGTCCTGGATCTGCTGGGGAGTTCCTGGGACCTGCTGTGCGGGGTTGAACGGCTAAGACAGACGTAGCCGCGGCGTTTGATGGGGCCGGTCATTCTTCTCCTAAAGCAACAAAATAAAATAAAAATGTTTCTTACTATCTTGTAGACCCACGATGTAGACCCAATTCTTGGCAGAAACCAATTCGTGCACATATTAGATAACTATCCTCATGTGGTCTCCAACATATGGCCTTCTGCGCCGGGTGCAATAGACAATTCTGCCTTCAACGACTTTTCCAAACGACTCGTCGATGCATCGATCTTCCCGCACTCCATTCTTTTCAAGTTTGACCAAGACACATCTCCAATTTGACGCATCCCGCTCGGACCATATCTTACTGATAAAACCATAACATCCTGATCCTTGTCGTTATTACTAAAAAAATAATAAAAAAGAGCAAGTCTTACATAAACTACGTCCAAACATTGAAATTCGGCCTTGCAATCGGCCTCAACAGCTTTTCAAAAGGTTCGACTGTCCAAAAGACGGCAGACTCTTTTGATAAGACCGAGGAAATCCTTGTTATTCAACTAAAACAACAACATACCAAGAATAAAGCTTACGTAATTGTCCAACCAAGAATTCGGCCCTCGGTTGCCTTTAATTCGGATCGAATGAACAGAAATCCCACGAAAATTGGACCTAAAATCCGTTCTCGGACTGCGTGGCATTTCGTTTTCACGGGCCGCGAAAAACATAATTCTTTTTCCTTTTGTTGAATTGGCCAAATAGATGCAGAGAAGCTGAATTAGAAGACAACCCGACTCAAGGTGATCGCCATACCCATCGGGGACGAAATTGGCGGGGAACAAGGCTTTTTGTCTCCATGGTAAGGTGTTTTTTTTATTATTTTTTGATTTTGGACGAGATTTCTAATTTTTTCTACATTATTCATCGCAAGAGTCTAATAAATCTTTTTCAGGAGGCAGAAACATTGAAATCGGACAAAGGAAAAGCCGTGTGGTAGTTGCCAAAGGAAGTAAGGTTTGATTTAAGTATTATTACTTTGTTTTTAGGTAATTTAGAGATTGAAATTGTTACCTGGAATCAATTTCACTCCCATCGGCCGTATTTTTGCCCAAGACTATGCCCATTTCGATGCTAGGATTAGACACATGCACTATGAGGTAAGTATGAAGGTCTTTTTTTCTAAAAATGAGAAGGAAATGTTATATTGCTTTTGATTTCCAGGAAGATCCATATTCGACCATGTTCTGCCACCCCAGTCATTGACTCTTGGGCCATATCTGGACAATATTGTGGAAAAACAAATGTTCTTCAGCCCCATCCATTGACTCTCCGGCCATATTTGGACAAAATCGTGGAAAAAATAAAATATATTCTTCATAAAATGTACGTTATTTTCCAATAAATGCTTTAACGAGTCGAGGGACCTTTTTTCTTTCATAGTATCGTAAATGTCCGATTTGTAAGCTAAATTTTGCACCCTAAACGGTGTTTTTTCGTCAAAAAGCCAAACGTGATGGCTGAAAAACTGAGGGGGCGGGGCTTATTTTGGGACGTCGCAAATCCATGGATTTGCTACCTCCCAATTTTGCGCCGTCGCAAAATGGCCGATTTGCTACCTCCCAATTTTGCGCCGTCGCAAAATGGCCGATTTGCTTCCGACGCCTTTTTTGGAGGTTGCGATTTGAGGTTTCCGCTACTTTTTGAAATTGGTAGCGAATCCAGCAAACATTCTCGAGCTCGAGAAAAAATTCTTATTCCTTCGCTCTTATATGTCCAAAAAAATTAACCGAAATTTTTGCCAATTTCATCAAAATTAACGTCAAACTTTGGCGAGCTGAAAAAAACGGTTACCTCTATAGGTCGAGTTAGTAGCAGGTACGGCAGAGATGACATTTTTTGAGGAACCATAGACTTAATCAAAGAAAGCGAAGTAAATTTGGTGCACGTTCAAAAATTTCTGCGTTGCACGGCGTCCATTTTAGGCAGAAAATGATGAAACTAGAGGTAACAATAAAAGCCTTTTTGCTAAAAAGCCCTTAGGTCATCTTATACAACATTTTTTTCGTCCTCACTTATGCAAGTAAGCTATAATTCGTTTTTTGAAATAAAATATTTATTAAAATTTGGTGCATTTATACAAAAAATGTTTATTTAAACTCCGCGCCGGAGGCTTGGGAGTGCTAAAGTTCAGCCGCAATTACGCTGGGTATGGAAAATCGACATTGAATGGGCAAAAGTCCGGGCCATGTGCGGGTCGGACGAAGAAGCCTCGGCCAAGTGATCGACATCTTTGTTCGTGCATTCGAGCTTGCGCTTCGGCAGCCTTCATCGACGGGTTGGACCACAATCTTTCGGCTACGGCGGTTGCTCGGGGCCTGTAAAAGAAATTGCAATCATAATATCTAGTCCTATCAGAGAGCAGTATTCATTTACAAGGGAAGATCCAAAAAAAAAAAACATTACCGTTTACAGTAGAAATAGGCATGAAACTTTTCGTGCCGAAATTCGGCAAAAAGTGTCAAATTTTCGCCCACTTTCGATCTAAAAATCTCGGTTGTTTCTGCAAAGCGCGAGCTAGGATTCTCGCATATATTTCAGAAAAGAACATTCTAAATTTGCGCCAAATTTCATCAAAATCTGAGTATCGCATTTTGAGTATTTCCCCTGTAAGATACTTTCAATCTTATCCTTACCAAACAGTTGTCTCCAAATTCGTCGCATCGATAAACTCGCCCCACATACAGGCTTCTCCTCCAATCACCAGGGACTTTTGTTTCTCCGAGCCGGTGAAGCCTCGAGGGTCGTTTGAATACAGATCATGCCAATCTTCGCCTCCATGAATGTGGTCGAGATACCAGCCCTGCGAAACGATGGTCCGATGCCCCTTTGCGGTTGTTTGGGCGACCAAATTTCGGTTCAACCAGACGTGGGCGACACTGTTCGGGCGCTAAAATCGAGAAATTACGGTGGTAAAACATAATTGAAAAAAAAGTTAAAAAAACAATTCAAAAAATTGCTCTAGACATTGAGGCTTACTGGATTGTTATTTTGAAAGACTTCCTCCCACATCAAAATGTTATCCCCATTCTTGGTGCCGTAAACCTTCTCAATGATCCCTTGGAATCTGAAAATATGTGAGTTGGAAGCTTGGAATAAATCTTTTTGTCTCAAAAATAATATATATTAGATATATAGATTTACCTATCGAAATAATAGTTGACCAGCGCTGTTACGTTCTTCGCCCAGCCTTTAGACTCCATAAACTTGACTACATTGGGGCTGTTCTCCCTGAAAATTACCTTAAGTTATGCTATTATTCTGTCGGGAAAATAATGAGCAGTCGCTGCGCCATTCGCGTCGCTGAAGTGAAAAGCGATATGATTTTCCCGCGACACAATTCATTTTCTCGGCGGCGATGCGGTTTTCGAACCGCCCAAATGTTCATTATTTTCCCGACAGACGGATTTTAGCATTTTCACAAAACGTCTGGACATTTGTCGCGGTCCGCACCGTGCACAAAAATCCCCAATTTTTTGCACCGTGCACTCATCTTTTTTTGTTTTTGCACAGTGCATTTAAAGTATCGCTGCGACGTAAGCTTTTTCTCAACTGCGCTGCTGCGGTCTTGCTCAAAAATGTGCACAGTGCAATCGGCTTTTTTGAGGCTTGCACGGTCCGCAAAAGGAAAATGCACTGTGCGTTGGCGACAAGCGTGGGAAAAGGTTCAAGATGCACTGTGCAAAAAAAAATGCACTGTGCGTTGGCGACAAGCGTGGGAAAAAGTTCAAGATGCACTGTGCGACAGCGAAAAAATGTCCAGACACTTGAAAATGCTAGTAACTAGTTCACAGAAAGGTCCAATGCACTTACCAGCACTGACTAAACATATGAATTTCATCACCGCCAAGATGGATCCAACTTTCCGGGAAGGTCTCTTTAATTTCGGTGAAGAATTGTTCCAAAAACTGAAAAGTCGACTCTTTTGAGGGATCCAAGACATTCGGTTCTTCTTTACTGCAGTTTGTCATCAAACCTTGAATTCCTCTCCACGATGCCATGTGACCTAAAAATTATGGCTTTAAAAGTTGAAGGCTGAGATCGGGAATTTGACCGGCGGACCTAGTACTGCGTGATACTATGTAGTACGAGGTGAAAATAGGGGTACTGAGAACCACCACTAACAACACCACTAACACCGAAAGGCCAAATTTACATCTCGTATTACATAAACAGTTTCAGATAGTACTATTTAGTACTAGAGGAAAAGTTAACATAATTTTTGACCAGAACCTTCTAAAACCCCTAAATCCAGTATTTTTGGAAAATTTTCAAGAAATTACTACTTGGCAGTACTACTTAAGAAAAAAGTAACAACCAGAAAAAATGAACATCATTTTCGAAATCAGCACCCTCGAAAACCCCTATATCCAGTATTTTACGAAAAAAATCAAAAAGAACTACTTTACAGTACTACATAAGGAAAACAGAAAGAATCAAAACAATTAATGTCATCGAAATCAGCACCCTCGATTATCCTAATTTCGACATTTCCAGCGACCATGAAGGAGAGATGAGACCGATAGGTCTTCCTGATTGACTTATAAGTTGAGCCAATGAAAACGAAATCAACTTGGGACCAAAGGCATCGTCATCCCTGTCTACATATGTCAGCTCAGATTCGCCGAACAGTCTCTCTTCAAGTCTTTGTACTTGTGCTGACGCGATTGGCGTCCTTGAACAGCTCCATCATGTAACGGAACTTTTGGCGCGGATACTTCTCTTGGGCGTAGAGCTTATACCCCTCAGGAACACAGGAGGGAGTCTCGAGAACTTCCTTTTCCTTCTCTATCATTAGAGAAATGTTAACGCAATCAAAGCGCGAAGAAAAATAATACTTTCCGGTTTCCTTAATTGTCTTTTTCCGCAATCGTGCAACTCCGCTAATTGTAAGATCGGAAAGTTATGCCAAAGAGTTTCGAGGACTATGTGCATGTAATTTTTATTATGATTTTTACGTTAAAGACGGAAAAGCACTCTGTTGAAAAGCGTTCAGTGATATTTATTCCACAACATAGACATTCCCCGGCTTAATGAATCCATTTTTTGTCATCTATTTTTTGGTTCAGAGACATAAAAATTGCGATTGTATAAATTAAAATGTAAATATTCGCCCTCATCAACAACGCATTTTCGTTCTAATCGCACACAGATAAAAGTATAAAAGGAATGCTATTAAACGAAGCCGTCGCATCAAAACTGAAATGTTGAAGCTACCGATTGTGATTATTTTTGTCTTATTTTATACAGGCTTCTGTTCTCCGGAATGCCACATGTGCCAGGCATGTCTTTACATAGTCAATGGAGTGAAATCAAGAATCTGGGATCCTAGGACGGTGGAAGATTATCAGATACACAACTACATTGAAGTATGCTGATTTTACTTTTTTTGGCTTACCTAGAGGTGACAGTCAGGCCGGGACGATCTTTGCGGCCCGCGGGCCAACACGGTCAGGCCTCTCCGGAGTGTTTTCAATTCTTCCCTCTTTCCTTAAAATCATGATTTTTTTTGTTTTAGCAAACATGTAGAAGTCCTCCATCACCACCTAAGATGAACGGCAAGTGCCCTTGTGCATGCATTTTTGAGCAACAAGAAAAGCTTCTCATATTGTTTCATCAAGGAATAGTTGATGTACGAGTCTTGTGCAAGGCTATTGACATGTGTGTAGACTAGGCGAGCCAAAAGTCTTGACATGTTTTGTCAATTTAAACATGTCAAGGCTTTTTAGCTCACCTGATCTGAGCCTGCAATTTTAAGGTTTTAAATTTTCACACTCCGAAATAAACCTATTCTGAATATGAGGGAAAGACCTTATTACGTGTAATAACTCTGCAGAGCCAAACTGGTCCAAAATACACTCAATCCTCTGTGCAACGCATCGGATGGGACCAAAAGTTTTTTTTAAATAGGTGGTTTGTTGAACAAAAGTTCATCCTACTGGGGTTCCACTGTTCACAAGGAGTCGTTATTGATATTCCAAACGTTCAAATAAAGCCACAAGTCTTGAAAGTAATCTGATACTATTCCGCACCGGGGGCAATCTTTTTTATTAATGAGACCTCTTATTTTTATAAAGCTACTGAACCTCATGAAAAATTGAAATGTTAATTTTCCTCATGATCAACGCATTGACTTGTCAATTAAGCACATAGTAGAAAATAAATTAAACTAAATGAAATCTACGCACAGAATTTTTTGTCTTATTAGACGGCTTCTTGTTCTGAGGGATGACAAACCTGTGGTATTGTATGCATCTATATACCGCATATATGGGCTCATGGAAGTAACAAAAATAAAAAATCAAGCAACGGAATAAAATCCCGTGAAGTGTAAAAAAGAGAAACATCAGTGTATTCTAACAGAGCAGCAATTCGTATGAGTGATTGCGGATGTTTAAACTTTCTATCTCGGCTGTATACGTACATAATTATGAGTGCAGTTCTCTGGTACGAACGGATCAAACTCCTTTTACACGTAGAAAGACAAAGATTTATATGCCAGAGAGACATGCTAACCATGGGAACATTTCTTTCTGTATATCTCCCTGTGTTCCTGACACACGGAGTAAGTGGGATTAAATGGCCAGTATCAGCTCGAAAACGCTATTCTCATTTTCATTTGTCCTTTTTGCTGGCCCCTTTTTTGCAATCAAGTCGAATCCCCTCTTAACTACATCTACCTGGCGTATACGAAGCTTACCTGGTGTATCGAACTCGGCCAGCACTCGAATTCCTCGAAGTCGGGCGTGCTCCACAATTTCTTGCACATCCTCTGGCGAATAAGTGTACTTCTTGTCATAGGCGCCTTGTTTGGCTATTTCCGGGAACTTCTTTGAAACATATGGAAACGATTCCGAGTCGGAGACATGCCAATGCAGAACGTTGAACTTGTTTTGTGACAGCAGGTCCTGAAATTTAATGAAAAGTCAGAGATCATGATGACTTGTGGAGCTTACAATCTGCCGTTTGATGACGTTTTTGGGGATGAAATGTCTTCCGGAGTCGATGAGAAGGCCGCGGTAGGGGTATTCAGGCCAGTCTTTGATGTGTGCTGAGCGGATGTAATACTGAAAATGGGCGATGTAAAGGCTCATTTAGAGAAAAAATTGGTTTTGGATAGTTCTACCAATCTGAGGGCCGCTAATTTTCTACAAAGAACTCATGGACTTTTTTCTTCCCAGGACAATGCCCTAGACTTATTTTAACAGTCTGTTGGGAAAATAATGGACGCAATTTTGCTGCGTCAATCGCGTTACTGAAGTGAAAAGCAATTTGATTTTGCAGCGACACAAACCATTTTGGCGACGGGATTTTCGATGCCACAGAGTGCTCACTATTTTCCCGACAGACAGATATGAATTTAGCGCAGGCTGGGGCTTAGGCTTGCGTGGGTTTAGGCTTAGCTTTCATAAAGCTTAGGCTTAATTCGGCTTATCCATCCATTAGTTTCCTATCTTTTGAAAGTCGGGGCTGCACAAGCTCTCATATCAGTCTGTCGGGAAAATAATGTGGACCTGTCGCAACGAAAAAACTCGTCTCGCTGCAGTCGCGCACCAAAAATCTTCAGCTGCGGCTAGCGACGAGACAAAACATTTTTTGCCGCGACAAATCCATATGATCAGCCTGTCGGGAAAATAATGTGGATTTGTCGCGTCTTGGAATCGCTCATCATCGCTTTGCGACAGCTATCAGAGGCTGAACTGTGCGCGGCTGCGATAAATTATGTTGCAAAAATTCCACATTATTTTCCCGACAGACGGATTTTCCGACAAACGAGCTTCTGTGCGACCCCTTCTTTTACTTACCTTCCCGTCATGTAAAAAGATAAGTTGACTGAACGTTTCAAGCCCTCTCAAAGCACCCCAGACAGTTGCGGCTTCCAAGAACGCAGGCCCTGAGTCCTCGTAGACAGTTAGGGTGTCTGAAATTAAAAAATTTAATAAAAGATGTTTAAATTCTTGAAAAAAAATATAATATGAAAAGATGAAAACACTTACAATTCTCATTCATCCCTTGCTGAGGGTACAATTTCTCATCCAACTTGAGCTCCTTCACAGTTACTTTCAAAACGAGAGTATCAGCGTCATCAGTGGCTTTGGACAACTCCTTCTTTTGATTGGGAGAGTGGGGGAAAAACCATCGGGTCTCTGAAAAAAAAATAACTTTAACTATCAGTCTGTCGGGAAAATAATGAGCACAATGTCGCTCGCGCCGTTGAAGTAAAAAACAATTTGATTTTTCCGTGACACAATTCATATAAAAAATACGGCCTAGAAGTGTTCTTATCTCTGACCGCTCTCCGGGTTTTGCGTACTCTCTTGGTCGAAAAGATGGCTCAATATCTTGTCTGCGCCTGCAAAGCGGGAGCTAAAACTTTCAGGGATTAGTATGTAACCCATGTCCAAAATGTGTGCAAAATTTATCAATCTGTCGGGAAAGTTTTTTTTGCGGAAATTTGACGCGAATTTTGGGATCGCAAAAACATTGGACCAGTACAAAATGTTACGAAATATATCGCGTCGCGCAAGTCGCGCAACATGCACTGTGCGGTGCGAAAAAAGTCTACGCACTTTCTGGAACAATATTAATACATGGTATGCATTCAACATGTTCCAAGAGGGATCATTCTGTTGTATTTTCAAACTTGTTAAAACCTACCATAAGTCTCTTTAGCAAATTTGAGAATATCCGAGTCCTTCAGATCTCCCAAGTCGATCCGGATATTTCCAGGGGTGACAGTTCGGTTCTCATGATGGTAAACAATCTTTTGCGGGATAGGGATTACACTTCCAGTCAGCGGAAGATGTGGTAGCCATGCCCATGATGAAATAGGAAGGAGAACAAAAATCGAGAGGTAAATCATCCTGCAAACAACATGTTTAAAGATGGGAAACATAAAGGCGGGTTTTTACAAATTTGTGGCAAGAAATTTGTAAAAATTATAAGATCATTACTCTTCGTGACAAAACCGCGAAAAACGACCGCTCAGCTTCACTCCGATCGCACAGCGTTCTGCACTTTTTTGGAATGAATCGGACACCGATTTTTTCGAATTTTTTTTTGGTTGTCGACATTTACGCGAGTCTAGCGGGCGCATGCTATAAGATTGACGCATAAAATTTGCAGTGCTTTTAGAGTGAAGAGAGGGCTTTCAAGCCACGTCACTTTTAAAAAATTTGGAAAAAGTTCCTTATTTTGGCGACAACAAAGGCACTCCGCGTACTGCGCCCAAGCTTGGGCACTAAAGTTAGGAAAAAACGCTTCGACCTTGCTGGCACTGAATTACTATAATAGCTTTATAGTTTTAAGGGTACCTACGAAGGCTGTGACGACTCATTTAGTTCCGTACGGAGGCAATAAGTTTAGTTCCGGACATGTTTCATCGTATAAAGTGTAAAATCACAGGCTGCAGCCGTTTTTGAAGGGTAAGGTGGTACGTAAAAAAGAAGGTACTAACTAAATCCACTGTCCGGGCATTGACAACGATGAATTGAGCGTGCACGCTAAATTTGGGCTAATTCCGACCAGTTTCCGCAAAGTTATAAGTTGTGGCCAAAATAAGGAACTTTTGCCAAAAATTTTATACAGAACTGAATTTGTAATCAACGCTGAAAAATGACCGATCATTTTTCAGCGATCCGGGTCTCATTTGTCGTCGATCTCTCTTAGTTTCCCTTTACAGTGGGGACCTGGTCCAGTAGCAAAAAACGTACCATTTTGCCTCCGGGAGGTTTTAAAAATGTGGCAAAATGCTTTCCTCTCCAAGTGAGAAAATTTTGTTTTGAAAGGCGTGCTCTTTTTCCTCACACAAAGAGCGGGCGCGATTTTGAAATCTCAGTTTTTTCACTTGGAGAGGGAGGTATTTCGCCATATTTTTTGATGCTTCCTGGATGCAAAATGGTACATTTTTTGCCACTGGATCGGGTCCCCCACTGTACCTCCTGTAGACAAGACACTACCATACTACTAATATTTACATACAGGGTGGGCCACTCGAAACTCCCAAACTCTTCTCAAGTATTTCTCCGCCAATAATGCACCAATTTCTATAAAATTTATATCAAATTGAAGCTGAGACGCCCCATTTCTTGTCCACCAAATATGGCCCGTCTAACTTCCCGGAGGCACCCGTACTGACCTTTTACCCGAAATCGGTGGAACTTAGGAAAATTTTTGGAATGATTTTCAATTGAGTTTCTCGGACTTAGAAAATTTTTGGATTACCGGCAAGAAAAAAGTCGACAAATTCGCGGAAAAAAATTTAAAACCTTAAAGTTTACGTCCGTACCAAGTGTGTTAAACCCATATTTCAATCAAGCGGGGTACCAATTTGGGCGAATGAGAACAAAAGCTGTTTTCTCGGGCACTTTAAGCCTGGAAAGTTTCTATGCATCTTCGGGGTGGATGTCGTCATGCATGTAGACAGTTTCGCCCATTTTTTAACATTTTGAAAATTTTCGAATAATTAAGCCTGTCGCCTTAGAACACGAAAGCAACGCCTTGAAGAATAATTTTGACTATTCCGTTGAATGCCATATTTTTTTTCTGGTGCTTATAAGAATTTTATTCAGTCAAAGGCGCAAACATTTTCCAATTCCGAGAAACTCAACTGGAAATGATTCCAAAATTTTCTAAGTTTCACCGATTTCGGGCTCCAAAATTTGGAATGAAAATGTAAAAGGTCAGTACGGGTGCCTCCGGGAAGTTAGACAGGCCATATTTGGTGGACTAGAAATGGTGTGTCTCAGCTTCAATTTGATATAAATTTTATAGAAAATGGTGCATTATTGGCGGAGAAATACTTGAAAAGAGGTTGGGAGTTTCGAGTGGCCCACCCTGTAGTCTGGGTTTTGGGTGAAATTGAACCGTTTCAAACAGCCTGTCGGAAAAGAAACTGATCTTAAAAAATGAAGTCATAAGTGAGCAACTCGCGTAGTTCCTACAAAGTTCCTTCAAAAAGTTCGATAAAGCGGGAAGTAGAAGGTTATTTTCCGAGCCTGATTTAGCAAATATACTATGAATCAGAACGCTTCGCAAAAATCCAAAAAGAAAAATTTGTGGGAGAAGTGAGTAAGCATTACATTCAGTAGAATTACCGCTAGAACGGCTAAAAATCATTAAATTAGTCAAAAAAAGGTAGTATTTCAAGGTGCGTAAAAGCTAAATTAAGTTAATATAAACTTATTTATGGCCGCCTGAACCCTACAAACTCATTTTTATATAGGATTTTTTTCTGAAAAATGCTATTTTGACCAAAAATTCTAAAATTTCACTCTTTTGAGTTACAAAAACCTTGTAAATATCCCAAAGTTCCCTACAAAAGGTGATATTTGTTGACTAAAGACTAATCTTTGTACTTTCTTTATACGAGAATAACGATATTAAACGGCAAGACCACATGGGAATACCAGGAATTGACCCGCGATAAGGAAAACAGCCGCCCTCATTACGGTTTGTTTATTTGGTCCAGTGATCGGGGAGTGAAGTTGCAGCGGAGAACTGGTAGTGCCAGATGATCGCAAAGACAACAGAGTTCAGGTTAAAGATCATTGTAGATGACAGTATATCAGTCAGTCGGGAAAATACTGAGTAAATTGTCGCTGCTCCGCTAGCGTTGCTGGAGTGAAAAGCAATTTGATTTTGTCGCGAGTCGCAACACAATTCATTTTCTCGGCGGCGATGTGATTTTCGATGCGACAGAGTCTCTAATTATTTTCCCGACAGAGTGACGACTGATAAATTAAAAGTTGAAGGCCATTTTATTTCTCAAATGATCTAGCAATTTATACAGCTCGTTGAGAAGAAAAAAGAACAAAAGAAACGGCGAAATGGTCGGATGAAAATGCTAAAAGGTCAAAATTTGGTCAGGAATATAAATTTGGGAAGAGCCCAAAAAAGGGACAGCGTCAAAAATTGTTCTCTGTTCGATAACAAACAAATGTCAGCCTGTCGGGAAAATAATCGTGGCCACGACAAGTCAAATTTCTTTAAAAAAACAAGCATGATGCGACAAAATTCGTCATTTTTTCCAAGATTTCGCATGTCTTGTTAGAAAAACTTTATCTAACAAGGGAAGTACTCCAAGCGACGCTCAGATTTTGATGAAACTCGGCACAAACATAGAATAATTTTTTCTAAGATATATGCGAGGATCATAGCTTGCGCTTTGCAGAAACAACCGAGATTTTTTAGATCGAAAGTCGGCGAAAATTTAGGACTTTTTGCCGAATTTCGGCACGAAAAGTTTCATGCCTATTTCAACTGTAAAGGATAATGTTTCTACAAAAAATCATTTTTTTCCGCACGAAACTGCCAAAGTTATGGCCAAAAAAGCGATTTCTCTTTGGCCGCTCTCCACGTTTAGCGTGCTCTCCCGGCGGCAAAAATCGTTCGATATCTCGGCGGCGCCCGCAAAGCGTGAGCTAAAACTTTCAGGAATTGATATTTAGTCCATACCCGACGTGTGTGCAAAATTTAAAGAAAATCTGAGCGTCGCACTTGGAGTACTTGCCCTGTAAATTTATGCCAAATTTCCTTCAAATCTGGGCGCCACACTAGGGTGGTTCTGTTAGATTTTCATGTCAGTCTGTCGGGAAAATAATGCGCGCAATGTCGCTGTGCCGATCGCTGAAATGAAAAGCAATTTGATTTTTTCGTTACGCAATTCATTTTCTCGCCGGAGATGCGATTTTCGATGCGACAGAGTGTTCATTATTTCCCCGACAGACTGATATTTTTTTATGATTTTTACAACAATTTTTTAAATACTTTTTCACTTTCACGAGTATGGTATGTCATCTGAAACACTGTCAACATCTTCACGAAGATCTCCGTTAAGGTCGCAACGCCCGAAGGAGCGACTCTTTTTTTTGACTCAACATAAATTTAACAGAATGCCCGCCGTCGTCTCGTTACCTGGGCGTTAACCTCAAATTCGCACATCCCAAATGACCTTCGGCACGGAGCGAACTTCTTTCTTTTCTTGTTCATCCATTCTTCTTATTTGGGCAAATGGAGTTCGGGTTTTGAGGGAAATCGGAATGACTACTTACGAGGGGGAACTACTCCTAGTGCGACGTTCAGATTTTGATGAAGCTTGGCACAAATTTAGAGAAAAGTTTTTGAAGACATATGCAAAATTTCTAGCTCGATATGTCGGGAAAATAATGTAACTTTGTCGCGCTTTGGGATCTCGCTGATCATCGTGTTGTGGCGGTTGGCCGAGGCCGAAAATGTGGCGACGAGACGAAACATTTTGCTGCGACCACATTATTTTCCCGACAGACCGATAGAAACTCAAACTCTTTGCATAAAACTGCATTTTTAGAATTTTCATAAATTAAAAAAAAGAATTCCAGTATAACCAAAATTTTCAAGATTTACAGGGGAAGTACCCCAAGTGCGATGCTCAGATTTTTTTTTGATTTTGCACACGTCGGGAATAGACTAAATATCAATTCCTGAAAGGTTTAGCTCGCGCTTTGCGGGTGCCGCCGAGATATTGACCGATCTTTGCCGCCGAGAGAGCACGCTAGACGTGGAGAGCGGTCAAAGAGAAAAACAATTTTTGGCCATAACTTCGCTAGTTTTGCGCGGAAAAAATGATTTTTTGTGGAAACATTATCCTCTATGATAGAAATAGGCATGAAACTTTTCGTCCCGAAATTTGGCAAAAAGTCTCAAATTTTCGCCGACTTTCGATCTAAAAATCTCGGTAGTTTCTGCAAAGCGCGAGCTAGGATTCTCGCTTATATCATAGAAAAAATTATTCTAAATTTGTGCCAAGTTTCATCAAAATCTGAGCGTCGCACTTCGGGTACTTCACCTGTTAGATTCGTATGTTTACACAAACTTTTTAACAACTCACATGTCTACTATTGTGTGAAATTTCGAGTTTTTTTTTGTGTTTTTGCTTTCTCGGGTGTTGCCTTACCGTTTTCTTATGAGCCGAGTTAAAAGGCCGCTGTTTTTGATTTCTCTTTGGCCTTCGCGCAGCGGGATACCAATTTTTTAAGCGCTGTGAGAGAATTTGATGAAACAAAAAACACGGCTGGCAAGATTAGTTTTTGCCTTCATTTTGGAGGCCGTAATTGGACA